GATCCAGGTGCACATGCAGGAAGCAGAGTCGCAGCTTGGCCTCTCTAACTGCAGGCAGGACGTGTCACAGGTAGCCAGAGGTTGGGAGGAGGTAGCAGCCAGTTTTAGAGCAGCAATAATTGCCAAGATGACAAGTAGCTGCAGCCCAAAAAACAAGGATTCCTGGAAGGACCTCCCCTCATCCATCCAGTACTCACATACATTATGCACACACATGCACATCACAGTATCACCAACACCACCATAGTTTGATTCTTCTGTTGGGCACAAGACCTTTGAGCTTGAACAAATTTTTGTGCATTCTTCCTTGTGCTCTGGGGGCACCTTCTAAAGGGAATACATCTTTCTGGTTGTAGGCTCTGGATTCATGGTGTTTCCTGGAACACATTGGTGCCAGGCAGGGAGTGAGGTTGCAGCTCAGGACTTTCAGATAGTTGTCTTTTAAGGGATACTTGGAGGCTTGCTGTCCCTGGATAAGGGCAGAGTGAATTCATTCATCACTGAGCACAGATAGAACTTGTACCAGGGTACTCTGCCCACAGAGTCAGCCAAATTCTCAACTCCTGGCAGAAATCACTCTGGCTGGGCCAGAGTTGACATGCATTTTGTTCATTTTTGGACAGATGGGTCAGTTAAAAAAATAGCAAAATGTTCTGCAGATATCATCTCTATTGTCTGAACTCTGAATTTAAGATTTGTCCCTTCTTAACATGCAGCGGGCCCGTGGAGTAGCGGAAGCATGTTTACCACCTTCCTTCCTTCCTTATGCCCCAGCTCTGCCCAGTAAACCTTGTACAGGCCTGTTCTAAGGCTTTTTTCTGTTTTTGAGCCTTTCTCTGCTGTCTGCCCTCTGCCTACACCCCACAGCAGTTCATGTGGCTTTCTCAGCATCTTATGGAAGCCACTCTACACTTCCGTGCTTGTATTTTTTTCTTCTAATTTGCAATTGAAAAATGCCTTTGGTCTTAAGGCCCAGGGGAAAAACCAAGGCTCCATAAACTGATTTGTGCATAGAGGGGCTTCAATATTTGTTACAGCACAGGCAGGGCCTGCAAACTAATAAATGTTTCTGGAAGGAGATACAAGAGACTGGAAATTGTTGGCATCACATGACACTTGTCACGGCTTATATCCAGCTAGATGTCCCCCTCTCAAAGCCTCACACAGGGCTGGAGATTTAGCTCAGCGGCATAAGCACCTGCCTTGTAAGCAGGCAGTCGTGAGTTTGATCCCCGGTACCGATAAAAAGGAAAAAGACAAAAAAAAAATACTGTACAAAGCCTCACACAGTCATAAGTGGGGTTTTTCAGCGGTGGCTGGATCCAGAGTGTGTTATGCAGGGATTACGGGTATGATGCTAGGGGTAAGGGTGCCCCACTCTGGATGTAGATGACATTGTCCAAAATATGGGTGGCCTGGGTGAACTATAAAGTCAAGCTTGGTCACTGCTGCTGCTGGTACCGCCTTGCTGTCTTCTGCCTATTTACCACGCTCTGTGTTTCCTCTGTGATGCCCAACAGCCATGCCATTCTGCCTTTGATTAAGCTGGCTACAGACTGAAACCTATACAAATTATAATTATAGACTGAAACTTCTACAAACTGAGCTAAATAAACCTTGCCTCTTTTAACTCTGGGTGTCAGGTGTCTTATTTTGGCAATGAAAAAGATAAGGAAGATGGCATTCAAAATAAAACGTCTAGCCAGCTGTGGTGGTGCATACCTATAATCCCAGCACTCGGGAGGCTGAGGCAGGAGGCTAACAAGTTCAAGGTCAGCCTAGACTGACATAGCAAGATCTTGTCAAAAACAAAACAAAACACACTGTCTGTATCAAAGAATGGAGGGAGTAGCTGGTGGAGATTATGGAGGAGTTAAACATCTCCCTTAATCATCCATCTTTGGATTTATCATTATCTAAAAGGAAAGAGATTATTTATAGGTAATAATAGTTCATGTTTGTAGAGTTTATCTTGTATAGTTGAAGAAAATTTTCATATAAAAGGTGTGATTGAAAAATATGGTGTGTTTATTTTTAAATCTATTAAGAGACACACAGCTATTAATTTCCCCTTAAAACACTCACCCTCACTTGAAATATACTTATCCCATTGTCCTCGCCACTTTCTAAAGCAGTTCTGGAAGGTTTTCTCATGAGTGTCTTTAGTTGCACTGTTGCCTGCCTCAATGTCCTGAATCAATTCAAAATGTTTACCCTTCACAGTCATTTTGACTTTGGGGAGGAGCCAGAAGTCCATAGTGCCAGATCTGAGAGAACAAACTACATGAGGATACACTGTAATATTTTACACTGAATGGCGGTCAGCAGCAGCATTTGCCATATTTTTAATCATGCCTCATAATTCAGAAGACGTCCAGAACTGCTTCAGAAAGTGGCAAGAACAATGGGGAAAGTGTGTTTAAAACTAGGAGCAGTTGCTGGGCTTGGTGGCTCACACCTGTAATCCCAGCACTCGGGAGGCTGAGGTGCAGGATCCTTTCCAGTTTGAGACCAGCCTGGGCTACAAAGGGAGCTCAAGGCCAGCCTGAACTGCACAGCGAGACTGTCTCAAAACAAAACAAACAAACAAAAAAGACAAAAAAAACCCCACAAAAACTAGGAGCAGTGTTCTGGGGGACAGCTAATGGCAATGTGTCTTTTGTTGTAATAAACTTTTAAATTTAAAAATTCATCATATTTATGGCAGGGTGTGGTGACATACACCTGTAGTCCCAGCACTTGGGAACCTGAGGCTGAAGACTACAGCATTTGAGACCAGCCTCAGTTAAATAGTGAATTTAAGGCCAGCCGGAACTATACAGTGAAAGTCCATCGCAAAAAATAACAAAATTCATCATATTTTTCACGACAACACGCTTATATGTTGTCCTAGAATTTTCTAAATTGTAGGTATTCCTCATTTGGCTCAGTGATTTTTGCCATATTCATTGGCCATCTGCAGAGCTAAATTACTTCACTTTTTAAATTTCATTTATACCCAGTAAAAAATTTCTAGGCTCATCATAAGCTAAATACATAAAATCTTGAATTTATGTTGATTATTTTTCTAAAATATGGCAAAATAAGTACTATTTTAAGAGCTTATTTTTAAAAACATGTTCATGTGTCACCTAAAATCATGTCATTCTTCCCTATGCGTATGTGACCCACTCTTTGCGAAATATTTAATTATTTGATTATTATTACAATCATTAGCTGACTATTTGTCTGTTTCTGCAGTTCTAGAGATCAAACCCAAGGCCTTGTACATCCTAGGCAACCACTCTACCACTGAGCTACAACCCCGATTCTTTTTTATTTTGAAACAGGGTCTCAATAAGTTGCTACAACCCCAATTCTTTTTTATTTTATATATTTTTGTTTGTTTGTTTGTTTGTTTGTTTGTTTGTTGTCGTTTTCCTTTTTATCGATACCAGGAATCGAACTCACGACTGCCTGCTTGCAAGGCAGGCGCTTATGCCGCTGAGCTAAATCCCCAGCCCCTATTTTATATTTTGAAGCAGGGTCTCAATAAGTTGCTCTTTTAGCTGGAGTTGCTAATCTGAGAATATAAGACTTGTAATAGCAGTATTTGCACTATCACGCATTCAATACCGACCACTACTCAGTAGTCTCGGCCTGATGAACAAATCCTTGGAAAATGTAAGACAGAAAGACAGCGTGCTGGTAACATTATTTGGACACCTTGATCCTGGTTCCTGCTGAAGGAACCTGAGAGTGAGGCCCAAACTGCCTCGTGGCAGTTTGAGTTGGATTTGCTGCAACTAATAGGGTCTGCTAGTGGGCCTTTCGACCTGCTAGAACCCAAAAGAAGAGTGCACCAATTAGCCTCAGAACCTCCTGCACAGCAGGGGTTGCCAGGTAACGGTGGTGCTCAGAAGCCTGCGCAGTAACAGGCCAGGGAGAAGAAATGAGCACACGTTAAAAGGATGGCTGGAGGGTCTTGGTCCTAATTATATGTGAGATGCACGAAAGGCTGGAGTCCTGCATTTGTAGGTACAGACCATGAAAAGAACACGGGATGTATAGACACAGCGTAGATGAACAGGCAGAAAAGGAGGACCAACACTAATTGTGCGATTTCTTGACCTGGAGATTGTGTGACGCTTTGTGATTGTTTTTACTTATACCACTTTCTAAATTTCAAGTTTCCTACAAGATTGTTTTTTCATGTATTAAAAAAAAGTTTTTAAAGCTATCAGCAAACGTTTCTCTTCTTGAGAAATTGCAGGCAGTTGGGAGCTTTGTGGCCACATTTCGGCTTCCTGCGTGCCACGTCCCCTTTTAAGTGAGCCCTGCCTGGGGTACTTTTTAGTGGCTGGTACCTCCTACCCCGCCCGAGGCCAGTCTGGTTGCCTTGACGACAAATATAGCTGCTAAGGATTTCCGAGCTGGCCAGGCATCTGCAAGGCCAGAAGACCAACCGCTGCAACAGGCTGCGGGAGGAAGCCGGGGCTGCAGGATGCAACCTCTCCGCTGAGGGGCTCAGCAGCCCTGCAGAGGGCCTGGTCGCTGGCTCCGCCCTGCACCCTGGAGACAGAAAGCGCGGTGTGTCTGCCTAGCTGCGCGCTCAGCTGTCCCCTGCCCGCGGACAGGACAGACCCTACCGCAGCCCGCGCGCCAGAACTGCGCTGCCCCTTCTGCCTGTGCGCGGTGCCGATGCTGAATCCGAGGGCCTGTTTGACAGGCCTCCTCCAGAAGGGCCCTGCGTGCCCAAGCGGGGGTCGGCCGCGGGCGGGAAGGGCAGGGAGCCCGCGCCCAGCGACCCCCGAGGCCTGCCGCGAGCGCCCTGCCCAAAGAGGAACAGACTGCCCTGGACCGAGGCTGCTACCTCCACCATTTCCCGCACCTCTCCATCGTTATCTATGCAGCCACCACCTTCTCCATCACCTCTTGCATCCTTACCTGTATTCACTTACAGCTGGCTGAGGGTGGGGTAGGAGCAGGGCCAACGCGCGAGTGAGGATGAGAGAGGGGCTTGGTGGTTTTGCTTTCCAGATGCACTGCACTCTCTTCGTCTAACTCTTGATGCTATATTTTTTCTTCTATGTTGTGGCTCTTTGCTAATTGTTCATTCATAAAAAGGTCCAAAATACCGTGTCTGTCGGAAATGAAATGTGTTCTTTGCACCTGCCGGCTAGGGGTGGGGTACAGACCTAACGTTTAGAAATCCGTGGTATGATTGAATCCATTTATAACTAGGGTTATGTTTCTGTACGCTTTCTCTGTGATATGGGGTCATGCGCAGCAGAGAGCCCCGCATTTTGTTTAGGGAGCACAGAGCAAGCTGAACTTTCTGTTCATTAAAGGATGAGCCAGACCTGGGCCCTAGTCATCCAGATGTCCTGTGGGAAGGGTCGGTGCTCTGGGCCCAACTGTGCTGGAATCCCGTAATGCTGCATTACCCTCAGGAGGAGCCGGCTGTGTTTCGGAGAACCTGGTCACGCGGTGGGCTCTGCTGGAGCTGGGCTAGGTGAGCGGCATCTGCGTTTGTTGAGTGCTGTGGCCCACAGGGCTCTGAGTTTGATCCAGATTGTGAGGGTTTTTTTTTTTCTACCTTAGGCTTTGTTGCCGCTGCCAGATGAACTCAAGACCAGTACAAAGGAGCTGTTCTACCAGAAAGCCCCGCTCAGGACGTGTCCTGACCCTGTGGGACCTGTGGCTGCAGACCTCTGGAACACAAGCCAAGCTCGCATGCTCCACTGGATGAGACTGGCGGTTCTGGCTGGGAAGCGTGGAAGGGTGGTGTCTGGGGACAGACTCTAGAGGGCTTCCTTATAACTGGAGCCCTTCTGGAGCTATGGGAACCAACATGAAGGGACCAGGAGACAGACGTCCATAATGAGTTCCTGCTGGGGTTTGTAATGTACAATGCAGAACCCACCTTGGCCTTATCGGTCTTCTTCGTTTATTCATGAATGTCAAATGTCCAAAAATGTGGCGCTTTAATACTATATACACTTTGTGGAAATGCCTGTAATTGTGTTATTGCTAATGGAGTATATTACATTTGACGTCTCTGTATCCGTCATCCCTTAATTTCCACCAATCTTAGTCACTTCCCTTGTTGCTGGGACAAATACCCAACACCCAGAACTTGGAGGAGAGGTTTATTTTGGCTCAAAGTTAACAGTGTAGGGCCAGCTGACTCCAAGATGCAAAAACCTGATGGGAGGGCCTGAGCAGAGGAAGGCTTTCCACATCAGGGTGGCCAGAAAGTATACTGAGAAGCAAAGCAGAAATATGTAACCTACCCAGAGCATTCTCTGGTTACCCAGGTCCTCTGACAGGCCCCACCTCCAACAGCAGCAGCTCAGCTACCATCCCCTATCACCTTCCAAAAGACCCATCTGTGAGCACACGATCTAAATCACAACTCTGCGCAATGCACCTTGTCAGACTTGTAGTTTGCTCCAAATTTTACCTATTTGCCTTCCCCCTGTACTGGGAAGACTCACAGGCTTCACACTGAGCCTCAGCCATAGCCCTTATTTATTTGGTCTTTTTTCATTTTTATCGGTACTGGGGATCGAACTCACGACTGCCCGCTTGCAAGGCAGGTGCTTATGCTGCTGAGCTAAACCCCCAGTGCCCCCTTTTTTATTTTTAAATAGGGCCTCCTTAAATCATTAAATTGCCCAGGTTGGGCTTACATTTGTAATCCTCCTGCATCAGACTCACCGCTGGGGTTACAGGTGTGTGCCATCATACCCACTACCCCAGTATTTCCCCAATATCCCTTCAAAATGGACTTTGTGCATTATAGATTCTGAGGCACAGCATCTCCCTCCACCAGAAACTCCTTAATGGCATCTTTTACAGTATCAGTTTCTCACTACCAGTCCAATAGTACGGTCCCCTAATAGCACATCTGTCATCACTGGACTACCTACTTCTCTGCAGTACGCAGCCCTAACTTCTGGCCCAGAGTAAACTCTGAAAGTCCAAACAAGCTTTGAAATTTGCTCTATGGTTCACCTAGCCTAGACTATTTTTTTCTTTTCATTTTTTAAATTTATTTTTTATTTATTTTTGCCTACACTATTTCTAAGCTGTTTACAATAATAGGGCTTTGTCATTTCCAAATGCTCACCCCCCATAACCCCACATTACTGCATGCTTTGATACGCTGACCCTTTTTTTTTTATCGGTATTGGGGATCGAACTCATGACCACGTTTGCAAGGCAGGCGCTTCTGCTGCTGACCTAATCCCCAGCCCCAACCCTCTATTCATTAGTGGCACATGAGAGACCCCATTTCTCAATGTCAGGCTGCACTTTATAGCAGTTTACAGTAACTCCACATTATGTCAAAAGGGACTACAATACCTGTTTTCCACTTTTTAATCTTAGCTATTGGATTTACTAAACTTTAGTATGGATTCCCACCAACTCCCAATACATGATTCCCAATATGACTGTTGCTCTCCATTTGATTCCATTATTTACTACTCATGAGATGAATGTTGGGGTCTGTGCATAGATCCCCAATTCCCCAAGTGGGTGCACAGTGAAGGCCCAAAGGAATGAGACAAGCAGCACGATCTTTAGGGCTACAGGAGGACAAAAATCCTCTGCAGAGCTCGTAACTCTGCTGGCCAGCTAATTGACCCTGGACAGCCCATATTTAATCAGAACAAGTTGAGTTTAGTGAAAAACGCAACAAGTTGAGTGGAAAACGCAGGAAATTTGGGGAGGGGGTTCAAGGACTCCTCACAGCAACAGCTGATGCTAATTAAGAACTATCCAAAGTCTCCAGGTGGCCTCAGCTGTGGCCTATCTTGCCCGTCTCCTCATTCTCAGTTCAGCCAAGCCAGGGCCATACCACAGCCCTGCATGTGTATTCTAATTCAAGGGCTACAACAGATGAGATCTCTCTGCTCTCATTTTATAACCATTCAAAAACTTTCTTAGAATATAATCCCCTAATATCCTTCTGTTTAATCTCTCCAGAATCAAAGTTCTGGTCCATCAACATGTTATGGTTCCACAATATCATTACCCTTTCTATTCTACCTAACCTGGATCTCCATTTTTCTACCCCAAATTCAGACAAGTATCTGGTTTCTTCAACTACATCATTATACTCAATTGCTTCTACAACCTTAACACTGGCTTAAACATTCTCTTAAATACCCAGCCCTATGTTGGAAATGTAGTGTACTGGTAGAGCATCTACCATGTACAAGGCCCTGGGTTGGATCCCCAGCACCACAAAAACAGAGACCCATTTTATCCCTTCTTCCAGTTCATCACACTGCTTCCCAAATGTTTACCACCTCTCCAGTGTTGCACTCTCCTCTTCCATTATTTACCCCATTAATGCTACCCTCAACTTGAGGTCACCTCAGTCTCAAGATTTAAACACTTCCGGGGCTGGGGATTTAGCTCAGCGGCATAAGCACCTGCCTTGCAAGCAGGTGGTTGAGTTCGATCCTCGGTACCGATAAAAATGAAAAAGACAAAAAATAAATAAATAAAGACTTAAACACTTCCCACATCCTCTATTGGCTTTTCTTATACCTGCTCACTTTCCTTATAACTTCTGACTCCACAGAGCTCCAGGACAGCCTGTTTTGTAGTATTTGATTAAATTTCTACTATTCCCACACCATCCTTAATCATCGTTTGGCCTGATCAATTTTTATCATTTGTGTCCCACATTATGTGGCCATAAATGTCCCATTATTCAAGTATTTCCTGGTGATTGCTCCCTTCTCCAAAATATCAAGTCCGTTTGCTATTAACTGTCAGCTTTTTAAGCATTTGACCGTAAAAGTGTTCACATTTTGGGACTTTGCCATGTTGCTTTGTTCTAGGGTGCTGGGGATATAGCCCATTGATGCAGTAAATACTTAGCATGCACTATGTTCTGTACTACCATACGCCCACCTTTGGTCAAAAGGCAAGAGTTCACATGATGGCACATGCCTAATCTCAGCACTCAGGAGGTTGAGGCAGACTCCTCATTCTGACTGCTGCGTTCAAAGACAGTGATCCTCCTGCCCCAATCTTTCAAGTATCAGGGACTTGGCCAAGACACCCAATCTCCCAAATGAGTGTACAGTGAAGGCTTAAATATGAGACAAGTGGTATGATTTTTTTTTTTTAAGTGGTATGATTTTAGGACTTCTGGAGGATCAAAACCCTACAGAGTTCTACAAAATCCTACAAAACTTCTACAGAGTTCAAGACTCTGGCGGCTAAGAAAGAATGTCGCGGACAGCCAGTTATGTACTTACCTTTCAAACAAGGAAGGTTAGAATGGAACACACAGAAACTGAGCAGGATCTTGGGAGTGGTTCAAGGACTTTTCCAAGTGACAGGTTATATTAATTTAGGAGAACTATCTTATGTTAATTTAGGAGAAGAATCTTAGGAGAAAGTCTCCAGTTAGACTTTCACTACAGGAGTGAAAGGCCTGAGGTACAATCTCTATTTTGTTAACTGGGTTGGAGCCAGATGTTCTCGGCTATCACCTTATCTTGCCCTTTGAGGCATCTCTTTGTTCTCAGGTTGGCCATATCCTGACCATGCATAGTTCAGGGCAGCCTTGAGCTCACCTTGTAGCCCAGGCTGGTCTCAAACGTCCAACAACCATCTTGCTTGGGCCTCCCAAGTGATCGATTACAGGTGTGCACCACCATGTTCAGCCTTTGAACTACATTTCTAACACAGGGCTGGATATTTAGAATGCCGAAGGCAGTACTAAGGTTCTTAAGGCAACTGAGTATAATAATGATATAGGTGAAGGAACCAGGTACTTGACGCAGAAAAATCCAATCAGGTAGAATGGAAAGAATTATGACATAATCCAGGCTGACAGGAAAATTGCCAAATTAAAGCACAGTCTTGGCAACTAAGAGAATTAGTTCAGCACAAAGCCCCAGGGTTCCGTTCCCACTAAAAAAAAAAACAAAAACAAAGTCAGTATATATAAATTCCATTATTGGGTATATCACATGCTTCTTTTTTATCCAAGGTCTTCTACTGGATTCCAAAGTAGTAAACTGCTTAACATTACCAGGACTTTGCTCATAGAAAAGATTTATTCTGGAAACAAATACTTTTTTGCTTGTTAGGGTCTCCCAATGTACTCCAAACTGGCCATGCATTCACTATGTAGCCCAGTGTGGCCTTGAACTCACAATCATTCTGCCTTAGCCTCCTTAGTGTTGAGATTATAGGCATATGATACCATCTTGGCCACAACTTTTTTTTTGATATTTCTTTTACTAATTATTATCTTCCTTACATAAAGGACAAGAGCAAGCACTCTGTTGATGTTTTACAATGTAATGCCTAACGAAGCAGCTGCCTATTTAACTCTTTTTTCCTTTTTGAAACAAGGTCTCTCTGTAACTAGGCTGTCTTAAACTCACTGCGTAGCCCAAGCTGCCTTAACTCACAATCCTCCTGCTTCAACCTCATGAGTGCTGGGATTATAGCATGCAGCGTGACAGGCGATGCCTTTACTTGTAATAAATCCCACCTTAGGAACATGAGCTGCAAACTTTCAGATATGAACAGACCATGCATTACAAATACTCCTAGATGTGGAAAAACCGCAGAAGTAGCTCACAGGCCTGCTGGACACTGTCACTTGCACTGTGTGTGCTTATATGGTGCACTAGTGTACAGTGGTGCAGTGTTCAGAGTCCAGGATGTGTGGAAGAGCAAAAGCAGTGGTAACGTGAGGGACTGTTAGGAAGCGCAAAGCAGTAACCACGGAAGCAAAAGTAAAAATAATTGGGAGATTATATTGAAGCAAAAAAAGATTAGATACTGCTCCTTTTTTTTCTTTTATAGTGTATATTTTTGTCAAAGATGTATAAGACTTTGTCAAAGCAAATGTGACTTAAGCACTTTCCTAGAACTGATTCACAAATCAGGGACAAACCGGCATTTAGTTAATCCAAAAAATGAGCCAAAAGGATTAAGGTCACAATAGGTACAATTCATAGTATCTTTGGTCATAGATTCACTTCTCTGAATTTGCTGTCAAGTGAGTCATTATATTAAGAGTCTCTTCTCAACTACTTGAGGTCTCTAATGAACAGATTTTTCTAAGACTAGTTCATGGTAGTACACAGACACTTCAGGCAAATAGAATAAAAACAAGAAAGATGTGGAACCCAAGAGAGGGAGCAGAGAAAATCTTTTTGACAAACTCTTCACCTTACATAAATCAAGATAATTTCTGTCTTTTTTTTTCCTTTTCTATATTGTCTCTAATATTCTGGAGTTTTCTAGAGTTCTGGACCATGGACACTAAACTCTCCCTAAAATCACTAGTCCCATGATCTCTGCCAGCATTTTCAAGCTCATCAAACAAAGTCAAGGTCTGTTTAAGTTTGGCCTCAACTATTTTTTGCTCCTCTAATTCTGTAAGAAGGGCTTGCTTAGTATATAATTCAGTCTTATATTTCTCTTTTAACTCTTTGATTTCTTTCTGGAGAAGCTGGAATTCTTCCTCAGTATAAGGATACATCGCCTGACATTTATCTTCAGGAAGTAAGATGTTTGGAGGAATACACAAAATCAACTGCAAAAATAGCTGCTCCATTTTGCCAAAAAGACTATCAAAATGTCCTTTCACAAAGCAAAGAAACTCCTCTGTGCATTTACGAATCTGGACTGGGGTAATGTTACAATCTGGGATGCCTTTCAGCTTCTTTAGAATAACTTGTTCAACAGCTTGCATCACTTCAAATAGGTAGTCTTGAAAGGCAATGTAGACTCGAAGCATACAAGTTTGTGGTGTGAAGCCGAAGAACTGGGCCTCGTAGGTCATTGGATTCACAGACATCTTGATTTACTTGGTTATTCTCAACTATGAAAAAACCTGCAAATATAAAAAAAAATTTTCACTTGGATAAAAAAAAAAAGAGGGAAGAAATCATATTATAATAGAAAATAAAAAATAAAAGAGCCTGTGTTCCTTGATATCTGATATTATTTCACCTTACTTGTTCACAAAAAGATACCAAAGCTCCCCTGTCTGAGGCACTCTCCCCCATCTAGACGCTCTCCCCCGCTTCCATCATTTATTTCTTCTACTCTCATTACTGCAAGACTTAAGCACATGGCTCACACTTCTATTTTTCTTTTTTTTTGTTCTTTTTCGTTTTTATCGGTACCAGTGCTCGAACTCACGACTGCCTGCTTGCAAGGAAGGCACTTATGCCGCTGAGCTAAATCCCAGCCCCTGGCTCACACTTCTAAACTGTTATTATCCTGGACAAATATGAAGTTTAAACAGATGAGCTAGTTGATGCCCAAGATCAGTGATGGTGAACCTTTTACATTTTTTTTGGTAGTGGGGATCGAACTCACAACCTTGTATTTACAGGCAGGCATTGCACTACTGAACTACATCCCCAGCCTGGAACCTTCTAGAGCTTTCAGTGACGAACAGTTAGCTATGGCACATGTGACATTTATCATTTTTTGCCCTAATAGCTCCTTTTTTAAAACCACAACCTCTTATGTTATTCTTCCAGCTGTCATTTACACACCTTGTATCTTTTTTTTTTTTTTTTGTCTTTTTCGTTTTTTTTTTTTTTTTTTTTATCGGTACCAGGGATCGAACTCACGACTGCCTGCTTGCAAGGCAGGCGCTTATGCCGCTGAGCTAAATCCCCAGCCCCCCACACCTTGTATCTTAATCTAATCCTTTCTTGCTCTCACTTCTTTCCCTATTCCTTTTAAACCTTTTGATCTATCATTTATATACCCAATTATAAGTATTCTCTATTCCCTTGTGTTGTTTTTCGTTTGTCTTTTTGAGACAAGGTCTTGATATGCAGTTCAGGCTGGCCTTGAGCTCACTCTGTAGCCCAGGCTGGTCTGGAACTTGCAAATGACTCTCCTGCCTCCCCAGTGCTGGGACTACAGGAGTATGCCACCACACCAGTTCCTATTTCCTCGTCTTTCAACTATGCCATCTGATTTTTTAAAAAATCCTAATTAGAAGATAAACAAGCTAATTACTAGTTTTACAATTCTTTATTTTTTTTAAGGGTTTGGGAGTCATCCTTTTTTATTTTAAACACTTAGGAAATTATCATTCTATATCCCTGTCACTGTGGGAGCTTAACTTGGCATCTTTGCCCTAGCTGGACCATATGCTTGTTATAGAAATGAGACGGTTTTATTACTCCTTCAAATTAAAGAAATGTAGATAACACAAACTGCTATAAAATTTAGGATGAACTTCCGGAAAGAATTGCAGCAAATAGTGCAGTGAAATCTTACAAGACAGGATGCTATTAATATTGAAAATTTATGTATGTAACTATTTAAAATGGAATGGTTTTAACTGTGTGGCGGTATAAAGTAAAATTTCTTGGTTTTGTAAAATCATTATGTAATCTAGCTATGTTATTCAATAACATTGCTTTATTTTCTCTTTGCATAAGATTTTTCTGGGTTAGCAGAATTTTTACTTCAACAACTCTCTATGCCTCTAGGATCAAATTTAAACTCTTGCAAAATGGCTTACAAAGGCCTTCATCACTTGAGTCTTACTAATTATTCTCTGGTCTTCTTTTTAAGTACTTTACATAGGCATAATTGACTTTAATAATACTTCTATTTTTGGGCCCATGTTAAGTCTTCTCTTAATTTATTCTTCACTTTACATCTCCCATCCTTAGAAGTAACCTAATCTACTGGGGTTTGGTGTTGTTGTTGTTTGGTTTTTTTTGGTGCCAAGGATCGAACTCATGATCTCATGACTGCCAAGCAGGCACCCACACCACTGAGCTAAACTCCTGGCCCCTAATCTACTATTTTTAATGCTCATCTTTATCTTTAGATAGGCGTTACACACATTCTTTAAAAATACAGTTTTATAATGTATCTTTACAATTTTGTTTGTGATCATTTCATATTATACTTGATTTTACTTCACTGGTTCTGACAAAAACATTAATATCAATTTTATCACAGATATATCTCAAACGTTGTCTATTCTTGTGACAATACCTCATTTGCTCCCAGCATCTTGCAACCAAAAATGTAACAAATATCTTTCTGCGACGTCTCCTTAGAGGCTTGTCAGGTATTTTCACAGGTGAGTAATTGCTGGGCCACAGTCTACTCACACTATTTCACCAAATACTGCCACAAGCGCCTCCAGAACACTTAGGTTGTTTACACCCTCTCTTGCAGCACAAGATAATTTCTTTTCCATATCTTTGCCAGTGCTTGATCCTAGTCAACGTTTTAACTTTTGCCATTTAGTAAATGCAAAATTGTTTCTCACTGTCATTTTGCAAATATCAACATAGGCATGCTTGTAATCCCAGCATTTAGGAGACTGATGCAGGAAGACTGCCTCGAGTTCAAAGCCAGCTTGGGCTACATAGTAAAATTCAAGAGCAGCCTGAGCTACATAACGAGTCCCTGTCTCAAAACAACAAAACAAAGCAGTATCAACAACAAATAATCACCTGTACTCTACAATACTCTTAAAATTTTTGCCTCAATATTTTAACCATTTCTAGATTGTCTTGCAAATATGTAACCAATTCTAACCAAACCTAAAATTAAACGAACTACTTTAAAACCAAATTTCCAATTCTCAAAAAAAATTCTAATTTTGTCTTTCTTCCCTATGAGATATCAACACTCTGTTGAGGTAGAGTTCTCCCTTACTGCGATAAGTAATAAAACCAGCACTGTTTCTCAACAGGTTGTTAAGATTTATCCTGTAAGATTCTTCCTCTGCTTCCTCTGGCCTAGAGCCTACAAGACATAAGCCACTCTCTTACTATAGGCATACTTTACTAACCTGGTCTTAAACTCCTTTTATCTTTTTAAAAACCACTCTTTTTTTTTTTTTTTTTTTTGTCTTTTTCCTTTTTTTATCGATACCGGGGAAAAATCACTCTTTTTACGTGGCTTCTTTTTTTGTATTACCAGACTTGGTGGACATTTCCTTGTTTTAAATTTTTCCCATTATTTCTTTATACGTCAGCGAACTAAGTATTAACTTCTTAAGCTTCCTCTGGCACCATCAAGCTAGTCTTTCCCATCCGAATCGAACTGTTTCCTTTCTCCGGAGGAGGCAAAACTTGGGGAAACAGTTCAAATATAGTTCCCTGAGGACATGCACACCGCCTCTTTGAGTTCCCATCAGGATCTTTCGTCGGCCCCGACTAGTCCGTTTCCATCGTACAGTTTTCTCTGCTAGACTTGGGAGTTCCTGAGATTAAAAGTGGGAAACGCCCCCAGGCCATCTTGGTTTAGTTGCTAAATAGTCCGCGACTGAAGTGGGCAGGACCCCGAACCCGCAGAGCAGGTGCTGCCTCTAGCCAGCTCTGGGATCCAGTCCGGCCCTGCGGCCCCGCTGCATGCCGGGATTTTTAAGTCGGGGCCAACGGCCCACTGGCGAGGCGAACCCAAAAACTCACTCAGGAGCCTCTGGATGACGCCTCACCCAATCCCGCCTCTTAGCGCTCATCCTTAAGAGAAAATGCGGCCCCGCGGCATTTACCGTAGCGACCACAAAGGTGACGAAACTGGCCACAAACTACTTCTCTCCACCTCCTTTCACGCAACCGCGAGCCGCCAGAAGTGAACCTTGAAGCTAGTGCTCAAAATTCCAACTGATTAAGCGCCTACGCAAAAGAAGCAAAGGCGGGATGCTATCGCGTTTCTGATTGGCTGGCTATTGGGTCAACGGGGGTACGTGGTTTAGTGACGAAAGAGTCCGGGAACGAAAGCTAGCTGTGGCCTGCGGGGATTGGCGGAAGGAACCGGTACTTTCTCTCCTTTCCCCTGTGTTGATGGGTGGAGAAGTAAGTGGGAGGGGCACTACGGAGATCCAACCCGTCATTGGTGGGTAAGCGTTCGTTAGGGCACTAGCGATTGGTGGTAGGCTGATTTCGTGGCGCTGACTGGACAACAGAGCTACCGTAGGTTAAAGGTAGGGGCGTTTGAGCCCGCCCCGCCGCTTGAGCATACTGGCGGAAGGGGAAGGGGAGCTGGTAGGTGGCGGTGGGGAAGATGGCGTACCAGAGCCTGAGGCTGGAGTACTTACAGATTCCACCGGTTAGCCGCGCCTACACCACCGCTTGCGTCCTCACCACAGCGGCTGTGGTGAGCAGCTTCTGCGCCGCCTTCTAATTTCCGGGCTGAATGTGTTTGACTCTTCAGCAAACTGGGGATTGGGCCTCGGGAACGCCCAGAGGGTTTGGTCTGAGGGGTGGATAGAGGTGTGTGGGGCTAACTCTGAGGTTCGAAATGGACCCAAGAGTGCTAATCCAGTGACCTGAGAAGGGTGGGCTGCTTCTTGAGTCAGGTTCGTCGCTGAGAGGAAATCCTAACCTAAAGCGGGAGCCGCCCACCCAAGAAACCTGTGTAAGAGCTCTAACAATTGTCTGGTTTTCCGTGGTGTCTAAAGAAAGCAGAATTCGCTAAGCGAGGAGATTTGTGTGTGGAGGCTACAACGCTGGAAATTATCGAAAGACAAGCATATTAAAATAAGCCTGTGAATATAAGGGGCAGGCTGGCGGCACGGAGCTCCAATGGTGGCAGGGGCTCAGTTGTTTCAGCGAGTTGTGTTGCTTCATCCAGCTGTCCCAGGTGGTGCCCACGTGATGGGCAGATTGGTAGCAACTGTCTCCCTTTACTAGCCCTGTATTTAAAGTACCACCCGCCAGCTTCCCATGTCTTCATATCATCCTCAAGTATTGCAGGATAAAACTTTGTGTGTTAGGTATTAAAGATACAAATAATTGTACCAGTTGTAGAGAATTCGTTACAAACCTTGTCTGTGATCTTAAAGGCTTAAAGTTACAAGAAACCGCTACACCTACCAACCTTTGTTGTAAATGGCAAAATTTTATTTCTTGATTGATTTGCTTTAAGCAGCTCTTTTTCTATTTCAGCAGTTGGAATTGATCACACCTTTTCAGTTGTACTTCAACCCTGAATTAATTTTTAAACACTTTCAAGTAAGTAATCCATCATAACTGGTTAATATTTCCTGTTTTTGTTGTTTATAGTAAATTCTGTCATGTAGTATTTTAAAAAAATTAATTGGCGACTTTTGACTAGTTTTATTGTTGAGGTGTAAAGATGCTTTAGAGTCAGGGAACTTTGAAAAGATTTTTAAGTGCTTCACTGTATGTCAGATCAGAATCACTGAAGATAAAAATTTAGAATCTGTGTTTGTTTGTTTGTTTGTTTGTTTTGTCTTTTGAGACAAGGTCTGAGCAGTTCAGACTGACCTTGAGCTCACTTTGTGTCTCAGGCGAGTCTCAAACTTGCAACGATCCTCCTGCTTCAGCCTCTCGAAATACTAATTCTCATACTGGGATTACAGGTGTATGAAGCCACACCTGGTTTAGAATCTTTATTTTTAAAGTTTGCTATATGGTTTTGAGAGGAATCACTTATAAAGATTTCGTGTTGTAGTTTGAGAGGAGACTGACCAGCTAGCTGCCCAGGAAGTTCTATCTCTGGTGTCAAATAATAATAATAATAAATTAAAGTGATCCTTCTCCAGAGATCAGCCCATACTAACACCACTCTGAAAGACCAACATCTAAAACAATATGCTGGTTTATTAGATTACAGGGGAAAATAGTGTTTTCCATTGACTAAAATGCTAAAAGAAACATATCTTTCTACTCCAGGATGACGATATAGACTTTGTGGTGGAGAGATCCTAAAACCAGTAATTCTTCCCTTACACATGATGTTCCTTGTTTCTCAAATGCATTGCATTCACTTATACTTAGTGAAATCCAGTTCATCTTACATGATGCAGCTTTTATGTTGCCTCATTCTTGTCTTTGGTCTTTCCTTGCGATTAGTTGTTTGTATCTTTGTGTTCTAGCCACCACATTTACTCCAGAATAAAATCTAACTGGACAATAAGCATACTATAATTTTCAGTGTGCTCTACCCCCAAAATAAGCCCAGTAAGATTATCAGCCAGACAGATGCATTTAGTATGTCTGTTACAACACAGGACACACATATTGAATTGTAAAATAATAATGTATAATTAATAGTGACAATGTAAATTGTAATCAAGTATATGTAAATACCCAAGCAGCACCTTTGGACAAGACGTATACACCTATGTAAACAATTGAACTCAAGACTTACTGCTAAATGACCAGTCAGAATACAGACACAACACACAAAGTGTCATGTACACTTGATAATGAATGGATGTGGGTGTGTCTGATATGAGTCTTTATAATTCAGCATGCTATGTATTTTAGCAGACATACTTAATGCACTACTGTGAAATAAATATTTTCTGAATATTGATACCGGCAATTTTTCATCACTTGTGTGTGGAGCATAATCCTTAGCTGTTGTGTGCCACTCCTGTCTCATAAATTTTCAGTTAACACGTGACCAAATGGAAACTTTGTGGAGACTTGCCTGCAAGAGGTCATGACTTGAGTGAAGAATTCATGGGATAAAATCAGTGACAGCTGTGTTCCCAGTGCAGTAGGAGCAGGCTATATGGACAAGCAATGCTCATTTAAGGAGATCTCTGTTGCTGAACATGAGAGATTGGGGCCACTGGTTCTATAGGAAATGAAGTCAAAAGAAATTCAGGCCAGAATTCGGTGTTAGGGTTATGACAGTATTCCAGAGAAAGGTGACATGACTGTATTTGGATAAATGTAGATTTTTGTACATGAATAAAAATAAATGTAGGTCTTGATTAGATCTTATGCCCTGAAAATAAGCCCTGTTGCATCTTTTGGAGCAAAACTTGATACAGGATTTGGTCTTATTTTGGGGGAAATCCTGTAGGATGAGGTTTCTAAAATCTTGGGAGCAATTAATATGTACAGTTGTTTCAGTTTTAATAGCTACTGATTCTGAAGGATTTGATGGTACATGAAGCTGTTCTCTAGTCTCTTGTCACAACCTTCTTCCTTCAGTATGCATGTGGCCTTTGCTGTGGCTCCATCAAGGTGTTGCTTCTTGCTGACTTGCTTGGTTTGAATATGCCTGGTATTAGTCTTAAAGATACTGCATGTGTATTTGAAGTTAGGCATTCTAGATTCAAGATCGGGATCTCTGCAAGCTGTTTATCTTCGGGCAAGCTGTTTAAAGTTATCCAAGTAGTCTAGTTATATGAAATGGGAATGATAATATCTGCTTCCTTGTGTCACAGGATTTTTAAGGTTGTAAGAAAGTAGATTATATGTTTGATACTTTAAAATGTTAACTCTCCCAGTGCAAGTAGTTGTGGGTGTAGATGGATTAAGTAGCTAAGGATATTAGGGTGCCCAACATGAATGTGAATCCCTTTTTATTTCCCAATTGGACTCTTAGAGCCTTACTTATAGAAAGTTGACTGTTCAGACTAGGATTTGAGTATTTGTCTTAGATCCTTGAAGTTTTGTCTTATATCTGTGGACTCATTAGATTTTGATACTTCATAGGTAAAAGCACTATTTTCTATTCTACAAATTAGGGTGTCTTTTTTGTTTTAATATGGAAATGTTAAAAATATGGAAATGTTCCTGGTAATATATTTAATCCATCTTTCTCTTGATTTTTTTTTTCCTACAGATATGGAGATTAATCACAAATTTCTTATTTTTTGGGCCAGTTGGATTCAATTTTTTATTTAACATGATTTTTCTGTATCCTTTATTAAGTAGAATCAACATCAAAACTAGGGTCACAGGAAGTGAAAGTGTTAATCCTGTTATTTTTGGTGCCGAATTATAGTTTCTAGGTCAGTGGTACATAAAGTAATTGGTCATATTGTAATGTTTTGAAAGTGTTTGTAGCTGCTTACATAGGAAGTTCTAACCATAAAAAAGTATCATTATTGTCCTTAAATTGCTTACAAATCTAATCAAGGAAGAACATACTTGTACAATAGTTGTATAATAACTTGTAAAAACTTGAAATATACTTGTAAAATAACATTCAGAGTATAAAATGGTAAGGTACAACCTGAATACAGTGGTAATTTAATTGATAGCTTTACCCAGGCGTGGTGGGCCACACCTGTAATCCCAGCACTCAGGAAGCTGAGGCAGGAGGATCCCTGCAAGTTTGAGGTCAGCCTGGGCTACAAAATGAGTTCAATGCCAGCTTGAACTGCATAGGAAATCCTGTCTCAAAAAAGACCAAAAGGACTGGGAATTTAGCTCAGTGGTGTAAGTGCCTGCTTAACAAGCACAAGGTCATGAGTTCGATCCCTAGTACCAAAAAAACAAAAAAATCAATAATAATAATAATTGACAGCTTTACAGCAGCTTTGAAAATGAGTTCATGAGGGATAGAGACCTGAGATCTTGAATTTTAGTTGCTGGTTTTACCGGTTGAAAAGATAGTGCCGTAATATCCATTAGACTTGCCTTGTTCCAGTGTGTTGAAAGACAAGTAGGGCCTGGTCTGGACAAATGTGGTTTTGACCACCGAGCACAGTATTCCTCCTCAGTCCTCACCCCAGAAGTAAAGTGCATTACAGTTCAGTTTATATCGCAGTAGACATAATGCATTAAGATTTTTCATTGTAATGTGTCTTTATTAACTGAGTTATACAAATGATAACTTGGCCCGGTATGGAAAAGTACCTTATCACACAAGGCTTCTATATAGAGAATTCTTCCAAATTCTTAGGGTAAAGACAATTCTACAAATTGGAAAAAATTTTAAAGTGATTGAAAGTATTTTTATGCAGCATCTAGATTAGTTCCTCAGCCATATGGTGCTAGTCTTGACCTTCCCTAAAAATACCTAGTAAAAAAGGGGGGGTGTAGTCAGGCATAGTGCCGCATGTTAGTAACCACAGTGCTTGGGAGGGCTGAGGCAGGAAGACTGCCATGAGTTGGAGGCCAGCCTGGGTCGTATAGTGAGTTCAAACCTAGCAGCACCACTCAGACATTGATGCAGAAATGAATCATGTGAAGTCCAAGTATACTTAAGAGCTTAAATTTTACTTTTCTTTATTTTCTTAACTTGGAACTTAAGATATCGTTACTGTCGAATGCTAGAAGAAGGCTCTTTCCGAGGTCGGACAGCAGACTTTGTATTTATGTTCCTTTTTGGTGGATTCTTAATGACTGTATCCTTGAAAAAAACTGAACAAATACAGGAAAATGTTAAAGAACAGCATGTCTCTTCCTAAAGCTTTTTATCTGTCTCCTATGATTTGCTGGATACTCTGAACAAACAGATAAAAGCACACCTCCAGATTTTAGCTTCAGGGCATTACCATTTATTTTCCAGCAGACTTTCTGTGACAGCTTTCCAAGAATGTCTTTCCACCACTGTGAGCAAGGCACAGGAGCTTTTAACCCAGGTGGGTTATTCAGTTATATCACTGTTGATGAGTGTACATCACCTGTAAACTAAGTTAGATGTGTGATCACTATCAAACATGATTCAGTTTTGTTGTGCATAACAGACCTGGATATAGGACTATCTGACAAGATGGTACTGTTCCAGCTAACATTGTTCATCTGTAAAGGTGCTAATGGTGAGTGAGCTTTTACTGTTACGATTAGGAATTAACATTTGCCAAAGAAGAAGAGCTTCACAAAAGTAGTCACTTGGTGCGTTCAGATAGCTTTAATCTGGATGATTGCACCTACGCAGGTTTTTGACTGGTTGCTGTAGGTCATTGGTGGCAAACCTATGGCACATGTGCTGCAGCGCACTGTTTGTTGTCATTGAAAGCTCTTAAAAGGTTCGCCATTGCTGCGCTAAGTAATTGTCTTCGGACTTTTTCCCTAATACTCCAAAGATGTGATCACTTAGCCTCCCCAATTCAAACTTTCATTGGAATGCAATCTTTAGTGCTGTAAAGTCTCAATCCTCCCTATTATGCTTTCAATATTGGTATTTTCCTTAATGCCATCTGCTAGCTTTTTGGTTTATTTGTGAGCTTAGTTTTCTTGGGCCAGGCCTTTACAATAATGCTCGTCTACGTGTGGAGCCGAAGGAACCCATATGTCCGCATGAACTTCTTTGGCCTTCTCAACTTCCAAGCCCCTTTTCTGCCCTGGGTGCTCATGGGGTTTTCCTTATTGTTGGGGAACTCAATCATTGTGGACCTCTTGGGTAAGAGTCTTAATGCTACTTTTTTCTGTTGGTTTACCCTATAAATTTATGTTGTCAATATTTTTTCATGTTTACCCTGTGCTTCATATGTATGTATGTGTGTGTGTATATATATATATATATATATATATATATAGCTATTGTAGGATTATTTGATAGTTACATCTTAAAGACTACAATATTAATTCATTAATTTTTAATAGTTTCACTGATATTTGTCTTAAATATAAGCAGTTTATGTTGGTAGTTTCATGTACCATCAAAATTTGAGTCCTCTCCGTCAGTCTTTATTTCTGATTGACTGTAGGTATTGCAGTTGGACACATATACTTTTTCTTGGAAGATGTATTTCCCAATCAGCCTGGAGGAATAAGAATTTTGAAAACGCCATCTATTTTGTGAGTATTTGACCCATGTTCCATGTCTAAAATATGACAGGACCGTGATCTGCATTTCATTAGGATTTTTACAGCTTTTGGTACACGTAGCTTAAGGTCAGTCAATATTTGCAGGTTGTATAATCTGATTACAGATGAGGTACACTTGAATTGGGTAGGAGTAGACAGTTCTAAGATGGGGGCAAAAGAGATTAATGGCCTCAGATGACGTGGAGGTGACTTGGTTATTATTGACCTGGATGGCAACCATAATCTATCTTAGGAAGGAGCCTATGGTTTTAGGAAAGGTGCTGTCCAGGTTTAGAGAAGCTTCTAGTGGGACTTTAGACACAGTCCTAAAACCTAGGTAGAACTAGGCTTGAACTCATGGTCCTCCTCCATCAGCCTTTCCAATGCTGGGATTATAGGAATGTGACACTACCCAGCTTGCCATAGAATTCTTGGTGGATATATGTTTTTAAAATTTTCCTGCAGTTTGATTTTAACACTGCCCCTGGTCTCCACTGTGATTAGAAGAAGTCAGGGGTGTGTGGTGTGGTTTGGATATGATGTAATTGTATAGCCCCAGAGGTTGCTGTGGTTGGAGGCTTTGTTCCCAGGGTGGTACTGGGAGGTGCTGTGGAACTTTTAAGGTTGGGGCATATTGGGAGGTTCTTAGGTCATGTGACCCCTTAGTAGTTGGAGAGAGTTATAAAAGGAGCTGACCTGGCACCACCGAGCTCTTGTGGGCCTCAGATTTGAGATTTAGTCACTTGCTAAGTCCAAGTCTTGCCTGAGCTCAGAGCACTACTCTGTGCTATAGGCATGCAGCCAAGGTGCGGTGTAGTGGAGACTACATTGTATTTTGGGCTTTTAGCCCATAAACTTAATAATTACCATGTGTTAGGTATTTATTTCACTGATGGTGAAAAGCTGACTAATACAGTATGTATGTGTTTCGAATATGATGAGTTCTTTTTCACTTCTTTCCAGTTTTCTTTTTGACATGCAGCATTTGACTATATTGTATCTTGATCGGTTCAGTTTTCTGAGCTAGGAATTTGAATTGTAAGACCCTTTTCTATTCCACAATTCTGTGTCTTTGCGAACTACTATAGTTTTTCAAAAAGGGCTCATTTAAAGAGGAAAATACGAGTTTTTGCTACCCATTGTTTGTTGTAGGATAGGTGAGAAAGTAAAATCATTCATAATAGCATAGCAGTGGCTACCATTGTTCACTTTGATGTATACAGTCCTCTGCAATCAGTGTGACTTTTCATACCCTTTTTAGCTTAGTATGTCATGATCACTTTCCCATCATAAATGTCCTACAAAATTGTAAAAGCCACATGATAATCCATGGTACGGACTTAGCATAATTTTACAAGTCCAATTTTGGTGGACATTGACATTAATTTTTGCTCTTCCTTTCTATAATTGGAGTGGTAAATTTCCTTGTAGCCAAATCTTTGCACATATCTATGATTATTTTTAAAGCATAAATTCTCAGAAGTAGAACTACTGTTCAAATTACTACTAAAATACTTTCCAAAATGGTTCAAGTTTACATTTCTACCAGCAATGTCTAGGAATTGATTTCTTTATACTTTTATCAAACCCTTATTTACTATTTCCTATTTTGAAACTATAAGGTAGTGTCTCATTGTTTTTTATGATTTAAAAAACTTGAGAAAATTTCAGAGTTACAAAAAATTATACATGTGTTGTAGTTAGGGGTTGTGCAGAGAACAATTAGAATCAGGACATGGAGTTCATATTATTATTTTTATAATGGTCACCAGGAGTTAACATAAGAAAATGCAGGAAATCTATCCACAACACCAAGGACATAGAGTATTTAGTCAGGGCCTAAATCCCACAGCAATGTCCCACATGAGTCCAGATGAAAATCCAGATGTCATGACAATGCCTCTCACGAGTCCAACTGGAGGTCCAGAGCCCACAGGAAGGACTCACCCCAGTCTCTTACGGATCCGTGCCGGGAAGGCTCAAAGGTCAGCGGTGGAAGCCACAAAGTCCATGCCAGCAGGATGAAGGAGCTGTGCTGGTGGGATGAGGGTTCTATGCTGGAGCTGAGAAGTCACACACACAACAAAGACCGGGGATGTCCTGAAAGGCACCACAGCCATCCTCAGCGACTTGGAGGCCCCGAGCTCCTCCCACGACAAGCACAGTCGGGAACATGCCAAGAAGCCAGCATGACAAATTCTGGAGACCAAGCAGCACACGTCTTCCCCTCCAGAGCCAGGAATTAATGTTCGATGTGAGGACCAGAGCTTCTCCAGGAGAACCAGTGGCTCAAACAGTAACTCGTAGAACCCACAATGCCTCAACGTAACAACACCCTCCTCCTTCTCCACCTAGTCATGCTGGTGGCTTTCCTCAGGTGCAGCATCTTCGCTCAGTGCCATGCTGATGTAATCCAACTGGCGTTAAGTTGACCACCAGTTCTTAATCCATAACAACATGTATACAAATGACTTTTTTAAACCTTTAACTATTAGAAGAGTGATGGTGAACCTTTTAGAGATCCAGGGCCCAAGCAACTCAAAACTCATTTATTACAAAGTGCTAGCACTGCAATTATATCTGAGTACTGAGGCTTTAGTTTAGAAAACAGCTGTCATTCAGTGCTCGGCTGCTGAGGCAAGTTGGCTGTTGTGAAGACAGCCTGCATGCTTGTTGTGGCACACATGCCATAGGTTACCACCACTATAAATTATTCATGCAACTTGATGTTCCCCTTAATGTATATTCTTATACATAGTCCAATCAGGATCTAAGCATTACATCTCAGACCCTATTCAGTTTGGTCAGTTGTCCTAATAATAGTCTAAAGAACATTATATAACATAAATATATAATTTTGCTATAAATAGCAAAGAATAATGATTCGGGTATTGTAGTTAGTTGCCTTCTATTTGGAATAGCTGATCTCCTTGACTTTCATAGATGTGCGCCCATTTTACAGAATGACTAATGTTCTCTCGTATTTAGATACAGAGTTTGCATCTTTGGCAGGAATGTAAGAGAAATGATTGTGTTCTGCTTGCAACCTCTTGGCACAGAATTTCAACTTAAATAGGATTTCATCATATTTGTCCAAGTGATGGTAATCACTTTGTATGATTAAGGTATCTGCCAGGTTTCTCACTGTAATTAAGCTTTTTCCTTTTGGAATTGAGTATTTTTTGGGAAAGTACTTGGAGGTTGTTACACTTTACACCTAAAATGTCTCCCAAAAGCTTCATGTGTTCAGAGTTGGAATCTGTAGAAGATAATTAGGTCAGGGCACTGTATTATATCAATGGATTAATCCACTAGTGGGTTCAGAGGTAGAGTCTGGTCAGAAGGGACAAGTTACCGGGGTATAACCAGACAGGGTGTGTCTCCCTCCCTAGCTTCTCCCTTCCGTCTCAGCTTCCTAACTGCCATGATATTAGCAGCTTTTCTCTGCCAGACCCTTTCATCTCACCCTTCCTGCCAAAAATGTACTAAATCTACTAAGAAGCTTGAGCTGAAATAAACCTCTCCTCTCTAAGTCGTGGATGTCTGATATTTTGGTCTAGTGACCAGAAAGTGATTTAAGACAGAGACTAGCTTGGCTTGGTGGCTCATACCTGTAATCTGAGCACTCAGGAGGCTGACAGGAGGATCCATGCAAAACCAAGGCCACTGTGGGCTACACAGTGAATTCAAGGCCAGCCAAAACTACATAGCAAGACCCTGTCTCAAAATAAAAAGAGATTGTACAGATGCCAGGGATTTAGCTCAGTGTTTTAAGTGCTTGCTTGGCATGAGTTCAGTCCTACTAACAAAAAAAGATTATGTAGATATCCCTCCTCTTTCACATGTGCACAGATTGATGGTTTTATATTTTATTTATAACCTTTTATCATTAATAAGGTGTCTCATCTGGCTAATGGAAACCACTTAATGCTATCTTTTAAGGCTTTTAAATATGTCTACATCATCATCATTATTTTAAGCACTTTATTACTTCTGGCCCAATAGGATGTTCTGGCTCTTCTTGACCTAGTTCTAAAATCATCTGTTTCTTCAGATGCTGGTTGCTTTTTAGTAAAGAACAGTACTTAGAAGCCAAGATCTGGATGCTAGATGTGCTCATTGCTAGTCAAGTATTGACATTCTTGGGTCCTCATGGTGAAATAACAGGATTATATGTATGTATACTAGCATGGACACGTGTAGATTAGTTTTACATGTTCGACAACCTCATGCATAGACTCATGCAGTACGGATATATTTTTGTATAAATAAGTCATCTATTCGATGTGTTATGTGTCTTTGAAATTCGTCTATGTTGCTTCGTTATGCCCACCTCACCTACCACTGACTGGCATCCTATCAGGTCACCTCCATGTCTGCATAACCTGGGGGGCCCTTGATTCCTTATATTAGTGTACTTCTCCCATTTCTGTTCTGTCCGGGCCACTAACACTCCACTCTCTTCCATGGACACCTATTTTTTTCTTCCTCCCTTAATGTTTGATAACTAGGAGGGCTCTGTGATTTTAAAATGCTTCCTACTCGACCTGGTGGTACATGCATGTAAACTGAACGTTCAGGAGGCTGAGGCAGGAAGATTGCTGGAAGTTCAAGATCAGTCTGTTCTACTCAGTGAAACCCTGTCTCAGACCAAAAAAATAAAATAAAAAGCATTGTTTTGGTTATTGTGCAAGCATACATTTTGGCTGCGGGGGCTGGATTTTTGAGGCAGGGTTTCATCATACAGTTCAGGCTGACCTTGAACTTAATTTGTAACCCAGCCCAGGCTGGTTTTGAATTGCAATAATCCTTCTGCCTCAGCCTCCCAAGTGCTGGGATTACAGGCATGTGCCACCATGCCAGGCCACAATCACATACATTTTCATGTTTATTGACATTAAGGATTTCCTTTTTGGATTATCTGCTCATCCTTTGCCCATTTCTCTATTGGTGGCCTTGTTTTTTGTTGTTTTGGGGTTTTTTTTTTTGCACTACTGAGCCATCTAACATAAGGCCTTACAAATGCTAAGCAAATGCTTTTCCACTTTGCTATACCCTAAGCCCAATGATATGCTTGTTTGAGTTAAAGTTCATTTAGAAATACATTTTTTTCTGACTCCAGTATAAATTTACAAATAGTGCTAATTGAGGATGCTACTTTAATAGTTCATTTTTTAATGAGATAGTGAATCAATGTATATTGAGGACCATTCTGTATAATTGTTGAGGAAAAATCATTTCATAATTAAATTGTGATTTTGGCTTGTCTGAGGCCTAGTGGTTTGCCTGCAGGCTGGCTAGTGAACATAATTCCTTGAGCCTGCAGGCACAGTTGAAGCCTCAATAGTCCCCCACCACTACCATGCTGTGATGCCCCAGGGCAAGATTGAACCAGTTTAAGACATCCTGGTTTCGGGGCTGGGGATTTAGCTCAGCGGCATAAGCGCCTGCCTCGCAAGCAGGCAGTCGTGAGTTCGATCCCTGGTACCGGTAAAAAGGAAAAAGACAAAAAAAAAAAAAAAAAAAAAATCCTGGTTTCTTGAGAACCCAGCAGTAATAAAAATAGAGTTTCACCATGGGGAAAGGACAAACTCCTTAACCTGCCATCTACCCCCACCATCCTCATCAACATAAAGATCAGGTCTCTGAGTCATCTGATAATCCCTCCAGTTAAGATATGCACCCAATAAATAGTGACTAGCTCCTAGTGTCTGTCTCTGCCCATCCTGAGGTATTGACTTCCCAGCACGTGCGCCGCCGCCCCCCCCCCATTTATCTCCGTTTGTTACTTCATCCTTTTGTTGGACCCCTCACACAGGCAGTGGGGGATCTTGGCCAGGTCCCTGATGGATACACAGTTGTAGCTGAAAAGTCTTTTGAACATTTAGTATCTCTATGCTCTGTCGTAGTTTTTCTTGGGATATTTTAATTTTTAAAATAATTATGGTACTTAATGTAAAATTTATAGTCTTACCCATTTTTAAAGGACCATATCAGTGATATTAAGTATATTCATATTGTTGTGCCCCATCACTACTATTCATAGAAATCTTCAAAAACTGAACCTCTTCTCTCCTTTAAATGACTCCCCACTTTTCCATCATCCTAGTACCTGACAGCTACCATTCTATTTCTATCTTTTCGAATTTGATTAATCTAGATACCTCAGATAAGTAAAATCATGCAGTATTTGTGACTGACTTCATTTAGTATAATGCCATCAAGGTGCTTCTGTTCTTTCGTCTTGTATCATATGTTGGAATGAATGTCCTTTTCTCCTTATATGTGGGGTGCTGACCTGCCTAATTCTTTTTTCTATTCTATTCTTTTCGTTTTGTTTTGTTTTCTTGGACAGGGTCTTTGGTAAGTTGCCTAGGCTGGGTTTAAACTTTTAATCCTCCCTCAGTTGCCCAGAGTGTTGGAATTAAAGGTATTTACCAACATACCTGGCCTCATTTAGCTATTGATGGACACTTGTGTGAAGAGGAGACCTTCATGATAAATTAAATGAAAGTCTAGTTGTAAAACAGGAGAAGTGTGACCTAACTTTTATAGAATCGCAGTCATTTAATTTTAGGAGAATAAAGTATCAACAGTAGCTATCTTAGGTTGCAGGATTTTTTTTTTTTTTTTGGCTTCTGGATATTTTGTTCATCTATATTCCTTTTTTGTTCAGTTAACATGTGCTTTTGTAGTAAACAGGAGTTAAAAGTTAATGTAAATTGGAGCTGGGGATTTAGCTCAGCGGCATAAGTGCCTGCCTTGCAAGTGTGTGGTCGTGAGTTCGATCCCTGGTACGGATAAAAAAAGAAAAAGACGAAAAAAGTTACTGTAAATCTTAATTAACTGTAGACATCTGTAAGGTATGATAAATTTCATTTGGCAGGCAGATCTAATACTTGTCCATTGGTGGCAGACTTGTGGGAGTAAATTGACCTTATAATACTTGGCCTAAGATGATTCTAGGACTTAATTATATTTGTTTCCTGTCTTAAAGGAGGACTATTTTTGATACACCAGATGAAGACCCAAATTATAACCCACTACCTGAAGAACGTCCTGGAGGCTTTGCCTGGGGTGAGGGCCAGCGCCTTGGAGGTTAAAGCATCCTTGCCAGTAATGAGACCCAGCTGGGAAAGACTCAGTGAATTACACATTGGGATTCTTTTATCCTTTGTTGCAAAAGTGTGGACACTTTTGACAGCTTGACAGATTTTAACTCCAGAAGCACTTTACAGGATGGTACACTGACTAATCCAGAAGATATTTCCAGCGTTTTGCCAGTGCTTCCTCACTACACTGGTACTGAAAGTGTAATCTCTTGGAGCCAAAAAACTGGAGAAACAGTTATCCTGCTGCCTCCTAACAAGTACATGAGTACTTGTGATGGTGTAAGGCAGGCCTTTTCCTTCCTCTTCTTTGATAGATGAGGCCATGGTGTAATGGAAGTTTCAGAGAGGACAAAATAAAACTGAATTCCATCTCTCTTTCACTGTATTAAAGCTTTTATGTGTGATCTTTTAAATTATGTGTTCTAGCTCTCCTGTGTTGCTCTAAATTCAGAGCAGTTTATATGCCTGCTCTTCCACATCTACAAAGTTTTTAACTGAATTTCATTTCACGATTGGAAATACGTGGTTGATGTACTGTGGTTGTATACATCTTGCTAATTCAGAGTGCTGGCCGCAGTAGGAATATTTATCTCTGTCCTTCAGATAATTTGGTCTCCACTTGGGAACTGAGAAACTTCAAGTCAGACCACAAAGGAGAAAGAAAAAGGAAGGCAGTTTCATTAGCAGGAGGAATTCCACTGTAGAAAAATCAGCTGTAAGCAGAAAGTTAATCTGGCATGTTTATTTGTTGTGCCTGGTTTTTTCCAGTGGGAAATACTGAAGAAGACACTAGTAATTGCTAGTTTTGGAAAACTGGGAAGAGAAATTGGCAGCAATAGGCATACGTTCCTCCTTGGCCTTTGAATGGTTAATGATTTTCATTTGCTTCATGAAAAGGTGAAAACCTTTTCAGAGCCAAGTACCTCGTTTACCTTCGTAATCAGATAGAAATTAGGGTCTAAAAAATTTGGCACTTGATGCCTATTTAATAATTACTGATCCAAATATTAAGTCTCCCTTGGTCTCAAGAGGTTTATGTTCATACTGCTTAACAAGAACCTAGAAGAGTAAAAAATGAATACCCCCAAGAAAGAGGTGCAGTAGTCCTGTTGTGGACTAAGGGTAGCCTTCCATAGTGAGATTCTCCTCAGAAGAATTGACATTGGCTTAGATTAGACATAAACACTGGGAATTTCCAGATTGTTTCTGAAATTAAAAGTGTTTTACTGTCCTTCTGAATGGAACATGTGTAACAGAATTTAGAATATGTATTTTACATGTTGCTAGTAACTATCTTTGAATATGATTATTGCAGTTTTATGGAACTTGGGTCAATGGACTGCTTTTATTTCCCTAAATGGTTTAAAGAATCTTCTTAATGTTTGAATGTCAACTTTAGATTGTATAATCTTACGGGATTCTTAAATTTGACCATTTTTGTCTCTGTTCAAGACTACTTTTTCAGTGACTTACTCATTTTGGTGGTTTTGTTATATTTTGTACTTTGCTTTGCAGTACTAGAGATCGAAGCCACCAACCTTAACACCAAACTCCATTTTTTTTTTTTTTTGTCCTTTTCATTTTTATTGGTACCAGGAATCAAACTCACGACTGTCTGCTTGCAAGGCAGGCACTTATGCCACTGAGCTAAATCCCCAGTCCCCAAACTCGTTTTTAATTTTAGTTTTTATTCTGAGACAGGGTCTTGCAGGGCCCAACTTCATGATCCTCCAGCCTTGGTCTCCCAGAGTGCTAGGGTTACAAGCCTAGCACATCTGACCCACATTTTTTTTTTAAATGTTTCAGGGTAGGAATGGGGTTCTGCAGTATTATTTGTTCTTCCTGCATTAATTTTGAGTTAGCCAGTTAATTAAATTTTTATGGTAGAATTTTAATCCTAAAATTTCTCACTTTCCCCTGAGTAAAAATGTCTAGACACATTTGTGGCTAAGTATAACAGGAAAAAACATTTTGATTGTAGAGCCTAAAGAGAGTCAGTTACAGGATACTGGTTTCCCTGATCTTACATGATGTAAAATCCTAGTGGCGGAATTCTGTTGCCACGCTGTCCTGGCAATGATAGTTTGAATCACCAACCTCGTATCTAGCCAGTTCCAGTACCACCACACCTAACCTTGTATTGCTTGACAGGATCTCTGTGTCCTTGGACATAAGGGAAAATCCTTTTTTCCCAGCTTATATCCTGAACTTTATTCTTCGAAAACACACTTCTTTTCATAATACAAGTCAAATGAAAAGTGAGATTTGATACATGGAATGTATCAACTAACCTTACATATATATACCAGTATAATTTGGGAGACTTGGATTCTATCATAATACAGAAAAGCACACCCCTGACTAAGGCATAGGCTTTTTGTTACAGAATGCAGCATATGTTCATTTTAAAAATAAATGGACATATAAATTACATCTCCTAGGAGATACTTTTATATACATCTTGATGTGTGTAGTTTTGTTTTTTACAATGGATTTATTTCTCTCCTAAAGTTGTTCCTTGCTCTCTGTCACTCCTGTATCCTAAAATTTCGTACTATTTGCCCAGTCTCTTGAAGCAAAGCACTCATTTATTTGGATCTTGGTAATGGGATCCTCACTTTGTCTTGGCCTCTAAAGTTTAGGAAATATTGACACTATTGGCCATGTTGAATAATGTGCTTCATAGAATTGTCATCTCTCCTGACATTGTTTTATGTTGTGGCTATATATTCCTTTGAGAAATGGTTTCCATCTCTGTTATACAAGATCCTGCCATTATTTTCAATGTGAATTTGCATTAAAGCTTGTTGACCTTTGTGTGGTTAAATCATTTCTCTGCTGAGAAATCCACAGTGGCTTCTTAATAAGCCTCTATATTAAATTCATACTTTCTGTCTTCCTCTCTGAATCTTACTCCCACGTCCACCTATCCAGGATCCCAATATAAGTCCCTTTAGTCTTTCAAGGCCTTTCCTTGCTCCTGACACCTCAAGAAATCTTGATTGTAAGGCCTATTTCACTATCTATGAATTCCTACAAAATTCCAAATCTGTATGACATACTCTTCCACTAAACTATATACTGTCCGTACTGTTCCTAGCTGGTGTATGTATATTAGTCATGTCTCACAAGAATGTAAGCTCCTTAAGGGCAGGGATCATGTTTAAATTTTGTATCCACCACAGTGCCTAGCACAGTGCTTGGTACATGATTGCTGAATAAATACTTTGTTTATTGATCAGCAAACTATTACCTGGTATTTTTAATTATACAAGTATTAATGGGTATGCATGCAAACTGTGCCTAATTGCTTAGCCTGATGGTTGTCTCTGGCAATGGGCTGGAGCAAAGCTGAATATGACCAAGGTAGTAGTTTGGTATATTCAGACAAGCCAAAGGGATCACCGGCTGGTAAGGTTATAGTCAGCTGAGATATGTAAGTCCACAGATTACCCCTGACAACGTAGTGTGTCTGATACATCACCTTTTGGACAAAGGGCCAGAATATTATTTGAATAAATTATTAGTTTGTCAGCATCTGTATATGAAAGCCACTGAGCCACATGAATTTCACACGGTAACAGATTTCAGACAACTTACATGCAAAATGTCAATATAACTTGGCTTATATAGGATTTAATTTTTTTTTCATCCTTATAGATGTGCTGTGCTTTAACTGAACTTTTTTTTTTTTTTTTTTTTTTTGTCTTTTTGAGACAGGTTCTCTATGCAGTTCAGGCTGACTTTGAGCTCACTTTGTAGCCCAGGCTGGTCTTGAAACAATCCTCCTGCCTCAGCCTCCCAAGTGCTGGGATTACAGGCATGAGCCACCACGCCCAGCTGACTTTTTTTAATAAGCCAATTTTTTAAATTAAAAATCTTCATTTTTTTAGGGCTGGAGATGTTGTTCAGTGGTAGAGCTCTTGCCTTGCATGCACAAGACCCTGAGTTTGATTCACAGCACCAAAAAAGCAAAAACAACAACAAAACACCACTTCAGTTTTTTTGCTTTTCTTGAAAAAAAAAGTAGGAAAAGCCAGCCATGTCAGCACACATCTATAATCCCTGCACTCAGGGCCAGAGGCAGGAGAATATAAAATTTCAGGACAACTTAGCCTCTGTCCCAAAGTAAGAAAAAAGATTAAAAGGGGGCTGCTCTCAGTGCAAGAACTCTGGCTTTAACCACCAGTACTGCAAAGAAAAAAATGCATGTATGACCACCACTGCCTAAAAGATTAATGGTTGCCTCTATAGGTAGGCATGTGCCCTCTGCCTTTTCTCTACAGGAGATGGGGAGAACAAAGAATTTCAAGAAAATAGTAAATGATTTTTTAGGAGAACTCAGTAAGCTTGAGAACATACAGTAGCCTGGGACAGATTCTGGCTCATGATGGTTTGTGAATGAGTCTCTGGGGCCAAGGTAAAGAAGGGTGCCTGAGCAGTCAGTGTCCAGGTGTGCTGACAGTCTTTCCTCCCTGGATATGAGTTTGGTTGATGAAAACTCACATAAGCCTTCAGATTCTTTGGCAGATCTGGACATTGAGCAGATAAATGTACTTTGCAGAATGTCTTATGTTGGAAGAGAAAGGTCAGAGAGATGGATTCTGAAGCAGGTACTAGGCCTTTAAATATCCTCAGATCAAACTGTTCAGTGTCATCCAGGCATGGTGGCTGAGGCAGAAGGATCACAAATTTGAGACCTGTCCAGGTAATTTAACAAGAACCTGTCTTAAAGAAGGACCAGGATGTGGCTCTGTGTGAAGGGTAGAGAGGGCGGACGAAGGGCTTGGGAAGCTTTGGATAATAGATCTAACCCAGTCTGTGAAGAGGCAGCCTAGTTTCAAAAAAAAAAAAAAAAAGCAAAACAAAACAAAAAACCCACATATTTATTATTCTGAGCTCGAACAGTTATTTTTGTCTTTTTCTTTCAACATGATGTTTTTAAAGTACACGCACGCAGTTGTGTTTATCTCTAGTTTGATCCTTAGCACTGGAAAGTGTGCTGGGCTTATTACAACCATCACACCAAACATGACATCTTGTGTTTAGCTTCTTTGTCTCCTTCATACAGATAAAGAGTCAAGTTTGGAGGCTATTCTTTTGACTGCAAAATGGAGTGAAGGCAGTACACAGCATAGTTTTGACAGCAGCCAAATGGACTGTTTTGTGGCTGCAAGAGTGCTCTCTGGCTAAACTTTTTTTTCTTTTTCTTTCTTTGTCTTTTTGAGACAGGGTCTCACTGTGCAGTTCAGGCTGGCCTTGAACTCACTTTGTAGCCCAGGCTGGTCTCGAACTCGCACACGATCCTCCTGCCTCAGCCTCCTGAGTGCTGGGATTACAGGTGTGAGCCACCACGCTCGGCTCTGACTAAACCTCTGAGAGTTTTAGCTGGGAGTGAAGGAGCACACATGAAATCCTATCTACTTAGGAAGCTGAGGCAGGATAGAAAATTCAAGTCCCACTTGGGCAATTTAGCAAGATTCTGTCTCAAGGGAAAAAAAAAAAGAAAGAAAGAAAGAAAAAGAAAAAGGAGCTGGCTGGGAATGTAGTTCGTTGTGAGGCTCTTGGTGCAATCACCAGGTTCAGTAGGGGAAAAAAAAATCTGGTCCATCCTGGGAGAAAGGAGACTATCTCAGTTCTATTCAAATCCCGCTTTCCTCACGTGAATTACTGGAGCACATCACAACCACCAGAATAGTTTCTGAGGAAAACACAGAATTGTCATAGAATCAAACGACTTTCTTTTGCTCTTCCATAACAAAAGATAATCACTAATAAACTTTTCAAAATTAAAATTTTGTGATATTTGAATGACCTTAATCACAGAAAACTTTCTACAGTTGTAAATTGAGGATAGCATTAACATTTACCGCATAACTTTAGAAGATTAAATAATACCTTCCTCATTAATTTTACCGAATTAAGTAACTTCCTTGACACGCGGTGAATACCGCGGACAGAGATGGAGAAACGCGCTTTTACTAGCAACAATTCGCATCACCGGAATAAAACACGTCCAGGGAACACCGTCCTTGACCAAGGTTCCGCGGAACCGCAAGCCCTACCTTTCGTTGTTCTTACTCGGGAAGTTTTTGCGGTTGCACCTCAGCACCTGCTCTCCCCGCCCCTAGGAAGTGAAAGCCTTCAATCCCCCAATGCATGGTGGGAATTGTAGTCCCTCTCCTACAAGCAGAGTGGAGGGGCAGCCTGGAGGTGAGCCGACGTAGTCCGGAGCGGCCAGCACGTGGCGAGAAGAGGGCTGCGCTCACTTGCTTTCTACACCTGAGCGGGCAGGAGCTGCTGGCGCTGGAGTTACCCGCCGCGGCGCCCTCCCGACATGCCGGAGGAGGCGCGCTTCCCTCCGGCCAAGAGATTCCGCCTGGGCTCAAGGCCTCCGAGCCGTGCCGGGTCCTGCCCCCCGGGCAGGCGGGTATTAATGCTGCTGACCGCCAGCGGCGGCGGCAGAGGCGACGGCGGCAGCGGAGCTGGAGGAGGTAGGAGGCCGCAGCCGCCCCTGGCCCAGCCTTCAGCCAGTCCCTACCGCGAGGCCCTGGAGCTGCAGCGCCGGAGTCTGCCCATCTTCCAGGCGCGGGGGCAGCTCCTGGCCCAGCTGCGAAACCTGGACAGTGCTGTCCTCATCGGTGAGTGGCTGTATCAGTGGGCCCTTCGCTGCTCTCCCTTTCTGCTTTTACGAGAACAGTGTTTCGCAAATGTCACTTAACCTTTTGCACTCGTTTCTCCAACAATCTTGAACGCCTTTTCCGTGGCTGGCCCGAGGAGGGATTCTCGGAGGAAGAGTCGACCGCGCTGCCTAGGGATCGCTGACAGCCCACAGGGCATGACAGACGTGTAGACATGGATTCACTTCCCGTGAAAGGGTAGAGAGGGCGGGTGAAGGGTTTTGGAAGCTTCGGATAGTAGATCTAACCTGGTCTGTGAAGAGGCAGCCAAAGAGATGGTCCCAGAGGGAGGATAATCCTGTCGGAGGGACCGGAAACTAGAAACCGTGTGGTGGAACAGAACATTTGTAATGGATAAGAGTTGTGGAGCAGAGACTGAGAACAGAAAGGTTGAGCTGTCCAAGAGGGAAAGGAGACTTAGGAGTGCTGACAGAGGATGAATTGTAAGAAGGGAGCAAACAGATTCAAAGTAAGGTCCAGTCATCTATGGATGCCCGCTGATTCCCCATAAAAAAAACCCTGCCCACTGAATTTAGGTGCCGGCTACTGACTGTGTATTCCATAGAGAGCTATTTCAAGAGACCATGACTTTAAGAGCTGATTTACACTGAACTGAGGAATAAGGAGGTGAGAGAAGAAATGCAGAGCAGACTTCTGTTTAGAGAAAAAGAGATTGAGAGGAACTTGCAAGTATACTTAAGAGGAATAACTCTGCAGAGGAGGCTGAAATATGGTACAAAACTCAGGAGGCATGAGGAAAGGTCACCTGGGAGCAAGGGCTGGATGGAGCGCTGGCCTGGAGTAGGAAGGTCATTGCAGAGCCCATGGGCCCAGACAAGGAATCGATTGCAGAAAGACAGGTGGCAGAAGGTCGAGGAAGAGCACATTTAAGAAATTTTTCTGAGATAAGTGCAGGAGTTCAGCTCAGAATAGGAGTCCTAGGGCCTGAAGTAGGCCTTGGGAAAGATAGAGATGGAAGGTAGGCTCCAAAACCAGGAACAAGATTGATGGTTGAGTTGGTTCCTGGGTGTACTTTGGCCCTGTCACTACACAGTCGAATTATTTTACTTTAACAGTACGCAGTTGTTCTAGTATGGGAGTAGGAAGGGTGCAGAGAGACACTGATCTAACTGAGGTTGTGCCTCGTAGATTGTAGAATAATGCAGTTCTTAGTGTGTGGTGTTGGCTGGCTCCGACAGGATGAGCAGTTAGAGGAGTTGACGAGTGGGATAACATGCAAGAATAGCCGGACTGTAGGACTTGGTGAGGTTAGAGAGGGTTAGCTAACAGTGGCAAGGCAGGAAGAGGATGCATGCATTGCTTGAGCTCTTTCTTCCAGTTAGCCCCTGTTAGAACGACTCACATTGGGTAGGAAATGACATTTATTGGATGCTTCCTCTGTGCAGGGAGTTTAGCTCCACAAAGAGACAGAGACTTCCTTTGCCTTGTTTCAGATATTGGGAGAAGACAGAACCATTTCACCCTTTCTGTACAGCACAGGGTGTTCAGTGCTATGAGAAAGACCAGTGATGCACCAAGGAGTCCAGATGAGCCTAGCTTCGCAGCCCCAAGGAAAGACTTGACCTGCTCTTTTTGTAGTTTTCCAGGTAGAAGCATGAGGCAGGAATTGTATCTGTAATATTGTGGGCAAAGGCAGACGGTTTGAAAGAAAGCACGAGAGGGAATAATGAGATGTTTGTTATGGGTGCAGTGTGTGAGTGGGTGTCAATACTTACGACAATCATAATTTTTCTTCTTTCCCACCAAGTACTGGGGTTGAACCTAGGGCCTTGCACTACTAGGCAAGCATTCTACCACTGATCTACAACCCAGCCTTCTTTTTTTTTTTTTTTTTTCGGGTCAGGATCTTTCTACATTTCCCAGGCTGGCCTAGAGTCTGATTTTCCTGGCTTAGCCTCCCGAGTAGCTAGGATTACAGATATGCACCACCACATCTGGCCGAACAAAGCGTTTTATTTACATTTTTATTTATTTATTTTTGTCTTTTTGAGACAAGGTCTCATTATGCAGTTCAGGCTGGCCTTCAGCGCACTTTGTAGTCCAGGCTGGTCTCAAACTTTCGATGATCCTCCTGCCTCAGCCTCCTGCGTGCTGAGATTTTAGGCATGAGCCAACACGCCCAGCTTTAACAAAGCATTTTAAATTATTTTTTATAATCAACTGAGCATCATGGCACAAACCTATTATCCCAGCATTTTGAGAGACTGAGCCCAAAGGAATCATGAGCTTGAGTATGGCCTGGGCTACATAGTGAGGTTTTTTTTCTGTTTTTGTTTTAGTTTTAGGTCTTCTTGTTTCTATGTTTTTAAGACCAGGTCTCACTGTGTTGCCCCGGGTGGTCTCTGGCTCATGGCAATCTTCCTGTCTCAGCCTCTCAAGTGCTGGGACACAGGCATGTGACACTCTTCTTAGCTAATAGTATATTTGACACCTGTCTCAAAAAAACAAACAAACAAAAAAAAACCTGTTCCTACAAGTGCAGTTGTGGATCATATGGCATAAAACATTTTAAAGATTTTTCGAATATAATTTTTTCTGCCATGAAGCAGTATCACACAAGTATCTGTTCTCCCACTACCTTACCAACTCAGTGGTTCTTTAAATCTTTTTCTTCTGATTTCAAGCTATTTGTTTGCTAGGTAAACATTGCGTGAGTTTGCATTTAAGTGGAATTTCTTTTGATTTCTAGGGGAAACTGGCTCCGGGAAGACAACCCAGATCCCTCAGTACCTCTACGAAGCGGGCATTGGCCGCCAGGGCATCATTGGTGTGACCCAGCCCCGTCGAGTGGCTGCCATTTCTCTTGCTACTCGAGTTTCAGATGAGAAGAGAACTGAACTTGGGAAGCTGGTACTTCATTTCCTCCTTTACCATCAATACTTACTAAACACCATTCCTTCCAAGCCCTTTGCCTTTTATTTTCTGAATAAGACTTTTACATAGCAAGCATCTTGCTTGCCACAGCTGTTGAGACGAATCCCAGCGTAGATAAATCAGGCTCTTAACAACCCCTTAGTCCCATTTGCTTTTCTTTCAAAAGGTGTTGGCAAGTTGGATAAATTAGTTGCTTTCCTTTAGCATGTTTAAGGCTTCAGGAATTTCTGTTAAATCTCCTATCTAGAAATTTTTCTAGAAAAAATTAATTTTTTTTGAGACAGGCTCTCACTGTGTAATTCAGATTAGCCTTGAACTCACTATGCAGGCCAAGCTGCCCTTGAACTCATGATGATCCTATTGCTTCAGCCTCTTGAGTGCTGGGATACAGGCACATGTGTCTGTTCTTAGCATTTCTAGAAAAACTGTAATAGTGGCATCATTTTAGCAGATATGTAAATATTTAGATGAGTTGTAGAACAATGTAGAAGACAGATTTGTGTGTGTGTGTGTGTGTGTGTGTGTATACTAACATAAAAACATCCTGGACATCATTTTGTTTCTGTGTATAGTTTCCTGTAAAACTATTAAGTAGCTTGAGAGAAGATGTTAAATGAAAAAAGTTTTTATTGATTTTTTTGAGACAGGGTCTCACTGTGCAGTTCAGACTAGCCTTGAACTCATAGAAATCCTTCTGCCTTAGCCTCCCAAGAGCTGGATTACAGACATATGCCATCAAATCTAGTTTTTTTTTTTTTTTTGGTGCTGGGGATCGAACTCACGACTGCACACTTGCAAGGCAGGCACATAAGCTGCTGAGCTAAATCCCCAGTGACCAGTTTCTTTTTTTAAATTAATTAATTAATTATTATTATTATTATTATTATTATTTTGGAAGCTGGGAATGAAACTCAGGACCTTGCATTTGCTAGGCAGGTACTGTGCCACTGAGATCCCTGACCTTCTTTTATTTTTATTAAAAAATAAAATGCAATGTGTAATGATTACATACATTGTGGGGAGTTGATACATGTACAAAAAACACTTCTGTTTCTGTGTAACACTTAACACTGTAGCAGGTGAAGGTCGTGTCAGTGTCTGTCTCCAGCTGCACCACACGCTCACTGAGGGAGCGGGGCAGAATGGTATTGTCTTGCCACTGGGATAGTGCAAGTGCCTAGCACACTGCTGGGTCAGCGGTGCTGCTCAACAAACGCTGTGTACATCAGTGAGTCCTTTTGTCACGTAGGTTGGCTATACAGTGCGCTTTGAGGATGTCACCTCCGAAGACACCAGGATCAAGTTCCTGACAGATGGCATGCTTCTGCGTGAAGCAATTTCAGACTCCCTGCTTCGGAAGTACAACTGTATCATTTTGGATGAAGCCCATGAAAGGACTATCCACACAGACGTGCTCTTTGGAGTGGTGAAAGCAGCCCAGAAGAGACGAAAGGAACTGGGGAAATTGCCTCTCAAAGTATGTGCAGCGTATTTAAGAAAACAGGCTTGTGCTTCTTTCTCAGGGAATTTTTTTCTGCCCGTTCTGCCTTAAAACCTTGGGAGTTAAACAATGATAAAAACAGCCTCCAACCACCGGCTCTTAGGTTTGGGAGGGGCTCAGAAAGGCTTGGTACCTACCCTCCTCATTCTCTTGCATAGGTGGTTGTGATGTCAGCTACGATGGATGTGGATCTGTTTTCTCAGTATTTCAACGGAGCACCTGTCCTCTACCTGGAGGGTCGGCAGCATCCAATCCAGATCTTTTACACCAAACAGCCTCAGCATGATTACCTGCATGCAGCTCTTGTCTCGGTCTTCCAGATCCACCAGGTATGGGAAGGGCCGCAAATTCCAGACAAGTTCTGCTTTACCTTAGAGGTGGTAGTGACAGCATTCAGCCTCACGAAGAACACCCACCCAGTACGACAGCTTTGTCAGCTGTGTCATCAGGATGAATACAGAGCTGTGCACAGTGGTATGCACATGCAGTCCCAACTACGCAGGAGGCTGAGGCGGGAGGACTGAAAACTCAAGGTCATCCTGGATTTAGTGATACCTTGTTTCAGTATAAAACATAGATGGGGTTGAGTGCTGGAGCACTTGCCTAGCATGAGAAAGGCCTGGGTTCACTCCCCAGAGCCGCCCCTCCTCGTCACCCCACATACTCAGAATGAATAGAGTCATTTACTGTGTCTAGTGTCTTAGTTACTTGTCTCATTTCTGAGACAAAATCCCCAAAGTTAAGGAAGGCAAGGTTTATTTTGGCTCACAGTTTGTAGAGTTTCAGTTCCTAGAGGCTGGCTCCACAGAAGGGTGGGATGGCCGAGGGAGATCACGGAGGAGAAGCGTCCAGGACGGGCCAAAGGCAGCACAGGAGTGGAGCGGCAGCCGCAAGCAGGGGCAGCAGCCGCGTTCTGTCCTGTGTTCTGTCCAGCGCCCACTGTGAGCTCGCCCACTACCCACAAAACCGTGCTAGCCCAGAGAGAGGACCAATCGGGTAATCACACACCCTTGATCTGAGCAGCACACACTGTAGATCCAGCCACCTCTGCAAAGCCCAGCCTGTGACCCCATGAGGCTCTGGGGAGGACATCTAGACATATATCATAACATTCCATCCCTAGACCCCCAAAATCACGTGCGTCTCTGTACGGAAGTGTATTTAGTGCATATCTGAGAGTTGCCAAAGTCCTAGTCGAAATCTCCTCTAATATTTAAAGCAAATTCTTGACTGCAAGGCCCTGTAAAAATAAGTTAAAACACTGCCAGCACACAATGCCAGACAGTAAACATTCCCACCCAAAAGGAAAGAATAGGGGATAGAGAGCAAGGACACAAAGCAAGACTGAAATTCAGCAGGGCAGATAGTCAATCCTGCAATTTCACGTCCACATCGGCAGTCTGTGGCAAGATACGAGCTCAGAGGCTTGGGTGACTGCTCTGCAGCACTGCCTGTAGTCACAGCCCGCACTGCCTGTTTCTTGGGCTGGCTTTCCTCAGACATTTTATCTTTCAAGCCTGTCTTGGTTGCTTTACTCATTTCTAAGCCAAAATACCTGACAGCAACAACTTAAATGAAATGGTTATTTTGGCTCCAAGTTTGTAGAGGTTTTAGTCCATAGCTGGCTGGCTCCAAGGCAGGACAGCATGGCAGAGAAGAAAGCTTGTGGCGCACAGAAAGGAAACAGAGAGACATCGAGGGAGGAGGGAAGCAGATATACTCTCCCAGGCCACAGTCTCAAGACCCGTCAGGTTTCATCTCCCAAATTACATTGATCTATAAACTTGTCAGTGCAGTAATTCATCGATGATTATCGTGTCCCATGATCCAGTCCCCTGGAGGCACATTTAGATACAAACCATAACAACCAGTTACCTTTGATGAATGTACTATGTATCATAAACACATACTACCAAAAATAGAGAGGGAGCAGCCCTAGGCAAAACACAAAAAAATCCCATCTTCCCATATACTTTAAATCATCTCTAGGTGACTAATAATACCCAGTATAACGCAAATGCCATGTAAATAGTTGGTATACTGTATTGTATAGGGAGTAATGACAAAATATGTCTGTACATATTCAGTACAGATGCAAATTTTTAAATATTTTCGATCTGGTATTGGTTGAATCTGTACATATAGAGCCCAAAGATTTGAGAGGCCAACTATATGCATATACATTTTCACTAAAAATTTATCAATTCTGTCATCAAGCAGTTCACAAATTTATCTGTCTGAAGAGGTGTCAAAGAAAGGCCAGGCTGTTGATGCATGCCTATATTTCCAACATTCTGGGGTTTTAGGATCACAGGTTTGAGTCTACCCTTGGCAACTAGCAAGACTGTTTGAAAATGAAAGTTATAAGAAGGGTTGGAGGTGTATCTCTACGAGAGCTTTCGGGTTCAATCCCTGGTTCCATGCACGCACGCGCACACATACACACACAGACCGCTCAGGATATAGCTCAGTGCAGAGACTCTGGATTTAATCCCCAGTACCTCCAAAAAGAGAGACTGAAAAAAAGAAAGAAAGAAAGAAAAAGAGTCAGGTAGATCGGTATACATTAGCATGTAGATGTAATTTCCTTTGAAAATGAAGAACCCAGTTAACTTCAGTATCTTAAACAATGTCCAAGATAATGTACTTTTTGAGTATGGGTAGGAAAGTGTGTTTGATAGCACCATTTAATAAAGATTCCCTGAAAGCTTGATTGTTCCTGACCATGTTCATAGATTAGGATTTCTCCAAGTTGTCTCTCATCTACTGCATCTTTCAAGATGCTTACGAAGGAAAGAAAGCTTTATGCATATTTTATTTTTGTTTTTGTTTTTGAGACAGGGTCTTACTATATAGTTCAGGCTGGCCTTGAACTGACAGTGTAGTACAAGCTGGCCCTGAACTCATGGCAATCCTGACTCAGCGTCCCAAGTGCTGGGATTACTGATGTGCTCCATTGTACCCGGAATATACAGATTTTATTTGCCTGCCTGCCTGCCTGCCTGCCTGAGATTTTCATGGTGTTGTTCTTACAGAAAGCAGTTTCATTTTCCATCAAAATTTCTTATCCCGCTGGCTGACTCATAGGCATTACAGTTTTGTGCATTGCTGGCAGGGTTTTCTTCCCAGGAGACAGCAACTCTGAAGCTGCTTCTGTTTTTTCCCCCTTCTGGTTCTAGAGATTTAATCTAGGGCCTGTATATTCGAGGGAAGTACTCTACCACTGAGCTACATCTCTGGTCCTTTTTGTTTTATTTTGAGACAAGGTCATACTAAACCACTCAAGCTGGCCTCAGACTCATGGTTCTCCTGCCTCGGTTTCCTGAAATGACAGGTGTGTACCACCACAACTGGCTATATTGAGGCTTCTTTACATCTCCACAATTAAGGAAAATAACGGGAAGACCGGTGACTTTCCTTTCTACCTTTTTTATAGGAAGCCCCCTCCTCTCAGGACATCCTGGTGTTCCTCACTGGTCAGGAGGAGATTGAAGCAATGAGCAAGACCTGCCGAGACATAGCAAAGCACCTGCCGGATGGCTGCCCTGCCATGCTGGTCCTTCCTCTGTATGCCTCCCTGCCCTACGCACAGCAGCTCCGAGTCTTCCAAGCGGCCCCAAAGGTGAGCGCACTGCTTGTTGTGTCCGGTCTCAGTCCTGGTACCCAGTCAGGTCCACCAGTGTGGCCTGTGTGCATGTCACCAGGCTTCAGATGAGGTCACTTGGCAGGGAGTGACCAGGTAGTGACGTCAGCTAGTTGAGAATGTGAAAATATATAGCACTGCTTGTGAGCAGTTCAGGGAAACAGTTTTCAGAAAAACAGGGAGCAGTTGTCGGGGCTGAAAAAAGCTGGAAGGTAAGCAAGTGGCTCTTGTAAGGGGCAGAAGGAGCCTCCCTTGTCACAGTGCCATTTATTGTGTGCCTGTGCTGAGCCAGGCAGGTGCTAGCACTCATATCCACTCGTTGTCACCCTTACTGACTCGTGTGGCTCCCGTGGGCTGAATACCCAAGAAAGGAAGCAGGTGTGCTTAAGGAATGCACAGTAAGAAACTGGTGGGACCAGGTTCCACCTCACATCTACTTGCTTCTGAATCTTGTGCTTGGTCCACTACGTCTCCTCCTCTCAAATGAACCTGGAGGACCGCAGGGTTCTCTGCTCCTCCCGTGGCCCAGTTTAATGACTGACAATTAATATTACTCACTGCCACTGATAACAAAATCATCTGCTCTTGGTCATGAGTGAATTGTGGAAATCAGTGGTGAGAATGTGTTGTAAAACTTGTGAATCCTGTGTGTGTCATACAGTTTTTTGGTTTTCTTCCTCCTTCTAGGGCTATCGCAAAGTGATCATTTCAACCAACATTGCTGAAACCTCTATAACCATAACAGGAATAAAATATGTGGTTGACACGGGCATGGTTAAAGCAAAGAAGTATAATCCTGGTGAGACTCTGTAGCTTATGAATGTCTGTCCTGTGAATGTCACCAACCACTCACACTAGTCCTACACATCTTCTCCAGATGAGCCTTTCATTTTTGTAACTAGGGACCATCATTTAGACAATGCACAAGTAAAGTCCAAAAAGGAGACAAGAAGTCAAGACTAAAAAGAAGAGCCAAGGGGCTGGGGATTTAGCTCAGCGGCATAAGCGCCTGTCTTGCAAGCAGGCAGTCCTGAGTTCAATCCCCGGTACCGATAAAAAGGAAAAAGACAAAAAAAAGAAGAGCCAGGTTTAGCAAACCTGGGAACAAGGTTAGGAGCCTGGGCGAGGGTCTGTGAACCCGTGGAAAGGTGGGTTAGCTTAGCGCCTTGAAGGCCAGGGACAGACTGATGCCATTCAGAGGCGTTCGTGGAGAGTAGTAAATGAGCGCGGCTGGTTTGTGCTCCCAAGTTTCTTGGGAGTAAAACATACTTTAGGCTGGAGTGAAGGGTAGAAGGTAAGGCACCAGCAGTCTCCTGCAGGGGTGCCGTGGGCATCGTGCTTGAAGTTATCTGCACTCTTTTCTGCTTTATACCTCCTTTATTCCTTGTTTATAGCTCCTTTATTGAGGCAGTTGAAATTGCTGCTTCCCAGTACTTGAATCCTCTGCTAAGTGTTTGAGGGCTGACTTTCACAGAGCCACTGTGCTCCTAAAGATAATGTATGCAGAAGAGCCTGGGTCTCCAGGGCCTGGCACAGAACACACTTCTACTGAGAAAATGACTCATTTATTCCTAGGAAACAAACGTGGTCTCTTTTCTCAGAACCTGGAGAGAGGATAAATTGTGCAGGTGACTTGAGTTACTTGCTTTCTGAGTCACTGATTAACAGTATGACCAACCTCCTACTCTGCAGAAGGCTAGGAGTTGGCACTGGAGGGCCCATGTCTGACCAACGGTCTGTGACAGGCAAACCGGGACGGCTGACCTGGTCTAAGCTGAGGTCTGAAAACCGCTCCTCTGATTCCTTGCTACAAGCACGAAGCTTTTTGATGTTTTTGTGAGATTTCACAGAGGGTTCTTCGCAAGGCTCTGGTTCACTGTGGGCCCCACCGCTGCACAGCAGCCTGGCTTCGTGCCTTCTCATTTGGCCTTGAGTTTTTACAAATCCCTGTTTTGCAGACTCACTGGTGGTGTGGAAACCATTCCATTTTGTCAGCACTGTAGAAACAGCTTGTTTTGTGGGGAATAAAGCACTTACGAGGCCTGTTCCCCCTCCAGACAGTGGCCTTGAGGTGTTAGCTGTGCAGCGGGTGTCAAAGACCCAGGCCTGGCAGCGCACGGGGAGGGCTGGCAGGGAGGACAGTGGCGTCTGCTACCGGCTGTACACCGAGGAAGAGTTCGAGAAGTTTGATAAGATGACCGTGCCAGAGATCCAAAGGTAGGCTCACGCGGCACCTACATCCCAGCCTTTTACCGAAGTAGCTGTTTCCTGTTTGCACGTGTTTCCCCGGACACTCCTCAGCGAATGGCACTGACCCACCAGCTGGTGAGCTGGGCCAGGTGAGCAGCTGTCGTCTCTCTCCCTCACAGGTGTAACCTTGCAGGTGTGATGCTGCAGCTCCTAGCGATGAAAGTTCCAGACGTGCTCACCTTTGACTTCATGTCCAAACCGTCTCCAGGTATGTGGGCTCCTCAGCATCGTGGAAGCGATGAATACGCAACAGCACATCTTCTCCTTCTCAGACAGTATTTTGAAGAATTAATTCAGGAATCTCCCATGCTAACTTAATTTGAAAGATAACCATATCAGAGAAGCATCTCAAAGTCATGAAGCGACAGACTGAGGACTACTCTCAGCGTCACATGTCTGTGGCTGTTGCAGAATCTGATGAAGGTGTACTTTCGTCAGCAGGACAGCAGATCAGTTTTTCTGCTTCTACGTGGAATATGGCCACTCCCTGCCCTTCCCTGTGGAGGAAGGAGAAACCACTGAGATTCTGAGTAATGGTAGCTATGGCACTCGGCCTCTGACCAGTTTCCTTTTTTCCCTTTTCTTTTTTTTCTGCGTTTTTGTTGGCATGAGCTACACTTCAGCCCTTGTTTTGCTTTACGTTGACACAGGGTCTCACTGAATTGCCGAGGCTGGTCCTCCTACCTCAGCCTCTCAGAATGGTAGGGTGACAGGCATGCGTCACCACACCCAGTCTTCCTGTTCTTTAAGTGAAGAGATGCAGTAGTTAAAGGACAAGAGACAGAAACAAAAGGGACATAAAAGTAAACCTGTGGTCGAGCTGACCTTGGTAGCACACACCTATGACCCCAGCATTCGGGAGGCTGAGGCAGGAGAACTGTTGCAAGTTCGAGACCAGCCTGGGCTACAAAGTGAGCTCAAGGGCAGCCTGAACTGCATAGAGACTGTCTCAAAAAGACGGAAGGAAAAAAAGTAACCTTGTGGTGGGTATACAGGGTCCCACTCTCAGGTTTAGTCTTCCTCCTGTGGAGCACCCACTGAGCCACTTTCCAGTTGTCTTGTGGAGAAAATCTATGCATATCCAAGTACATGTAGTTTCTTTTTTTTTGGTACCGGGGATTGAACTCAAGACCTCGCGCTTGCCCAGCAGGCACTTGTGCCGCTAAGCTAAAACTTAAAAACATAGAGAGTAGTACACATTTTAGTTACTTTTCTCTCATTGCTGAGGTAAAATATCCAACACTCAAAAGGGGAAAGGTTTGTTCATCTCACAGTTTATGGAGGTTTTAGTCCATAATCAACTGGTTTCCAAGGCAGGGTGGCACATGGCAGTGAGGCAGCAGCTCATGGCCACAGAAGATGGCAAAAGCAGTGAGAAAAGGGGAGCAAAAGAGAGAGACAGACCTCTTCCTGTCCTTTATATGCAGTCTGCCAGGGTTAGGGCAGCACCAATTCAATCGGTGCCCTGATGCAGCAACCACCCACCCTTACTCCCAGCACTGCACTAAGACTCAGCCATTCACTCTCAACTACCACCTCCAGAAACTGCCCGCACGGTGCTTCAGGGGGACATCAAGACACAAACTGTAACACAGAGAACACCCGGATCTGCTAAGGATCTGCTACCTGGCCAGCGGTGCCTCCTGCCTTCCTCTCAGGCTAACTGCTTCTCCGTATTTTCTTTATAATTCTCTTGCTCTGGTTTTTTTTTTTTTTTTTTTTTTTTTTTTTATCTTTTTGACACAGGGTCTCTATGCAGATCAGACTGACCTTGGGCTGACTTTGTAGCCCAGGCTGGTCTTGAACTTACAACGATCCTCCTGCCTCAGCCTCCCGAGTGCTGGGATTACAGGAGTGTGCCACCACACTCAGCTGTTTTTTTTTTTGTTTTGTTTTGTTTTGGTTTTTGGGCTTTTTGTTTTGCAGGAATGAGGGTTCAACCTAGGACCTTCACACTGTGCTGTGTTCTCCCCAGCTCTTTGTTTTGTTTTATTTTTTTATTTTGAGACAGGGGTCTCACTAAGTTACCAACATGGGACTTGGGATTTGGATCCTCCTGCTTCATCCTCCCAATTACTGAGATTACAAGTGTGTGCCACGGTGCTCAGCCCTCATTCCTTTATAGTGGTGTCATTAGCAGCTTTGAAAAGTGTGTCAGAGATCTAAAGTGTGCAAGTGGTCTTTGCTGGTGTTTGCTGTAGAGTTATCAAAAACTCAGGATTACTGAGCTAGCTGCAACTCCGTCCTGTTTTATATTTTTGGCTCCTTTTTGTCTCTTTCTTTAGATCACATTCAGGCAGCCATCGCTCAGCTGGACCTGTTAGGCGCTCTTGAACATAAGGATGACCAGCTCACCCTGACTCCAATCGGAAGAAAGATGGCAGCATTTCCTCTAGAACCCAAATTTGCCAAAGTAAATGATAGCTTTTCCTCAGTCCCCTTTTGGTGCACTAGACTTTAGCTACTCCAAGCGAACCTCCGTGCTGGGGCATCTAGACTAATTCCACATATTCATCAGCCCGTGCTTTGTGTGTAACACTGATTTAGGTCACGTGTGAGACTCAGTCATAAGTCATGGGCCCTGTCCATAGGCAGAGAAAGCTTCTGGGGAAGGCAGACATCTGTGTTACAGAACAGTACAATGACAATGACATGCAAAGTCATGCTTTTACAAAGCATTTGTAAGTGGGAGGAGAGAGGTTGAAGGGAGAGGAGGAAAATGGAAAAAAAGAAACAGGATGTATAATGTAGTGGTACATTCCCTATGATGAACGGTATCATTATATATATCTAAAAAGAACCAATTAAGAAATTAAAGATGTAATGGTTTTAGAGACGCTTGCCTGTTAGCTCCTTAGAGGAGAAGGATAGACAGGTGCTGTATTTCGAAGCCAGGAGAAAACTTGGTTTACGTATTTTCAACTTTTGATTTTCAGACCATCCTCCTGTCTCCTAAATTCCACTGCACAGAGGAGATTCTGACCATCGTTTCCCTGCTCTCCGTGGACAGTGTTCTCTACAACCCTCCTGCCCGGCGCGAGGAAGTGCAGAACGTCCGGAAGAAGTTCATTTCCAGTGAGGGGGACCACATCACCCTGCTCAATATCTACCGGACCTTCAGAAACACAGGTGGGAACAAGGTGAGCCTGTCTTGTCCCTTCCTCGAGTGATTGCTCTTCCTTTCAGGCAAGTGCTGTGGTTGTATCCCAGGCTGGCCTTAAACTCACAGTGATCCTCCTGCCTCCCTCCAGAGGGCTGGGGTTACAGGCATGCGCCAGAATGCCCAACTGAGGCATGTGTTTTTAAATGTACCTCTCCAGATCATATAAACAGCCATAAAAAGAAGTCAAATAGCATTTCAAAAGTATCTGAGTACCAGGAGACACTAGGGAAGAAATCGAATTCTGGCCATTGTTCTGCTTGTGCTTGACTCATACTTGATATGGACAGGTTAGTAAGTATTTGGTGACTCAATTTATTAGTCTGTTTCTTGTTACTGTAATAAGATACCCAAGGCAGGACACTTTATAAAGAACAGGGATTTATTTTAATTTACAGTTTATTTCATTATGTTTTGTGTGAGACAGTGTCTTGCTATGTGGTACAGGCTGGTTTTGAACTCACAGTGATTTTTCTGTCTCGGCCTCTTGAAGCTGGAATCATAGGCATGCACCACCACGCCTGGCTCAAGTTTTTGAAGTAGGGTCTCTATATAGTTCAACTTGGCCTTCAACTCACTGTGTAGTCCAGCCTGGCCGTGAAGTCCCGTAATCCTCCTGCCTCAACCAGGCCTGGCCTCAACCATCACCACACCTGGCTTGCCACACAATTTTGGAGGTACGAGATCTACAGACCTCGTTCAGTAATGGCCTTCTAACAGAGCTCTGAGTAGTACAGAAAATCACATAGCAGGACAGGAAGTGTGTCTGTCTGTGCGCACGTGCATACCTGACCTTTCTTCCTCTTCTAAGAAAACCACTGAGATTAAATAATGGGGACTGTGCTCTAATGGCCTTATCTAAATTTAATTGTTTTCCAAGATGCCCACAACTAAACGCTTTAGTTAGAGTAACTTTCTAACTGTTAATATGTCACAGTGAAGATTAAAGTGGTGTGTATCTGTAATCCCAGCGCGCAGGAGGCTGAGGATTGATGCCCGTCGAGGCAACCTGGACTGCAGAGTTCAGCTCAAAGCACATCTGAACTATATAGCAAGACCCTGACTCAGAAAGATACTAAACAAAAAAACTGTAATGGAGATGAAATTTTAACAAATGAAACTTGCAGAACATTTAAACCATACCCAAACCACAGCAGCCACAAGGCGAGTACTTTCTTCCACTGCCTGCACTGTGTTGACAGTCAATTTTGCTAGTAAGATATTTCAGTTCTTTATTCAGAGATGCAAATGATAATGTATCCTCTCTTTTCTAATAAAATCAGTAATCATACCATAGTATTTGCTTTAAAAACTGCAACTACCTAGTTTTAGCCTTTATAAACTTTTTGCTATGTTTACCTCTGCTTTTTTTTTTCCTAGAGCCTGAGATTGAACCTAGGGACTCTCACGTGGAAGGCTCTATCATGGAGCTCTACTACGGAGCAACATCCCCAGCCCTCTGTTTATTTATTTATTTATTTGGTACTGGGAATCGAACTCAGGACCATGCGCTTGCCAGGCAGGCACTTCTGTCCCTGAGCTAAATCCGCAGCCCTCAATTTATTTTTAAGCAAAGGAAATGCTATTGATACAGTGAAAGCTTGTGTCCTTCCTCCGCCTAGTGAGCACTGGCCCCTTCAGCAACAGTATGCTTTTGCTTCATCCCCACTGACATTATAGGCTCTAAATATCAGTACTGTCATATGTGTAATAATAATTATTATTTGCATAGAAATGAGACGATTATGACATCTCTTTTTCCTGCAGGACTGGTGCAAAGAGAATTTCGTCAATAGCAAGAACATGATGCTAGTAGCTGAAGTCAGAGCCCAGCTGAGGGAAATCTGCCTAAAGGTACCGTGTGCCTCACGTTCTTCAGGGAACTAAACGGTCACTGCTTTCTAGTGGGAAATTTTGAGATTATTCATTACTAGTGATTATAAAAGGAACTCTCATTGCAGAAAAATTTAAAACTAAGAAAGTGAAAAGTAGCCATCATTTTACCTTTCATTATTTTGGTCTGTTTCCTAATAGCACTCTTTTGTTTGTCTTTTAATTTCATTTTGTACATAGTTACATCATTGTATATATAATTTATGTTGTTTTAAAAACATTTATTTTTGCAGTACTAGAGATTGAACCTAAAGCCTCACATGTCATTTTTTATATATTTTATAAACATTTTCCAGTGTAATTAGAATTTTTCCTAAGAATTCTTCCAGTCGGAGCTGGGGATTTAGCTCAGTGGCATAAGCACCTACCTTGCAAGCAGGCGGTCATGAGTTCGATCCCTGGTACCGAGAAAAAGTTAAAAAAAAAAGAATTCTTCCAGTCTTTTGTGGGTGTACAATATCTTTGTTATTTTCTTCAAATCAGAGAAGTAATGCATAATTACTAAATATTGATCCAATCCAGAGCGGTTTATGTGCAGAAAGCTTAGAAGTCTCCGGTTACACAGCCACTGTCTGTGTATTCCTGGGTGTCAATTTGAAGGGTTCCTTGTGAGACAAATCCGATGTGTGTTGCTGTACAACATGCATTCTTCCACCCCGTACCCTTCTTGGTACTTAGTGTATCTGAGATGTCTTTTATTGAGTGCATAAGTCTACCTCATTCTTTTTAATGACTTGATAGTAGCTTGTAGATTACAGTGTATTTAGGCCCCTATAGTGAGCACACAGGCCGTGTTAGAATGACCATCCCCCTTCACTTTACACACACACACAGCCCAGAGAATACATGTTTTAAAGCCCTGTCGTGGTCTGTCTCACGGTCGTGTGACGCTTCATGTTTTACCTAACAGTGGAGAGCACTTTATGTGAGCATTCTCACGCTAGCCGAGCACTGAGATGTGTTGAATTTTTGCCATTGTATTCAGCTCTGTGGTGAATGTCTGTGTGTAAGGTGAGGCAGCCTCCTCAGTGCGAACTGTGCCATGATCCCAGGAGCCTGTGTCCGATGCGCATCAGCAGAATGGACAGTACCATAGCCGTTTTCTCTCTTAGTAGCCCGTTTGTAATGTGTATCTACATATTTGTGCAAACTCCATCTATGCTTGGACAGCTTTCCTGCCGGTCTGTATTTGTGATTGATAGTCTAAATGGTGCTTCTCTGTTAGTTCCAAACACAGAGGTACACAGTACCTCCTTTCATATGGTAGGCACGAGTCAGGGTCCTTGCATTTTGTAGACTTCCCTCTGAACACAATCTTCAGGCACAATCTAGAAGGACAATCTGACATACAAAGAAACCATGATGATTATAATTACCACTATCATTCTGAGGGATTTACTCAGATACTGTTGTAAACACCTTTTATGGGATTTTGTTACTTAAAAATCCTCATTTTGCTTCCTAAGGTTGATTCTCTTATCTCCTACAGATAATGAGGCCAGGCACGGTAGAACACTCCTGTACTCCCAGCACTTAGAATGCCGGGACAGGAGGACACAGTCCCAAGTTCAAAGCCAGACTGAACTACACAGTGACTCCCATCTTTAAAAAAAAACAAAACAAACTAAAAGTGATAGGAAGCTACTTAAATATAGACAACCCTGATTTTATGATGATTTCATTCCTGCAACTAGGTCATTAGGTGAATTGTTCACTAAATGAGGAATGTATATAGTATACACTGCTATATTCAGAACAAAGAAATGGTCAAAGGAAACCCTTCACTTGATGACTTTGCTTTCTTTGAGTAACACATGCAGTGCTGTACTATCTAACAAAGGAGAAGCACAGTACCGTACTGCATAGTAAATTAGCAAAAATTACAGTACTGTATAAACAAGGTGTACTGTGCAAAAAAGATATAAACAAGATGCACAGAACTGTACGACAACAACAAAAGACAGGTTGCAAGTCCAAACAGACATTAAACGGGCAGGTTGTTAAATGAGGAATAACTGTCATTTCCCCCAAGGGGGCATGGTGGCACATGCCTGTGATCCTGGCACTGAAGGAGGCCAAGGCAGGACTTGGTCAGTTCAAATCCTGCCTTGGCAACTTCGTAAGACTGTGTCTCAAAATGAAGCATTAAGAATGAGGGGATGTTGCTCAGTAGTAGAGCACCCCTGGGTTCGGTTCCAGTACTAGAAGGAGGAACCAGAGGCAGTTCTGTCCTCGTCCCATCACCTGTGGGTGTGGAATTGGCAGCCCAGAAGGAGAGCCCGCCATTCAGTCTCGAGACGTCCCGAGGGTGGTGGCAAATGAGCTACCTTTTCCCTTTCTCTTTAATCTTGGTACTGGGGATAAGAACCTCGTGCCTCGTGCACGCTGTCGAGTGCTTTACTGTGGAGCTACCTCCCAGCTCTGGAGCTACACTGCAACAGTGAGGTAAAGACAGGGAACACCTTCTTGCCAAAAATAAAAACCCTGGAGCTAATGCAAAGGAAGAAGTGAGGCTTGCTTTCAGGATAAAGAGGGGTCTGTCGGAATCTGTGAACAGGTAACATAGTCGCACTTCACTAGAACGACTAGAAAAAGCCGTGGAGAGCCAAGACCACTTCCTGTACACCTGCCGGCCTGCTTACCTGCTGTCTGCACACTGTACTCCTCCCCCCGCCTTCCGCCTCTACTTGCACATGGTTGTTTCCCTGGCATTTCTACTCGGGAGGCTGGCAGAGAGTGGTTAGGTTCCCCATGTTTGACCTGAATACCCAGCCAGCTTAGATAACCCGGTCCACCGCTGTCCTGTTGCACTGTGGCCGGGGGTGTAGGGGCCGCTGACCCTCTCTGCAGGAGCGTAGAGCAGAGACCCTACATGGCCACTGCAGAGATGAGGCAGTATCTTCACTAGGACCCTCGCTAGGCTGGGAGGAAACACCACACTGGTCTGAAGAAAAGGCAGCTGACTGTGGAGGACCATAGACGGATGTGTAAGACAGGTGGGAGAGAAGTAGGCAAGGTGGGCTCGCTCGTGGAGCCTGTTCATGGTTTCGCCTTGGGAAGTTCGCCTTGTTTTGCAAAGAGTAACAGAGCCAATGAAGGTACGATTGAGTTCTGCTGCAGGGAGATTAGTGTTTGCCATTGCATTCAAGATGCTGTGGACGGAGAAAATGAAGCGGAGAGCACAGGGAGAGGGGAGGGTTTGTCTTCCAAGGAACGGTATTTAGGTGAGAGTGGGGTTGCCCGGCCTGCTCGTGGCCTTCGGCTTGTGTAAGTATCTGCGTCCCAGTCAGATGTTTTCCTGGTTCCTCTGCTTGTCTGCACCTTTATCCTCGACCCGCGCTAACAGCTGAGGCGACTGAGGTAGCCACCTCTGCTTGTCAGAACCCGCCTCGTCAGGCTGGCAGTACGCACTGCATTTCAGCTGGAGTCCGCTCGTTCCAGCACGCTGGGTAGTGCCGCGCAGTACTTATGTGGGGGTCTCTCCCCTTTCTCCCTTTCTCCTGAAACAGATGTCAATGCCAATCATGTCATCGAGAGGAGACGTGGAGAGTGTCCGCCGCTGCCTGGCCCACAGCCTCTTCATGAACACTGCCGAGCTGCAGCCCGATGGTTCCTATGCTACCACGGACTCCCACCAGCCAGTGGCCATCCATCCCTCGTCTGTCCTCTTCCACTGCAAACCAGCCTGTGTTGTGTACACTGAGCTGCTCTACACCAACAAGTGCTACATGCGGGACCTCTGCGTGGTGGACGCTGAGTGGCTGTACGAAGCTGCCCCAGAGCACTTCCGGAGGAAGCTAAGAACCGCCAGAAGCTAAGCCCTCGAGAGAGGGCTCTCTGCCTGCCGATGGCTGGAGGCGGGAGCTTGGACCGTGGCTGTCATGGCTGCCTGCCAGGGCAGCACCTACAGAAGCTGCAAGTGGTCCTGCAGCTGAGGAGCCTGAAAACACCTTTCCTTCAACTCGCAGACTGATCTCTGTAGATGTGTACATGTCACTTACACCTTGGAGTCTTCAGAGTTACACTGTTAGTTCTTGCTGGGTGACATTGGGTAATTTAGTTCATTACTAAGCCTCATTTTTCCCATTCGCCAAATGGAGGATAGTAACCATAGCACTGGGATCATGAAGTCTAAAGAATGTGAATGGAAAGTCCTCAGAGCTCTGCCTGGCATAGGATGGACATAAGGTAAATTGTGGGTCATGCATAATACTGCTTTCTACATGGTAATGCAAATTAAGTACTACAACAAAATCTTCAGCTGGGCATGGTGGCACACGTCTATAATCCCAGCACTCAGGAGCCTGAGGCAGGAGGATCACTAGGAGTTTGAGTCCAGCCTGGGCTACAAAGTAAGTTCAAGGCCACCTGAACTGCGTAGCGAAACCCTGTCTAAAAAACAATCTCCTGATTTCATATGACTAAAGGAGATTTTCAAGAAGGGGCCATAGAAGGTTTCAGAACTTGTGTGCTGTTTGTGATTCTATTTTCCTTTTTATTTTGTGGCAGTGGTGCTGGGGATTGAACCCAGGGTGTTGGATATCTGACAGGTGCTCTACCACTGCCATGCGCCTAGTCCTTCATTCTGCTTTTAAAATTAATTTTATTGGTATATTTTAGATATAATAGTGATAGCATTCATCAATAGAGAATTTGTGCCTGTACACGACGTATCTCGCTGATGCTTTTTTCTCATTCCCCTCCCCTCCCTTTAACCCATCTTCTCATTTACAAAGGGCTTTGCTCCCATTTTTTTCTTCTATTCCCGTTTTTCTTGTGCCTTCTTTTCTTTCCCTCACCCTCCTCCTTTGTCCTTTTTTTTTTTTTTTTGGTCATTTTGAGACAGGGTCTCGCTATGCAGTTCAGGCTGGCCTTGAGCTCACTTTGTAGCCCAGGCTGGTCTCTAACTCACAACGATCCTCCCACCTCAGCCTCCCAAGTGCTGGGATTACAGGCGTGAGCCACCATGCCCGGCTCCCTTGTCCCCTTTCTTATTTGAACATTTTTCTCCCAATTTCCCAATATCTATTACACATTTTGGTCCTTATTTATACTTGTGGTTTTTCACATCCGAGAAATAATGCAGTATTTTAAACATGTGTCCAGTTTATTTCGCTTAAGAGTATGGTTCCCTTGATTCTATTTTTTTTTTTTTTTTTTGTCTTTTTTTTTTTTGAGACAGGGTCTTGCTATGCAGTTCAGGCTGGTCTTGAGCTCACTTTGTAGCCCAGGCTGGTTTGGAACTCACAACGATCCTCCCACCTCAGCCTCCCAAGTGCTGGGATTACAGGCGTGAGCCACCACGCCCGGCTTCCCCTTGATTCTAGTTTAATATTGCAGACATTTCAGGAGAGCGGGTACCGTCTCCTACCCCTGGGATGGTGATCCTGTCCTATTGACCCTCATGTGTGAGGTGTGGACCTCTGTTTGTCTCCAGGCAGAGGTCAGACGTGGAGTCTTCTAGTCCTTGGCTCCTCTGTGAGGCAAGTTCCCATCAGTGCTTTCAGGAAACGTGTAAGTTTCATGGGTGAAGATTGACTGTCCTTTCTGAATCATGACAGGTGTAGACATGAGAAACTAACTTTTTCATGTGAGGCTGCCTCCAAGCTCACTTGGCATTTTTTCTTGAACGGGGCACCTGTGATGTATGTTCGTGAGGGATGATTTCATGCTTCATTTCAACTGTTTTCCTTTGGGCAAGGCTACTGGTTAGCGCTGTTGGGGAGAGAAGAGAGGAAAGAGATGCATAATCAGTGCAAATTCAAGAGCATTGGCGCCCCTCATTCACCACAGCGGGTCTGTATCTTACTGATTTTCTGCAGTCTTTTTCCCCCTTAATGGATCCTGAGGGACAGTTTGAATTTGCTATTTCCTACCTGTCCCAGGCACCTTTCTCTAATTCTTTTTGTTACTTCCTGTTGGGGAAATACAGTAAGGGTTCTTCTTAGCTAGTTGTCAAAAGTAAATAGTCTTCCCCATAGTCTTTGGAACTAGAGAAAAAGATTTAGCTTTATTATCATGCTTATTTGATTCAGTTATAAATAAAGTCTGGGGTGGTGGCACATACCTACAACCCCAGCTTTCTTGAGGCTACGGCAGGAGAATTATGAGTTCACAGCCAGCCTGACCTTCATAGTGAAACTGTTTGAAAAATGGGGACAGAGGGGAAAAAGGAAAAAACAATATATGGAAGCTGGGTGTGGTAGAACACATCTGTAAACCCAGCACTGCGGAGGGTGAGGCAGGAGATTACCGTGAGTTCAGGCCAGCCTGGGCTACATGGTGAGTTCAAGGCCTGTCTGAGCCACATAGTGACTCTGTCTCCAAAAGAAACAGCAGTTGGCCTCGATGGTGTTCATGTAGGGTCCAGGAGACTCTGGGAGAGCATAACTGTGGAACACCACTTGGGTAACTCTCCTTCAAAGAAGAGTAGCTATCTCCATTTTGGCTGAATCTGTCCCCATTTCCATGTATCCATATGGACAGCTGGCTAGGACTTTCCTTTATCCCTTCCATTGATTTTAAGCAATGCAAATCAGTGCAGCCAAAGTGCTGTCTTTGAAACAAGGTGACAAATCAGTGTTACCCTACCCCCATAGCTCCCAGAAACCATGTGTGAGCTAAGAAGAGTCGTGCCCCATGATGTGGACTGGGGTGGAGCCTTGAAATAGAGGCTGTGACTTCCCAGGGCTTAAAAGATCATGGGGCACTGCCCCAGAACATTAGCTACTGAGTCAGACTGTGCTGTACAGATCCTTCTCTTTGCATACTGCAGAGGTGATTTCAGGCCTCCTCGCTAGCCTAGCTCACACTATGTCCTTCCTGCTCCTCTCAAAGGCACTCATGCCCAAGCCACTGTGCTCATCATGAATTAATAGAACCTGCATTTGGCCCTGAGCTGAGGCCTTTGTTCCCATTAACCACATCCTAGCTAAACTTAGGACCCCTCAGCCCCCCACAACTACAGGTATGCCTTAGTGTCTATTGTCATCATGGATTGCACTGGAAATGACAGGTTGGAATTACTAGAATTAATTCCAATATCTTTTCTACGAGATTACAAATATAACTTCCTATAGACATAACCTCACTGGGAACCTTCCATGGTAGGTCTCATTGGGCTACAGTTGTGTTAGGTCAAGTCTGAGCCCGTTTTTTATAAGCACTAGCTATAATCTTGGACACCCACATTTTTAGCCAGTGTTTAGGATTTTCTGGGTGCTTACAATTTATTTCTGTTAGAAATGGTTACCTGCTGGATGGAATTTGACAAATCCTGTATACTTTTATCTCATGGAATCCTTGCTTTGAACTGGGTCTTCACAGATCAATTTATTCTTATCATTGCTACCCTTCTGAAAAGTTCTCCAAGAAGTTTTTTTTTTTTTTTTTCTCCTAAGTATATTTTTCTCATTCACAGTAGAGGGCAAGAATGTGTAGCTTGGGGCTGGGGATTTAGCTCAGCTGCATAAGCGCCTGCCTTGCAAGCAGGCAGCCATGAGTTGGATCCCTGGTACCGATAAAAAAAAAAAAAAAAAAGTGTAGCCTGACTTGGTTTTTAAAAATCTTGTATTTTTAATAGAATATTCATCATGCTGATTTTAAAAAAAAGGGCGGGGGCAGTTGGGCAATTTGGTCCTCAGCAGTTAGCAATTCTCATGTGTTCCTCAACGAATGAGCTGAAGGTATTCTCTAGGTCAAGGAAAACCTGGAGTAACTTAAGTCCCATTTCAGTACCTGGACAGTTTTTGGAAGTGTATGTGTATTCTTCTCTGAAGAGTAAAGAATGTAAGCAGCTTCTAAGTAGCTTTAATGTTTCTGTGTAGAAATGTTTATCATTGTAACACTGTAGGATAAATACAGTATTTGGTTTTTTTACTGGGCTTTTTGAAAAGTTGATTTTTTAGCTAGCTGCTCAGGGATTAGATCAGATGGAAAATCCATTCTGACCCACATGTTACTATATTGAAATAAGTGATTATTTTATTGAGCCTCGCAGTTTAGTATGCTTTAAAGTTTAACTTTCTTAAAGAGGATTAAATGTTTCACAATGATTGCAATACAACCTTGAACGATTTTTCAATTAATAAAATCTCTGATGTTGTGATACTTTTCCCACCTGTAAAATTTGTATCTGCTTGAATCATTAGTTCCCATGAGCAGCTTCAAGTGAACAGATGCACCCCAATCTACTCTGCATGCCTCCCCTGGGCGTTCGTCTTTAGTGCCAGATACCTGGTGTAACACTCATTTCATTACAGAGGGTAAGGCTCTGTACACCAGGGCCTTGGTGAAAACCCGTATTGCTGCAGCTTTGATAGTTGAAAAGATGCCAAAATGGGAACAAGTCTCTGCCTTGTGTGTAAAACTGCTTATTTACTGTGATAAAATTCCAACCAGTCGAGCCACCTGGAACTGTGGTCGTTGCTTGAATATCTCTTTATGTAAACCTGCACTTATGGGAAAACAATAATTTTGTTGTACTGTGTTGACAAGACTTAATTTGCAAAGAAATGGGGAAAAGGTTGATTTAGCTTTATATTCAGTCTGGTCTTAACTCAGACAACTCTGTACATATCACCAGCGCGTGTATATAATGCTGACATTTGCACCCGACTATCACATCTGTAAAAATGAATCTTGTACATGATAATGTGTGACTTCTTTATTGGGTTTCTTTTATTTACAGAAAGCTGTTTAGGAACTGTTAAGTATTGGTCTTAACTTGCCGCTAATTTGGTAAGCTATACTTTCTTGGTAGCTTATAGATTCTGTGCATACTGGGAAGACAGTATTGTTTATCTGTAACCCAAATCTGATGTAAACCATAGCCTCTTGCCCCCAGGGAAAATGATATTCATCAGAATTTGTATGTAAAGTTGGAGGGTGCCAAAAAGGAAATCACCTGGGTTAGTCACAGATCCTGCACTGAAAGTCACAGTTTGGCACTGGTTCAGGGAGGCTGCCAGTAACCCGGCTATTCCAAGGAGGCTTGTGCTGAAAGGAAAATGAAGCGCGGCGTCTGCATGCATTCCAGCATGAGCTCCTCCGTGGGGAAGGCCAGTTTGCTAGGCCTCTTACCGGAAGTGACCGCGCAGTGTGGTCTGGGAGGAGTTGGAGGCCGCAACAGCACCTCCCACGTAGTCAGAGAGCCCGGAGTAGTTTAATTACAGTGTGGAAAACGGAATAAGTAAACGGCCAGCGGAGGGAATTAACAGTCTGCATCGGACGCCGAACTCGACCTCAGCAGTCAGACTGGAGGCTTCCTAAGGCGGTACCGGAGGCCTCCAGCAGAGGGCGCGGCTGCCGCGGCGGTGCCTTCGGTCTTCTGCCGGCGGGGCGAGGGCGGGGCTTCCGGGCGAGGGCGGGGCTTCCGGCGGCTCTAGGTCACTGTCGCCCGGGCCCAGGTTGTTCTGTGCACTCGCACGTGTGCGCCTGAGCTGCCGTTGTCTTCGCTATGTTCTCCGTGTTGCGCGGCTTGCCCCGCGCCCTGGGCTCCGCGGCCGCAGGCCTCCGCGTCTCCGCGCCGGCCCCGACGCTCAGGCAGTTGCTGCAGCCGGCGCCCCGGCCCAGCCTGCGGCCCTTCGGGCTGCTGTCGGTGAGCGCGGGGCCGCCGCGAAGGCCGGGCCTCCTGCAGCCTACCGGGCCCTGCGCCTGCGGCTGCGGTCTCGGAGCGCTGCACACCGAAGGTGAGGCTCGCGCACGCGGGTTGGGGCTGCAGCTGAAGCCGGGGCCTGGCGCGGCGGGGTTGCGGGAAGGCGTGGACCAGGAGCGAACTCCCCAGGATGAATCCCACTGTCCGGAATATTTGGCAACGGGCAGATTGAACCCTTGCGATCGCATTCCTGCTTCTCTCCGTCCACCAGAGGTTTCGATTTGGGGGTGGGGGAGAGAGAAAATTAAGGCCCAGGTGCACCTTCATTCCTAGGCTCGTTGGAAAGGCTTAAAGTACGCAGTTGAAAGCATGATGTCTGTGGCAAATAGGAGACGGTAATAGTGAATTTTCTTGTGTTGTAGAGAAAAGTGAGCTCATTGTTTGAAATAATTTCTCCAGAATCGAGTTTAGATCTCTACTAATATGTTTTTACAAAGCAAGAAGCAGAGGCTTTATCATGTGGACTGGGTCAAAATCCCAGAGCCCCAGGGTATTCAAGTCCAGATTTCTAATTGCAGTTAACCTGGGTAATTGCTTTATGTTTTAGACTGGTTGACTTTCTAAATCATGTGGGTTTTCTAGGAGACAAAGCTTTTGTTGAATTTCTTACTGACGAAATAAAAGAAGAAAAAAAAATCCAGAAGCATAAGTCCCTCCCCAAGATGTCTGGAGGCTGGGAGCTGGAAGTGGATGGGACAGAAGCTAAATTGGTGCGGAAAGTTGCTGGGGAAAAGTAAGTACTAGTCTGGAAACTGGGTCTTCAGGAGGCCAGATCCATGACCTTGCAGGACCTGGCCTGGCCTATATTCAGAACAGCCTCTGGTTAGTCCCAGACTTGGATATGTGATTTTAGAGTGACTGAAAAATTCATTTAGACAGCCTCATAAGCGTCAGGAATACACAGAATACATTTGCTGTAGGCTGGTTATTCAAGAGGGAACAAGTAACATAAAGCAGGCAGATGGAATCCTATTGGGATTGTAATTACTCATTTATTGGTGAGGAAAGCCCAACCCTGCTTAAATTTAAGCATGCTATTCAGGAATTTGGGGGGCTTTTTGTTTTCTTTTTGTATAGAAAGAACACAATTCACTTCATAATTCATCAAATAGAATTAACACTTAGGATAAATTTAATGAAACTCACCTGTTGTTTAAAATTTGTAGAAATTGATGCAATCAGTGAAATAACACTAACAAAAGAGACAGGATCTTGCTGTGTAGTTCAGGCCAGTCTTGAACTTACTCTCCCCAGACTGGCCTTGAACTTGTGATCCTACTGCCTCAGCCTCTGAAGTGCTGTGAGTACAGGTGTGCACTGCTATGTCCAGCTTATTCGGGAATTTTTTTTTTTTTTTGAAGAGTAGAATATATTTATTGAGGGAAAGAAAGCTTCTGTCCGAAGAGAGACAGAAGGGGTCCCCAGCGGGTTGCCCAAGACTGTCTTTTCCAGAGACTTTTATCCAATAAGATGAATAGTTTAGGTAAAATTGATTAAATTGGGAACAAATGGGAAAGCAAGTCATGTAGGAAGTGGGCATTCTTTGAGATCAGTGACTCCTCCTATAGGGGGTTGGGATGGTGGTGACTCTTGGCTTCTCAAGGTGATCCAGATTTAATTCCTAAGGATTATACTTGAGGATGTGGTTGTATTTGTTTTGCCTTTTGTCTTGAGATCTGGCCCACAACAAGAGGTGTTATGTTCCCTGCAAGGTCATCAGACATCTGGTCTTCTGTGCCAGCTTCCTCGAGGACTAGCCCCCTCTGACTGCCTATAGTATTTCTAACTAGCTCAGCTGCCTGCCACAATCTCCTTCTAAAGAAGTAACCCAAACTGCCGTGAGGGGAAATGGGCAGAGGACCAATATAGCTGCTTCAGGCTGAACAGGGGTGCAGTGTAGTGTTTGAACGGCAGTCAGAGGTACTTCCTCAGAGATCCTATCTAGAGGCCCTCAATAGACACCAGGCATTTTCATCTTGGGTATGTGCACAGTTTTCAGTCCCCATCCAGTAATCTCAGTGGAACCTCCAAATGATACAGGGGAATGAAATTCCCGACCTGCAAGTTCGTGTTCTCTAAAACTGGAGAATGAATTTTAAGAACAACAGAGGTAAAGAGTAGAATATACTTACTGAGGGAAACAAAGCCTCTGTCTGAAGAGAGACAGAAGGGGATCCCAAGGTTGCCCCTACTCAGGAGTTTTTGAGATACTGACAGCTTTACCCCTGATTTATAATTCTGATGAAACAGACTTACGGAGTGCTAATGTTTATAGTGGGTGGCAGGTTTGAAGCTCACCAGTAACTGAGGCTGCGGTGGAGCAAGGCTGTTGGAAAGAGGCTGATAGTTCATGGGCTGTGTCTGCTTCTTTTTCCCTGAGCCTGCTGAACTGTTCATACTGTTCTGTGTTGTGCAGTTGCCCCTAATCCCACTACAGGTAAACATTTAGTATCTTCTAGCTTTTTTTTTTTTTTTTTTTTTTTTGAGAGACAGTGTTTCACTATGTAGTTCAAGATGGCCTTCAACTTACTATGTAGCCCAGGCTGGCCTTGAACTCAGTGTTCCTCCTGCCTCAGCCTCCTGAGTGCTAGGGGTTACTGGTGTGTGTCACCATGCCCGATACTCATTTTTTTTTTTATAATAGCTTCATTGAAATCTAATTTATGTGCTTAAAATTCACCTCTTTATTAACTGTGCAGTTTAGCCATTCTAAGTGTTCATGGAGTTAGGCCTCTGTCAGCATCTTACTGTGTAGCCCAGGCTGGCCCTGAACTCATGGCAGTCCTGCCTCAGCCTCCTGAGTGCTGGGACTACAAGCCTGTACCACCACGCCTAGCTGGAGAAAAATCCTTACAGGGGCTCGTGTTCACCCCTCCAGCCTCTCAGTTACTTCTCTCCACCTGTGGAGGGTCCCTGAGAAGACCAGAGGTGACAGTGTGAGCTGGCTGTGGCCCGAGGATAAGCAGTGAACATAGCAGTGAGAGGGACTGAACTGGTGGAGCACCCCACGCGTGACTGTGTGAGATAAACCAGGGCCTGGAATTTTATTTATTTGCTGGTGCTGAAATGGAACCCACGATCTTTATACGCTAGGAAAAGTGCTTTCCCACTGGGCTGAACCTGCAGGAAGGGCCTGTTGACTGCTGTTAGCTGACACATAGTGGGCCCATTGCAACCTGCTACTGAGTCTTCAGTAATCAGCCTGTTTGGTTTGGTTTTGTTGAGATGGGGTCGCACTGGAATTTAGGCTGGCCTAGAATTTATGGTGATCCTCCTGCCTCAGCCTCCCAAGTGCTGGGTATTACAGGTGTGAGCCACCATACTCAGCCTGTTTTGAAGTTGTATAGGTAATTCCGATACATAACCATCTAGGGTGGAGACATTGTTTCAACAAGCCTCTATACTTATGTGTCCTATTATTTGAAGCTATGCCTTGCCTGTGTTCTCTTTCTAGGATCACCGTCACTTTCAACATTAACAATAGCATCCCGCCAACATTAGATATAGAGGAGCAGTCCTCAGAGGGGCAGAAGGGCGAAGAGCAAGAGGTGGGTGCCTGCCCTGCCTTTGTGTCTGCCCCAGCAGGCACAGAAGACCCTGCTTTTCCCTTACGTTCTCCAGTGCTAGGACAGTGGAAGAGAGAAAGCAGAGGACGCTGTTCCTTGGTACTTACGTTGAGAGCAGTAAACCTGCGGTTTCTGGTGGTTCGTGGCTCTCTCTGCCCTGGCTCCTGCTCCAGCAGGCTCCACCACTGCAAGGCTGGAAAGAGGTCTTAGAATGTAGGTCCAGAAAATTTGGACCTGTATTCTCTTATTGGAAAAGACTAAAACGACCGACAGGGAGATGTTTGTTACAGAGCATTGTCATTTGAGTGATTTCAAGGTAAAGAATGTTCTTACCATGTCAGAAGCTCACAATAAACACCAGCCATTTAACCAAGATGATCATCATGGGCTTCAGAGACCTTAGTATTGGCAGAGATCTTTGCTGAGGTATCATATGAGGGCCACAGGGTCCTTCGACCATTGGAGCAGTCATATTTTCCCATTAACTAACATGAAGAACAGAGCTTTCTAGTTTGCTTGTCTTGGCCACCACTGTGGGCATTTTTTGACTTTGGACTCAGTCTGCTCCCTAGGTCACTGTCAGGGAGAGCTTCTACCATTAGGATGGCCCGTTAGCCCAGGCCAAGAACTCTAGGCTTTAACTCGAGTTTGTGATAAAGGACGAGTCCCAAAACTGCAAGGCTGGAAAGAGGTCTTAGAATGTAGGCCCAGAAAAAAAAAAAAAAGGACTGATCTAGAGCTCAGCTAACTGGTAAAGTTGGGGCTGGAATTCAGGCTTAACTCTAAACTCAGTATTTTTTTATTTTATTTATTTTTTTTTTTGGTCTTTTTCCTTTTTATCGGTACCAGGGATCAAACTCATGACTGCCTGCTTGGAAGGCAGGCGCTTATGCCACTGAGCTAAATCCCCAGCCCTTTTTTTTTTAATCCAGGGATCGAACTCACAACCTCACACTTGCCAGGCAGGCATTTGTGCCACTGAGCTACATCCCCAGCAAACTAGTGTATTCTTAAAAATATATATATATATATATAGCATTCAGACCAAAATGAGACATTGTTGAACACTTTAATGTAAGACTAAAATGACTAAATACTGTTAACACCCAGGGAGTGGCCATCACGCTTTTACCTGTCTGAGAGCTGCCTTTGGTCTTGAGTGGACGCCTTCCAACAGTGACATATGATACTTCTTATTTCCGCAGCCTGAACTGACATCAACTCCCAATTTTGTGGTAGAAGTTACCAAGAGTGATGGCAAGAAGACCCTTGTACTGGACTGTCACTACTCAGAGGATGAGGTATGTAGGAGAGTGCCAGCCTCTTGGCACCCCCAGGACAAAGAGTATTTCCTAGGACCTTCCTGGTCCCTTGGAGCAAATACTTACAGACTGTCTAGCCTGGCACAGCAAGGGGGGCAGGCAGGGTATGGAAGGAGCAAGGTTACAGCGGCTAAGTTTCAAGTTGCAAAAGGTTTTCTTTGCAGGCATCTGGCCTGTCCTGGAAATCCTTTTGGTTTCCCTAAGTACTGTTTCTTCTCAGGTTGGAGAAGAGGAGGAGGCCGAGAGTGACATTTTCTCTATCAAGGAAGTGAGCTTTCAGGCCACAGGCGAGTCTGAGTGGAAGGACACTAATTACACGCTCAACACTGACTCTTTGGACTGGGTGAGTGAAGGCTAAGATGGCCTTGCAGGGAGGCTGTTAGTTCATGGAAAGGAGCAAAGATTTTTATTTGCAAGTGTTAGAGATTGTCTGTTGTTTTAAAGTAGTAACTAAATGTTCTTTGTAGGCCCTGTATGACCACCTAATGGATTTTCTCGCTGATCGAGGCATAGACAACACCTTCGCAGATGAGTTGGTGGAGCTCAGCACAGCCCTGGAGCATCAAGAGTACATTACTTTTCTTGAAGACCTCAAAAGCTTTATCAAGAGCCAATAGAGTAGTCAGAGACACCAGAGACCTTAATTTTATGGAAAACTTGGGCCAGGGAACAAAACCTTCCCTGGCACCAGACACACGTGCTTTGCAGTGGTTATTATCCTAACATCATGGGGGAAAATAGCAAGCGTAAATTACTGCTGTTGTACGCAAAGATTTAATTCCAGGATTTTTGTATAACATAATGGACATTACAATTGTTTCATCTCCTGTGGTAGTTTGTCTTTTCTATTTCTTCAGTTTGCATCAGAACAGCATCAAGAGTAGAGGTGTTTGAACAGTTTTAATATAAAATAAGTTATGAATAAAAGGTATGTATGTACAAGGCCTCTTCTCAGAGGAAATGAGCAACTTCCAACCCAGCAGAATGATGAGTTCAGTCTACAGGATCCCAGCCCAAGTGTCACAAGCCTATATTGAAACAGTAAAGTAGCATGCATTAAACTGTAGTCATAAAATATTTTTAAAAGTTATTCTGAATAATGACATTTATAGTACAATTAGAATTCCTACACACCGTGTGATGCCACCCAGGTTCAGTTACAGTTAGGGGCTCAGCAGAATTGTTAGAGACCACTCTTGACCCTGCTGCTTGTCCTGCACCTTCATTCAGTTGCCTTTGAGTGGGAAGTATAAGGTGCACAGCTGTCATCTTAGTGCTCCGGGATGCTGAGGTTAAAAGTACTGCAGATCCAACCTGACAGGGGCAATTTAGTGAGACCCTGTCTCAAAAGGGCTGGGGATCCATCTCATAAACCACCTGCTGTTGAGGTTGAGCCATCAATGACAATGTACACATTAAGCTAAGATCAAGTCCTGAAATGAAGTGTCAGGTATCCTCAGCCTTGGGAACTAGTGACTAGAAAAACTCGATAGTGTGGAGCTTTTACAGCCTCAGAACAGGTAACAAGACTGAATTGCGTGGGGAGGTAAGCTGTTCACTACAGGTAAAATCTAAAGGCTCATTAATCCCACGAGCCCATCTTGATGTACAGTATGATTAGTGGCATCTGAGCATAAAATGTACCTGCTTCTCTGCTTAGCTACCACTGTGCTTAGGAGTCTTCTCTATCTTTGACTCTGTTCCCATAGGTAATGCTATTATTTGCCTTTTTGTAAGACTCTAGGACCCTGCACACAGCACATTCCATCCTGGAAGAGCTCCAGACCACTGTCACATCTCGAGGGTTCCCAGTACCTGTTACATACTACCACATCCTATAACCACACCTGTTTTCACCTCATCCTCCATATTTGTGATGAACTGTTCTATGGCCTCTATAACCACACCTGTTTTCACCTCATCCTCCATATTTGTGATGAACTGTTCTATCGCCTGACATAGCTGAATCTTAACCCAGTGGTTCTTCCTCAAGTGAAAAAGGCCTAATGGCACACTGGGATTCTAGAACATTGCAAATGTCTACTTCTCAAAAACGCTGAACTCACAGGCTACTGAATAATTTCCTTTTTTCTCAGCTTCTAACATTTCTCGTGACACCATTATCCATGAAAGACTGGCCAATCCTATGTGAGGTCAAATTTTACTGATATCTGGCATGCTATAGTGTACCAAAATTGTCCTTACCTAAGATTTGGAACTATAAATAATATACTGGCTATTATAAGCTTGCCTATAGCTTCTTGCTTCTAAGACAGGTGGCTCCTATACATGCTTGTGCAGTCCTGTCATACCTGAGTTGTCACTCAGAATAACCCTGAGCTTCACTGAAGACTTGCTGAGAGACAAAGCTGTGCTTTCTGTCCTGTATCCATCTGCAGAAGTGATGCCAGGATGGCCATTTGGGCCTTGGGACCATGACCTGACCTGTGGACCACTAAGATACAGCAGTGCAGCCAGACTCGCATCCCCAGACCAGTGCGCCTGACCTATACTGCTGCATCCACCTCTCCTTCCAGAAATGACTTTTATAGCTGAAGTGACTTAGGACCTTTACTTTTCTATAAATTCCTCAAAATTTACACTGCATTAAACATCTATTTCTAAGCCATCATTTCCACCAGGGTGGGAATAAAACCATCCACTCAGCTTACTCCTACACCTAACAAGGTAGCTTACCAGACAGGTCATGAGAAGGCTGGGGTGTTCTGGTCCATCCGTGACTGAGAACTCAGGAATATGGGGACAGTGTGTGCTATGATCGTTTAAACTAGCCTCTAAATGGGCACGAAGCTTCTGTTCTGTCAGCTGTGGAGATGGGAAAAAAAAAAAATTCAACTGCAAATTAATTAGTAGGGGCTGGGGATTTACCTCAGTGGCATAAGTGCCTGCCTTGCAAGCAGGCAGTCGTGAGTTCGATCCCCGGTACCGATAAAAAAGAAAAAGACAAAAAAAAAAATCTTAATTAGTAGTCAACAGGCTGAAAATCCTCATTCCTCATGGCTACCCAATACAACTGTCTCACTGTGATGGCTTGATTCGTGGAGCTTTAGAAACACTCGGGCCTGCCACTGCCCAGGCTGCTTACCAGTCTCCATTTAACCACACCTCCAGATCCTAACCTAGAACTGCAGTGTGTTGGCAGATCTCTGTACTAATTGACTTATGGCTGTAACGCTATGATTTAATTACTCCTTATGTAAACTATAGGGGGAATTAAATAGGGGAATTAGTTTCATTTGTATGCTAAGGGGAAAATGTAGGTAACATTCAAAAAGATGAGCTGTTTTTAAAAGGCTATAGAATTTTAAAAAATTAAAAAATTTTAAAAAGCTATAGAATTGGATAAAAGATGGGGAGAAAAACTCTATAGTTGTACATTCAGCTTCCGACCAACTTTATTCAAATACTCACTAATCACGTGGTTCATCGACCCATCACTCTGGACTAGGACTGTGAATCTGCCACTTGGATCAACTGCTCAGTGAACTGGCAAACTTGCAGTCCCCTCATGTTGGAAAAGAAGGCTTCTACATTTTAAGGTCCTTGATGCCTACATTCTGAATATTGGTGTGTCTTTATAAACACGTTTTTTTTATGGGAGAGTGCACACAATTGCTGATATCTTAAACGGGTCTCTAAAGAGCTGCAGCAGTGGTGGCTCTCAAGCAGAGTAAAGATCTGATTTTTTTTTTTTGCCAGTTTCGATGCTGAGAATGATTCGCACTATAGGTGATGGGATGCTCTCAATGTAACATCAGTGAACTCAAAGTTGGGACTGAGGTGTGCACAACTGGCCCCAGCGCACCACAAGCACACGTGTGGGAAGATGCAGCTGGGAAGCACTTACGTGAGAAGGGATGTGCAGGCCACACTGGCAAATCACCACACCTGCTCCTATTCTCAGGTTGTACCTACAAGCAGAATTAGGGTCTTAGGGTCACGGCTCCCCAGACCTGGCTTCCCAAAAACTATTTGCGGGGAGGGGGAGGGGGTTCCCACCGACCTTGGAATGGGGGAATGGGAACCAATTATTTTGGGAAAGTTTTATAAACTTACTTTGTACACACAGGACAGATGAGGGAATTTGCTTCCCACTCAGCTAGCATGATGCTGAGACACTTCTCATCGAACTGCAAGCTCTTCTCGTACTCGCTGATAATGGACTGTTCTGCAAGGCAAAAGGCTGTGACAGTGCCTACCAGCCTCCTCAGAACCTCCCTGAACCTAACGCCACACCCCATCCAGAGGCACAAGGCACAAGTCGAACAGCTGGGCAAAGCCACACTGGCAGGCTCTGGTGTTCACTGCTTTCTCAGGCTGGCTTCATCTTGTTGCATCCCTCCCTTTCATATCTGCTGCTCCGTTACAAGCAAAAGAGGTGAAGGAGGTTGACGGACAAGGAAATAACTTGTTTTTGGTACCGGGGATCGAACTCACAACTGTGTGCTTGCAAAGCAGGCACTTAAGTTGCTGAGCGTAATCCCCATCGGAAATAACTTTTATACACCTTGGGGGCCACAGCAACAGAAATGTAGGAATGTCAAAGTTCAAAGGCACTAGAGAACACTGACACACAATACAGCATTTACTATTACCACTCCTACTTCTTAATATACAGGTCTTGTTAGGTTCCCATGTTGACCTCCAACTCCTGGGTCATGCAATCCTCCTGCCTTTGCCTCCTGACTAGCTGGGACTGGAGGCACAAACCATTGTGCCCAGCTCCAGCTACTGATATAAATGCAAGGTAGAATAAACATGGAAACTGAGTTCACTGTATCAGTCTTGCTCCCAGACCTACCACTTACTAGCTGTGTGTGAGAATACCACATTCTGTTCTCTAATACTGTCTTGTAAGGTGGTCACAAAGAGAAAACAGAATTATAGTGTAAGTTTTTAGCACAAAGTCTAGCACCTTAGAGACTCTTATCTTTGGTCAGACAGCCAAAAATTCAACGTAAAAAACCAGACTTCTGAATCTATGCCTGAAAATGGAAGCAGAAGATTGAGAATTAAGAAGTAACCCTGATTCAAGGCAAAGCTGGTGGTAAAGTAGCTAAATATAGGTAGAAAGAACTACTCCCCAGGATTACCTTCTGCAGTCAGCTCCTGTTGGATTTCCTCCAGCACAGCCAAGTCAATCGACAACTGCAAGAGAGAGTCATCTGCATCTGCCACCAAGCCCCTGGGCTCACAGTCGAGGGGGGTATGAAGAATCCACACAATCTGATAAAGTCTTGCAGAATATGCTGACAGTGAGGTGCTGAGAAGTCATCAACAAATGATCAAACCACCCAGTGACAAAGTAACACGGCCACACGTGGAGAGACCAGTAGCAGACGTTATAAACGAGAAAGCTACAGTTCAGAGGCAGTGAAGCTGGTAGAAAACCCAGAATTAGAATCCCAGACCTCCTGACCTCCAACCCAGTATTCCTTCAGACATGCCAGAAGTGGTTTCCTATCCATACCCAGCTCACAAATCTGGCTGAAACTGGAATCAAACTGTTCCAGGAGACTTCTTTTAAAAGAAAAATTCCTAGCTCATGCTTACTGAGTCAAAATTTCTTAAGGGTAAAGGAAAGAGATGAATTTTTAAAAATGTTATAACTGATTATGCTGCAAGGATGCAATAGGTCTGTAGTGTAATACTGAGGAACCATCATTATAAAGTGCGTAATGATAGAGGCAGAAGAGCCTCTATCAAAGGCTGTCAGAATTATGCCTGGGGGCTAGGAGGTAGGTGAGTTTAGAGACGGGTAGACAGATACAATGAAAAATCTAGATGTTTATTGTGGTGTACAGGCTCCTCTCAAAACACTTAGCCTGACCTGAGCCAAGTCCTCTGGACAGTTCTGCATTGACTGGAAAGAATTCCACTCTTCCTCCATGACCTCTTGCACTAGAAGGCTATTCAGAGCTCTGCCTCCAGCCTGGCGGTACTTGTTCAGGAGCCTGTCTCGGCTGTTTCTCATTCTTGCCAGACATCTCTTGGGGAAAAAAAGCAGGGAGGAGAAGTCCATTAAAAAATATATTAGCTGGTAAATATTAAAGGCAACTTAGACACAAAATTTCAACTACAATCCTAACTACTGTTATTTTTGCATATTTCTCTCAAGTGCTTATCACACATATGGTAGATGGGTAAAATTATAATGCTTCGTTCATTTCCAAATCACTACATTTCATACTGTATTTTCCATGCCACCCTCCTCAATGGTTAGGTATATTCTATCTCAGTAGCCACTTGCCATTAGAAGACATTTATATTGCTTCAAAATTTTTGCTTTTCTACAGATGGCTGTGGTAATGGCCCTTCTGAACAACGCTGCTCCTCACCTCAGGGTGCTTTGTCCCCCAGTAGGCACCCAGCAATGTTTGGAGCCGTTTTTTGTTGTCACAAATTGGATTGTAGGAGTGCAGCATTTTGCAGGTAAAGGCCAATAATCCTGCATCTAAATATATTAACAGTGTACAGAACAACCCTCCACAACAAAGAATCCTCACTCTAAATATCAAGACCACATTAGGAGTGATAGCATATTCCTGTAATCCCAGTATCAGAAAGCTAAGGCAGCATGATTGCCATGAGTTTGAGACCAGCCTGTTAGTGACATGGTAAGTTCAAGACCTGCTTGAATTGCTTACTAAAACCTTGTCTCAAAAAAAAAAAAAAATAAGTAAATAAATGTATGTACATATGTATGTCAATATACACGGTTCAGAAACGTTACTATGCACAATATAGCAGCAGGTTATTTTCCTGGAACGTATCCACCACCTTCTGGGGACGAAGTATTATTAGAAACTATGCTGAGTTCAAAAGAAGCCAGAACTGAAGAGAGGTACAATTATTCTAACAGTCACAGGGACATTCTGATTCCCCTCTAGATATACGAATAATTTTTATCTCACAAGTCATACCTACACAAAATATCTCCGTGCCCAACAACAGTTGATGGTGGTGGTATTGCAGAGATGCAGATGGTATGATCACGGCCACACTTCAAGTTTGAAGCAAACCCGATACCAAAAAGCTAGCCACTTGGGACTGTCCCACCCCTAGCGGCCAAGGAAGTCAGGTGCCCCTCCAGTGACCAGGCGCTTCAGGCACCTGCTTCACAGCGCTGCGCCGAAGCAAAGGCTTGAAGGACAACAGTGCTGGCGCAAATTACGGGGGGTGACCAATTTTCCAAACCGAATACTCACCTGCCGGAAAGCCTCCTTCCAATGTGGGGAGCCCACCTGTTTGTACAGTGATCGGCGGTGAGACCCAGCTTGCTCAGCCATCTCTGCTCTTCCCAGAGCAAGCACAGAACCCTGGGAGTTGTAGTTCTTGGCTCTGATCTCACTTACATTGCCGGAAATTCTGGAAAGTTTTGTTTTCCTGTCCAGCCCCACCCACAGGCAGATTTGGGGAAATCCACGATGGGTGGCTGAAGTAGTGGCATTTGTGAAGTTAATGAACCTAGGAAGAGGGAGGTAAGTCTTGAGGGAATGTCCTGGATGGCTGCTGTTATCCAGTGGGACGTATCCAATAGGCTATTAGATACTCACCCCGATGCAGTACTAAACTCGCCGCAACAAGGAGGTCTCTGAATGCTCCCAGGTCTGTTGATCTTTTAGTCCCGCCCCCTTTGGCCTATCCTGGGCTTCCGATTGGCTTTCCTCTGGCAGTGCCCTTACTCAATGGGCTGATTTCTTTTCGCCCCGCCTTTACCGCCAGCCTCGTGCTTCCCGGCTGCCTGTTCGATGATTGGTCGAAGCAGTAGACGCACACGCACATTGGCTGCGTTCAGCGGCGGGCTGAGCAACTGGAAGGAGGGCAGTAGATGGAGCAAGATGGCGGCTGTGGAAGGTGCTATCAGCGACAGTGACCTGTGGCAGACCTGGCTTCCTAACCACGTCGTGTTCTCGCGCCTCCGGGAGGGACTGAAACACCAGCGCTCTCCAGAAACTGAGGATCCAGCTTCTTCGTCGTCGTCCTCGTCGCCTCCTGTGCCGCCGCAGTTGCTGACGAAAAACATAGTCTTCGGCCTGGGCGGAGAGCTCTTCTTGTGGGATGGAGAAGGCAGCTGCTTTTTAGTGGTTCGTCTTCGGGGCCTCAGCAGTGGCAGCAAGCAACCCTCCCTCTCCCACTACCAGGTACGGCCGGAGCATCTGGAAAGGGAGCCGCAGCCGGGGTCTGAACTGGTGTTTTTGCGTCCTTGGCTGTCTTCCCTTCTCTTGGGTTCGCTGTTCAGGCATAAGCAGACATCCTTTCGGGGACATCCTACTCCAGTGCGTCTTTGTAAAACCCTTCTTGCCGTCCAGTACAGCACGTTCATTCATTCTGGCACTGCTGCTTACAGAAAGGAGCGCATGCTGTTTCGGTGCTTGTGTTCCTAGGGCCTGGGAGGAATGGGAGGACGATGGATCCTCAGTGCATACCCGTGCTGGTGCGTTTATTTGCTATGAAGAAATCAGCAGGGTAAAAAGATAGGAAACTTGGAGTTGCTATTTGTAGCGAGATGTCAAGAGGAACCCATTTTTGTGAGATAATAACTCAGTTTAATCCTTTCGCTTGGATTGTTGTGAGCATTAAGTCCGAAGGCTAATTTGAAAGCACCAAGTTTCCTTGACATGAAAGAGGAAGCTTCTGGGGTTTTTTTTTTTTTTTTTTCTGCCCTTTATAGAAAATTTGGCCTTCCCCAAAATTGTTTTTGATAAGTCAGTGTTATGTGAAAGTGAGTGTGATTAGAATAAATACTCTAGACTTGCTAAAATAAAACATTGCCTTATGGAAATATTTATCTGTAATAATCTTTTAAAGATTAAAAGTAAACATGGCAATCATTGGAATGTATGACATTTGTTGTGTGCCATAGACCGATTCGTATGATTTGATTTTAACAAGATGCTGATGTACCAGAAGACTAGACAGTGTACTTACTGAAAGCTTTCAGCTAAAAATAATTATCAAGTGTCCAGCTGGCAGTATTTCTTTTGTATTTTTCAAAGCTATGTTCCCAAGATGGCCTCAAAGGCCCAAGCAATCCTTCTGCCTCAGCCTCCTTAGTGCTCAACTCTACAGGTGTACTGTGTCAAGCCCAGTCCTAGCACACAATTTTTTTTTTCTTTTTTGTCTTTTTCCTTTTTCTCGGTACCGGGGATCGAACTCACAACTGCCTGCTTGCAAGGCAGGAGCTTATGCCGCTAAGCTAAATCCCCAGCCCCTAGCACGCAATTTTCTAATAGCATTCTACATCGCTGTGCAGCATTTGGCAATAATAATTTTTCTTTTTTGGTATGGAATGGCAGTAGTAATTTAATCATTTTAAATTATTTATTTTAACTTTTTTAGCTAGGCCATAGATATTAACTCAAGTGTCCTACCCATTTATGTCTGTCCAGCAGTTGACAGTGGGCCTGGAATATACAAGTTCTTAGTAAGTATTAGTTAACATCTTCCCACCCTTCAGTTCTCCAGAATCTCAAGTACAGAAATTGGAAAGAAAACAGCTATCATGAGTTATAGTCCTGAATGGTAAACAAGTGTGATAATGACTTTAACAAAAAAAATCTTAATACTCATTATTAAAAATGAACTAGCGTGGTTGTATATGTAAGAGAAGCAGGATTTCAGAATAATACTCTGTTTGGTTTAAGTTAGACTGTCAGAGTCAGGTGGAAAGAAGATGAGATGTTGAGTGTAGGGAACAGAAGGAAAGAATCACAAGAGAAAAGAAGTTGGATGAGCATCAGGAGAGGCAATGAAAAGACACAGGATAATGACATCAGTGGCAGCTAGAGATTTTATTTTCAGGATTTTGGCTCAGGAGTCGCAATATGTAGGGTAAACAGTATGTTTATTAGAAGTAGAAAAGAGGGATCTGAAATAGTAAGAGGCAAAGAAATAGAAACTATAAATAGAAAAAGTTAGTTATTTTGAGGACATACTACTGCGATAGCCTATGTTGCCTGCATAGATAAAATAGCATTCTGCTTGTAGCAAAAGCCCTTGAAGCCATTCTTTATCTTATTATACTATTTATAATACTTAGTACTTACTAATACCTTCACTTTACTTGTCTGTTCACTGAGTATCTGTTGGGAGTATGTCTGGTACTGGCAAGTATTTTATAGTGAGTTCCGTGGGGTGGGCAAGTAAGACAACAAATTCAGGATAACAGTTACGATGGAATTATCCAGAATGTGCTGTAGAAAGTCAAAAAGGCACCTTTATCCCCCACAGGGTGGGGGGTATTTAGGGAGGGCGTGTTTTTAGAAGCTGACTCTCCAAAGAATGTTTCCATCTTGTTAGCCAGCTAAAGGAATAGTTTTGCAGGGACATACAAGCATAGCAAATCATGATGATTTCCCAGAAATGCAAGCTAATCTGATTAGTGTAAACTGAGTGGAAAATGGTAGATGAGAGTCGGGGGCAGGAAATGAATTAGGCATAGCAATCTTTAATCAATATAGGAAAATCTGATTTTTTTATTTAGAGAAAACAAAAAAGGGTAGAAATAATACAGAATTTCAAGAAAAAAATATTAACACTAAGAAATCACTAGTTGGGGGCTGGAGATTTAGCTCAGCGGCATAAGCACCTGCCTTGCAAGCAGGCAGTCGTGAATTCGATCCCCGGTACCGATAAAAAGGAAAAAGACAAAAAAAAGAAGAAAGAAAGAAAGAAATCACTAGTTGATAAATTATATATTATCATCTTAGAAATAGTTGTTCAAGTTCTGATGGATTTTATATAACATTTGGCTAAAAATATTTCACCAGTTAATGATCCAAGTGTGGATACATGTAATACGCTTTGTTATTCTGTAATTAGAGAAAGCTACAGCATTACTGTTGTGTCAGGTAGTTGTCACAAATATTTATATTACAGTTAATTATTGTGATCAATTTGCCTTTTCAGAAATTGCTTTGCATAAACCCACCTCTGTTTGAAATTTATCAAGTTTTGTTAAGTCCAACACAACATCATGTGGCACTTATAGGAGCTAAAGGACTTATGGTATTAGAATTACCTAAAAGGTGGGGGAAAAATTCTGAATTTGAAGGTGGCAAAGTAACAGTGAATTGTAGGTAAGTTGTATTTCCATTTTATGTTTATTTGTGCAATTTGCAATGCATACAAGACCAGGGTTTCTTGAAATGTACTTAGTAAATATGAAATGTTAGAGCTCTCCTCATGGTCTATAGAGTTGTTTCCTGCGGGTATTAAATGTTTGGAGTGTATATGTAATTATATTTTTATTGTTCCTGAACTATTACATTGCTCTCATTGAAAGTTAAGCGATTCTTTCAATTTGCTAGAAATAAGTTTTAAAAGCAGTTTTTTTAAAAAGCAGTTATGTTCAAGAGCCAAATGTTTGCTTAGAACTTTATTGAGTTTTTTGTTGTTGTTGGGGTGTTGTTTTGTTTTTGGTTTGGGTTTTTTATTGTTTTTGTCTTTGTGTGTGTGTCTTTTTGAGACAGAATCTCACTGTGCAGTTCAGGGTGGCCTTGAGCTCACCATGTAACCCAGGCTGGTCTTGAACTTGCAACCATTCCCTTGCCTCAGCCCTCTGAGTGCTAGGATTACATGCATGTGCCAGAGATTTTGTTTTTATATTACATCTTTTTTAACAAATTAAGAAAAGTAAGGATCTGAAAAATGTATTTGGGAAGAATATAAATGTACAATATGTAAGGAAAGTGAGTGTACTTAAAATGTTTAATATTTGGTAGATCTGTTTCCTATTTTTTTTGTTTGCTTTTTTCTTATTTTACTTTGTTTTACGTTATTTTGAGACAAGATCTTGCTGTGTAGTTCAGGCTGGCCTGTAACTCATGGCAGTCCTGTCTCAGCCTCCCGAGTGATGGGACTAGAGTGTGGGCCACCCACACTCCTGCTCTTCAAAGTAAGGATAGTATCTTTCCTTGTAGTTTCAAATTTAACTTTAGCAAAAGGATCAAAAAAGATGCTGCATTTAAAAACACTTGTGAAACACTATAAAATGTTACAATGTGGGTAGTATTTTCATTTTGTCTTTGATACTAATTAAATAGCTAATTTGAATGCTCTTCAGCAAGATTGAGAGAAATTTAGAAATTTCAAGGAAACAAAAACATTGAATATTAAAATAGATTTTCTTTTAGAAGATTTCTCATTTAAGTTCTACATAATGTTTTGGAAAATTGTTATCTTTATTTTAGCACCACTCCAATTGCTGAGAGATTTTTCACCAGTTCTACATCTCTGACGCTAAAGCATGCTGCGTGGTATCCAAGTGAAATGCTGGATCCCCACATAGTCCTGTTAACATCAGACAATGTAATAAGGTAAATACTATTTTTACTTCTCACATCTTTGTGAGTGAGAAAACTGCTGGCTGATTAATAGCTCAGAGGAGTATCAAGTGAGTCTTTGCATGTCGGGATGTTTTTGTGTCATGGCTGTTCTAAACCAATGAATTGTCTTAAGTGCCTTCACCCACATCCCTTAATTATTGATCTTCCTTTCCAGCTAGTGTGCTTCTAACCTCTCCTTTCCCAGTCTGATCTCCTCCAGACTCTTCATCATGTCACCCTTTGATGGTAATGTAGCATAGGGGGTGAGAATATAACTGAAGACACAAGGATTTTTGAATTCTTGCTTCAAAGTTACTTTTATTATCTTTGAGATCTTGAACTTCTTTTCAGGAACCAAGGGGTTCAGTTTCCAATCTGTTAAAGTACATGTTTAAATTATTTCTAAATCCCGTCCAAGTTTTATACTCTGATTCATTTTGTTTTGTCCTGTCCTCTATGATTAAATGCTGTCATCCAACTTAAAATTCTGTTGTATTATCATTGAATTTCCTGGATCCGCCTTACATAAAAAGTTTGTTGTAAGGCTCAACAGAGGTACAAATACCTCCAGTTTAATTTTCCCTGATTACTGGTTTGTCTAATCTTCCTTCCCTGCTGAGCGATTGATCCCTTACTGGCATCTTACATAGATTTTATACCTTTCTTTTTACTGTTAATTATTGGAACTTAGTATTCAATTCTACATTAAAACTCTGATGTCGTTTTCTTTTTTTTTTTTTTTTTTTTTTTTTTTTTTTTTTTTTTGTCTTTTTCCTTTTTATCGGTACCAGGGATCGAACCCACGACTGCCTGCTTGCAAGGCAGGTGCTTATGCCGCTGAGCTAAATCCCCAGCCCCTCGTTTTCTAAACTATATCTTGACCCTTTCATAGGTCAGACCTGGGCTTTGAGAGATCTGAAGTGAGTGGAGAAAAATGTTACCTCTTTTTGTACTTTTTTTTTTTTTTTTTTTTCTGTTTTAGCATCTTGGAGTGTAAAGGGGAGTGTAAGGACTGGGGCTGCCTCTTCTTCCTTCTAATTTTAAGTCCCTCAGAACAGGGCAAAGGAGAGGTGGGCAAGTGAGGCATGACTGTTGCCAACCTGTTGCCTGTGAGTGATAGGTACGTGTTCCTTATTAGTTAATGTGGTTCCATCTGCTGCTCATAACTTCCGTCTGTGTGGTGGTTCCTGCACAGGTGGTGTGCATGTGTTTTAGGGGCACATGTAACTTTCAGCTCCATTACAGAAGAATTGTGTTGCCATTGACTCCTGCCACCTGTCCATGTCTGGAACTCTCTCAAGATGAGAGTATTTCCAAACTTGGTATCTCCTGTGCCTTCTCACCTAACTGGCGTCTTTTGCATGGAATCATGGGAACTGCAGAGGTCCTCTTTGCTGCCCTCCAAGGACTGCAGAAAACTTAAATACTACATCATAGTGCTTTGTTATGGTGCTCTAGCATGGCTCCTTTGTATATTTCCAGATAAGGAAATACCTATCATACACACATGCCTTGAGAGCCATGGTGACCTATAGGTTTTTTTTTCTTGCAGTGCTGGGAAATGGACCCAGGATTTGCACATTGCTAGGCAACACTACCACTGAGTTAATAACCCCAGCCCATCATGAAGGCACTATAGGAACATTAGATTTCTAATAATGACATTACTAGCTTTTCAAAAGTTGTTTCCCCTTTTAACATAGCCATATATGCTATAAACTATAAGTTGCTTTAAATTAAAATGATTTTGTTTTCAAAAAAACTTACCTACTCCCCATGAGAAAACTTGATAAAATGATGATATTGAGTCTTCATGTGATGAAATGTGTATAGATTGCGGGCCAAATGTTACTCACTTTGCCTGGCATTTGTTATGTAAAGAAGTCATTTAGCCGGGCGTGGTGGCTCACACCTGTAATCCCAGCACTTGGGAGGCTGAGGCAGGAGGATCATTGCGAGTTTGAGACCAGCCTGGGCTACAAAGTGAGCTCACGACCAGCCTGAACTGGATAGAGAGACCTTGTCTCAAACACACACACAGAAGTCCTTAGCAAGACTTAGTAGCTAATAAATCAGCACACATGGGTATAGAAGAAGGGAAAGATACCAGCATAAGTAGGTAAAGGAAATATAGCTGAGGGCTCAAAATGGAAAAACTAGAGGTGCAATTGTATGGAATAAACTGCTAAAGAATTTTGATTAGAAAACATTCTACAGTCCCAAGGAAATCTCTATTTTACATCTTTTTTTTTTCTTTTTTTGGTACCAAAAAAAGGGATCAAACTCACGACCTCATGCTTACCACGCAGTGCTTATGCTGCTGAGCTAAATCCCCGGCAATCTCACTTTACATTAAGAAAAAAGAAGTAGGCTACTTTGTCAGTAATAGCAAAATTTTTGGCATTGAAATAGTTTAATAACTGGTAGGAAAATTCTCACATGCGAACCAATTAGATGGAGAGAAAGGTGCAGCTTTGGGAAATGAAAGAGAATTCTATTGCTGGTTTTCTTCTGTTTTGATTGCAGGATTTATTCTCTGCGTGAGCCCCAGACACCCACTAAAGTGATTCTACTTTCAGAAGCAGAAGAGGAAAGTCTAATACTCCATAAAGGGTAAGTTTTTATATGTGTCACGTAATGTGTCACATAATGTGTGTTTAGTTTCTTGAGATTATATGTGAAGTTTTAACAGGTAATGCAAGGGTTTTCTGGAGATGACTTTCCCATGCTCTTGATAACATGAGAAGTAAGCAAACTGGGCAGTGTAACTAAGTAACAAGAGTTAGGAGTCTGTGTCACTGTAGTAATTTGATGTCTTTTCAAGAAAGTTCTAAAATATGAGTGTCAAAAATTGATTCCTTGTAACTTGGGTAACAGGATACATTGCAGAATTATAGAAAAGGTGAGAGGAGAGAGTGGTGGGCTGGAGGTCCGCTGGCTGTTCTCTCAGTGTGGGTAAAGCAGATTCTGGACCCTCAGACCAGCTTGTTTTTTTTTTTGTCTTTTTCCTTTTTATCGGTACCGGGGATGGAACTCACGACTGCCTGCTTGCAAGGCAAGTGCTTATGCCGCTGAGCTAAATCCCCAGCCCCCAGACCAGCTTTTTTTGTGGTATCCCAGAACCTAGAGTGGAACATATTCTCCTGTGACCCTACCTTTTGTTTTCTTACTCACCGTAGGAACAGGTTTCTGACTACTTTGAACTTACAAACCTGCGTCCTCTGGCCTCCTGCTCAGTCTTTCAGTGATCCCTTACACACATGACCCCACACAATGTGTGCATGTAGCGTGACATTTCAGTAGGAATGGTGCCAGAAGCTCCCTTAGTTCCTTTCTGCTTTCTGTGATGGTCACTTCCATTGTTTTGCTCAGCATCTGTTATGCTGGCCTTTATTCCTTGGATATTTTGTACATATTTATTTTTTATTGTCAGTCTCAATATCTAGGGTGTCTGTGGTGGAGGGTACTTAAATCTATATTTGTTTTTTCCTGACCTGCAAAGACTTCTTTTTCTCTGTCATTGCTGATCTCTACCTGTGAACTTTGATTTACTTGATCCTAATGTGTGGAAATACAGAGAAGTGGAATGGGAGTATATTCCAGAAATGATTTGTATTTGCTGCTTCTGCTAGGAACCCAGCGTTACTACTGAGCTGGGATCATTTTAATTCCCTCTGATGGCCTCAAAACTGAAAAGTTTCAGTTAAATGATGTGAATGTCCTATAGCACAAGTTTTGGTCCCAATGCATCCATCTCCGCAGTAGGAAAATACCTGCCTCTAGGCTTGGTCCTGTTCCTAGGCTCGGGCACTTTGTCTCCTGCAGTGTTTCTATAGCTGACTAACTTCTTTGTGACAGACACATTATCCACATAAGCAGTAGTACATCAGCCGCAGTTGTTCAGAGCTTTAGCTCAATGTCGACCCATTCGAGTTCTAATCTCGGCTCTCCTGCTTGCACACTCTGGCGTGTACACAGGTTTTCCATTAGTACTAGGACTGCCTTTCCTGACTTACTCCATGAATGTAATAGATAATAGTGTTCATTTCTTAGGGTTGCTGTACAGAATAAATGAGATAATGTGTACAGAAAGCTTAGTGCAGGGCTTGGCACGGAGCAAGTCCATACTGATACCTGCTGTCATTGTTAGATGTGTTACAGTATTTATTAAGCTTCAATTAGGGTTTAATAGCTTGGGAGTCAGGTGGGTCTCATTAAATTTATTCTGTGTTTGTTCCCACTTATTAACTTGATATTTTAGTCTAATTCAAGTGTTTCTTGATTGCCAAGTCCAGTATTTAAGTTTTCTGTCTCTTTGTTTTTTGTTTTACCTTATACTATATACCTTTCTATCTGATAGAGAAACTGAGATGTTAAACTTCTGTTGGCTTACAATGATGTTGAAGCTCTATATGAAGTTGTTTTTAACTTCTTTTGCCTTCTATTGAGTCTTTTTGAATAACCAGTTATACTAAATTTTAATATGCAAAAGAGCCTGATTTCATAGTTTGTCCTTCCTAATTATATGGGTGATGTATGACTATACCTATTAATGAAATTGGGAAAAACTGACAATCATCTGTAACACGTAGCTGGCCTGCAGTACGGCATCCACGTGGTCTTTTTGGTTTGATCAGCTCACTCCTTCCCTGTTCTCCCGTCTGTTGATCTCCCCTATGCTTTACCACAGTCCCTGAGGCCTCAGGTCTGCTCCTCGACTCCTGCTGCAGCTTCATTCCTCCCGCTCACAGCTCCCTGGCTGTCTGGGCTCCAGCCACTGTGACCTCCTCGCCACTCCTTATCTTCTGCCTTCGAGCTTTGGTTTCTGTGGAAGAGAGAGCAGTTGCTTTTGACTTTGTCCGCTGGCAACAGTCCCAAAGAGTGTGTTTGGACAGAATGGCAAAGATGAAGTAGTGGCTGCTCTTTGCTCAGATGTCTTCAGACTTGCTTCCTTCCTTCCTTTAGGTCTTTGCTCAAATATCACCCAGCAGAGGCCTTGCCACGTGCCACCATACCTAACATCGCACCTCTGTCTGTATCCTTTTGGTCTTCTTCATTTTCTTCATAACATCATGTTCTCAATTTCTTTTGTTTCTTTTCTGATTATTGTGTGTCTCTTACTAGAAAGCAGAGCTTTTAATTTGTTGACATATTCCCAGAACTTAGTGCTGGGCACAGAGTAGGTGGTTAGCACACTCATGGAATGAAGGAGACCTGCTTCTCAGAGAAAACTGTTGATGTTTTTATGTGTAATAGTTTTATCACCTGCTTCTCATTCAATTTTATGAGTTTTCCAGTGTTCCTGATCATAATTTTTATCTTTTCACTCCATCAGATGCAACTTCCCTACCTACCCACTTCATTATTAGAAAATTTTTGTTCCTAACAAGTCTTTGTTCCTGTTTCTTTGCAGAAGGGCATATACTGCATCTCTAGGAGAGACAGCAGTTGCATTTGACTTTGGGCCGCTGGCAGCAGTCCCAAAGAATGTATTTGGACAGAAAGGCAAAGATGAAGTAGTGGCATCCCCGCTCTACATCCTGTATGAGAATGGGGAGACTTTCCTTACATATGTTAGCCTGTTACAGAGGTAAGTTGGACGTTTACCCTCAGAGTTTTAAGTGAAAACTCAACTGTGTTCCACTGTAGATTTTCATTGTTGGATATGGGATCCACCTCTTTGAGTTTATGGCTATAAGTGACCTTTATTTAGGTGTTTAACTTGGACATTTTGGAGAAAGACATGGTAAAGGTCACTTGACCTTTTATTTCTTCATATTATTTGGGTAAGTTCTGTGATTTAAAACAGTACTGAATTTGTGTTCAGAGTCTAACTGAAAAAAATATTCATTACTTACATGAGCAAGGCATTATGGGGATGCTTAAATGTAATATGTTACTGTATGTCCCAGTTGTGGGGCAAGAAGACACAAACACAAACGATAATCACCCATACCACATTACTGGGACACAGAATCCTAGAGAGAGGAGGAGCATTCTGACTGGGGAAGTAAAGGAAAGTTTTGTAAGAAGGTCTGATAGCACATGGGACGTAACAAGTTTCGTGTGAGATTCAATGAAGCAGGACCATTTCAGTTCCATGGGCAGCATAAAGGAGCGTGAACGTCAGCAGATCCATGTCTTTCAGAGATCAGTGATCAGACTTTGCAGGATAGGGCAGAGGATGCTTGAAAGGAACATTAAGTGAGGATCACAAATTCGAGCCCAGTCTGGGCAGTTTAGCAAGACTTTGTCTCAGAATTTTAAAAGGAACTTGCCCAGTGTATGGGAGTCCTTGGATTCACTCATTGCGCTTACAAAGGAAAAGAAGCAATGTTCTTGCTTTTCATACCTGTTGTCCCTGGATTTTCTGGTTACATTACCCTCCCACACTTTTCCTCCCTTTAGCGCTTGAACCTCACCTCCGCGATGTGATCTCCTGATAACGTCACCCCACAAGCAGAAAGCGTCACATTTCCTTGCAGCCTATAAACCCTAAATTTGTATTGGTTTAAGATGAAATCTAACATTTACATCTTGGTCATGACTGCTGTATGCGTGCTCCAAACTCTATCTTCTGCCCATATGATCTTCTCTCAGTCCAGTTCCATTTACCCTCCTCACTACTACCTGATGGGTGTTGTTGTTTGTGTTTTTTGAAAAAGGGCCTCACTATGTACCCCAGCCTGTCCTCAACTCACATTCTCCTGTCTCAGCTTTTCAAGTGCTGGGTTCAGGTATGTGCTACCACATTCACCTCATACGGACTTTTATGAAGTTGCTCTTGACTTAAACTCCTAGTAATACACTGTCAGCCAGCAGAGACTGAATACTTACATTATTATGGCAGGCACAGCAGATGAAAAGATGAAGAAAATGTGATATTAATATGCAGTAGAGTACTACGCTACAAAAGATAAATTCAGGTCATTTGTAGGAAAACGAATCCACCTTGAGAACATAATGTTAAATGAGGTAAATCAGCCACAGTAGCTTAAACATTGCAGGTTTCTCTGGTATGAGAAACCCAAAGTGCAAATAAAAGAGCAAAATAAAAGATAATAGGAAATGGAGATAAAACTTTTGCAAAGAGGGAAGGAGACTAAGAGGTGAAGGAAGCAATGAACAATCTTTATGTATTCCAAAATTTAAAAATGTAGGGATAGGGCTGGAATTTAGCTCGGCGGCACAAGCACCTGTCTGGCAAGCACAAGATCATGAGTTTGATCCCCAGTACCAAAAAAAAAAAAAAAAAGGATAAAAATAAAGGCTAGCAGAATGATCCAAAAAGAAAAACAAAATGGTGTGTAACGTTCTTTGCTTTGTAAGCCAGTCCTACATATCTGTCTTAGCTTTAGACCTTGTATTTTTACTCCCATCATACTGAATGTCCTTTCTGTAGTTCCTTGTTTTCATGACTTTAGCACTTTACATAAGCTGTTTTCTAGCTTGGAACATTCTCTCCTGTTTGTTTTTGCAACAGGGTCTCAGCTTTTAGTTGAGATGAGCCTTGAACCTGATGTTAGTTTAGGCTGACCTGACTTCAGTGATCATCCCAAGTGTTAGAATTACAGCTGTGTACGGTCACACCCAACTCAGTTAGGAACTCCTTCCTGAAAGCATTCATTCTCTGTGTGTCTTGCTTGTTTGTTTTCTTTTCTTTTTAAGTTTGTTGCCCCCTCACTTTTTTTTGTACCTTTTTGTTTCATGGTCTCCTAAACAGCCTTTGTTGGTACCGCTATCACATGGCATAGTAATTCTGGTTAAATGTCTGCTTTCCCATCTAAACCATCATTTCATTGGAGCTGTCATTTAGCACTCCAGAAATATATATTCATCTAATTAAATTAAGCATGTAGGTCTGAAGCCCTGAAAACAGGTGATATTTTGGAAAAAAAGATTTGGGTATCATCAGAATATTTGTGGTAGTTAAAAACAGATATACTTTATTGGTGTTTTTTTTTTTTTTTTTTGTTCGTTTGCTTGTTTTGAGACAGGGTCTTGCTGTGTAGTCCAGCTTAGTCTTGAACTAACGTGTAGTCCAGGCTGGTCTTGGATTCCTGGCCATCGCGCTGGCGCAGCCTCCTGATGCTGTGATTAAAGGTGTGCGCCACCGTGTTCAGTTTAAACCAGGCATATTTTACTGTGTTATCAGGTATTTTGAATAAAAAGATGAAGACTTAACAACAGAACCCTGAACACACCAATAATTGAGAGAAACTACAGAAGACATTAGATTGGTTTGTTCAGAGAAGTAGGAAGGAAAAGCTACGAGAAAAAACTATTAGAAATGTTACAAGTGTCAAGCAGCAGTCATTGTTCACCAGTGACAATGTAAGAGGGCAAGTTAAATCTTCCAGATTTGTTAACTAAAATCATGTTTGTCCTTGCCAGACTAGGTTCAATGCAACTGAGGGCACGGGTTGTCAACCTCCAACTATTTACATTCCGGTCTGAATAATTCTTGGTTCTGAGGTAATATTTAGCAGCATCTCTGGCGCCTACCTAGAAAGTGCCACACACCCACTTTCCTCCAGTTGTGACAACCCAGAATGTCTTCTGATGTTGCCAGTGTTCCCTCAAGAGCAAAATGATCTCTGACCGAAATCTATCAGTGTTGCAGAGTGGGTGGGAAAGTCAGTAAGGACTGGGAATGAGCTGTAGTGTAACGAGGGGGTGGTGCCTGGAGAAAGCCAGGCAGAGAATGTTTAGAAGGCAGGCGTGGTATTTTATGAGTTCGTTTTCATTCTCCCTCTAGCCCGGGGACTATTGGAAAGCTGTTGGGTCCACTGCCCATGCATCCTGCGGCTGAAGATAACTATGGTTACGATGCTTGTGCCATCCTCTGCCTGCCCTGTGTGCCCAACATCTTGGTGATCACTACCGAGTCAGGAATGCTGTATCACTGTGTGGTGCTGGAGGGGGAAGAAGAAGATGAGCACACAGTGAGTGCAGGCTAGTGCCGGGGTGTGGTGTGCCTTCAATACCAAGGACGATCTGTGGCCTAATGGCAATGTTCACACAACGCATCTTATCTTACACCTGGCATTTCTAGTGTTTTAAATACTGTGTTAAACACTTAAAAACCTAAATGGAAAGAAGTTAAGGGAGATTGCCAGACTTACTCGGTCTACCAGCCTGCGTACTTCTTTCTGACCTCTGTATTATAGTCCATGGTAACAGATATTGAGGACCTTTGGTTTTTCTCCAGACTTATGAACTTTTTCCTAAAAGAAGAGAAACATTTTTCCTCTTATAAAAACTGACAGTAGCAAGGTGTGGTGGCTGCTTATGCCTGAAATCCCTGCACTATGGAGGCTGAGGCAGGAGGATCGTTGCAAGTTCGAGACTAGCCTGGGCTACAAAGTGAGCTCAAGGTGAGCCCAAACTGCATAGTGAGACCGTGTCTCAAAAAGACCAAAAAAAAGGAAAGAAAAAAATAACAGTACACTGTAAGGATAGAGGGTAGAACTGAGAAGAATTTAAAAGCATTATTCGACCCAGCTTCTTACTTCTGTTTTTAATTATATAGCCCTTTAAATGAATGTGCAAGTTCAAAATTATACTCCTTTTTATAGCCGGAAAAATCCTGGGATTCCAGGGCTGAACTCATTCCTTCTCTGTATGTGTTCGAATGTGTCGAGCTGGAGCTTGCCTTGAAACTGGCATCTGGAGAAGATGACCCCTTTGACTGTGATTTTTCTTGTCCAATCAAGCTTCACAGAGGTAAGATGCTCACTCAGTGTAGTTCTTTTGTCCCATTACAGTTACACTAAAACTGATCCCATATAATTTAGCTGTTCTGGGGTTCCAGCCTTTTAAAAAAACAAATGTTAAATGTGTTCTTTTGGCCTTTTAGTCATTACACAGGATAGTTACCTGTCTTATGCAGATTGAGCAAATTTCTCAAGATTTAGAATAAATCTTGGGTTTAGAATAAATCTTCAGTTTGGATCCACCTAGATGTACAATACTGTCTTCTTCATGGTGTATCAAAAGTAGATTTCATGCCAGGCATGATGGCTTATGCCCGGAACCCTAGCACACTGGAGGCTGGGACAGGAGGATCACCAAGAGTTTGAGGCCAGCATGGGCTACATAGCGAGTTCAAGACCAGGCTAAACTAAAAGCAAGACCCTGTCTTAAAAAAAAAACGTAGATCTCATGATTCAAGTATTTGAATGTTTGCCAGCTTTAAATTACCTTTACATATCAAATGGTGAGCCTGGCATCGTGGCTCACACCTGTAATCCCAGCACTTGGGAGGCTGAGGCAGGAGGATCATTGCGAGTTTGAGACCAGTCTAGGCTACAAAGTGAGCTCAAGGCCAACGTGAACTGCATGAGTCCCTGTCTCAAAAAGACCGAAAAAAAAAAAATCAAATGATACCATAGCTGTGTGCCACATAGCAGCATTTTTTTTGAGATTTTTTTTTTTAATTTTTATTTAAGGAGAAAAGAAAAAAAAAAAAACAGTGAAGGGGTACAAGTTATACAGATTTACAGAAGAAAAAAATGCGCAGTAGGAAATCACTAGTTAATGGATTACATATTGCCATCTTAGAAATAATTGTTCAAGTCACAAAATTAAAGCTTGTAGAGTGGACATTCCAACAATGATACTGCAAACCACATAGCAGCATTTTAAAAACCAACAGACCAAATGTACAGTGGCAACTGTAAAATCCATTGGTTAGTTATACCATGGACATCATAAGTTGCCTAAAGACACTATAATGTTTGTACAACATTGACCTAATAATGAATTTCTCACAATGTTTCTTTGTTGTAAAGTGATGTGATTATGTTCATGTTAAGCTATTTGTTTAAAGTTTCTTCATTATCTTAATACATTACCTTGTTATACCCAAATTTAATTTGAATGTTACTTTACCGCCATCCTCCATGGAGCTGGGGATCAAATCCATGGCCTTCTACATGCTAAGCAAGCACATTTTTACTGAACTACACCCTAACCTCTTTTTTCTTTGTTTGTTTGTATTTTTTGCCTTTTTTGAGACTGGGTGCAATTCAGGCTGGCCTTGAGCTCACTTCATAGTCCAGGCTGGTCTCAAACTTGCAGCATTCCTCCTACCTCAGCGTCCCAAGTGCTGGGTTTTCTTTGTTTTTAACTTGCCTGGATTTGTATCAGATCCATTTAGGGTCTTACCAGCATTCATCTAAGGGGAGCTTGGACAGACTGCTGAGAAAATCAAAGAACGTTACTCAGATACAGTGAGTAAGGGGAAGAAGGAGTTTGTGGCTCAGAGTCTGAAATGTACCAGGTTTGAGTTCTGGCTTTACATTAGAGGGCTTTCCAGTCTTGGGCATTTAATTACCCTCTCTGGTCTTCAGTTTTCTCATCTGAACAAGGGTCCATAATAGAGAATCTGTACGGCCCCTTCTAAAACTAAAATGCCGACATCTATAGGCCCTTCCAGTGTTTTTTGGTTTTTCCTCTAGGATCTTGTCTTTTTCCTTGTAAGAATGAGGAACAAAACATATTACTTGTTCTGTAGAATAAATGAATACACTTATTGGTATTTTCTTCTTTTTTTTTTTTTGGACCAGGGGTCGAACTCACAACCTCATGCTTGCCAGGCAGGCACTTGTGCTGCTGAGCTAAATCCCTGGCCCGGTAGTTTCTTTTGTCTAGCGTAGTGACAAGGATTCCAATCTTAATTTCTTTTTTCTTTTTGGGTTTTTTGACAAGGTGTCTATGTAGTTGATTGGTCTTGAACTTACTATGTAGCCTGAACTTGCCTCAAATTTGCAGTGAACCTGCTGCCTCTGAGTACTGGAATTACAGGTGTGCATTACAACAGCCAGCCGTAGATTCTAGTCTTGCAGCAGACTGACTTACAGTGGGCCTGCAGCTCTCAATAGCTAGTTTGCCTAGGTTTGGTAACAATGCTTCAATTCTGTACTGAAGTATAGCCAAAACGTTTATGGATGCAATATTCCTTACATAATATATCAGCAAGGAGAGCTCAGTGTTTCAAAAGATAGAGTCTAAAAATAAGTCTAAACTTTACACATGGGAGAAGGCACTGAGGTCTAGTGAGGAAAAGTGATGCAAAAGATATATATTTCTTTTTGTTTTTTAACCAGTACCAGAGATCGAACTCAAGAATGTGCACTTACAAGGCAGGCGCTATGCCACTGAGCTAAATCCCTAGCCCCTAAGATACAGATTTCTTTGGAAATCTTAAGTGTAAACTTGAGCGATGTTCTTCTAATGAAAGTAACATTTTTGTGTATGAAGCTAATTCTTGACTTATTCATATCTTATTCATATTATGCTTAAGAATATCACAATCACTGAAATACACACAGACTTAAAACAAAAGAAAATGCCCATCAATAATGAGGGTAGTACCTAGGAAATTCCTCCTTTAACTAACTATTGGCTCTTTTTCAGAATTTACTTGTTACTTCCCAATATTAAGTTTTCCTTGTCAATTTAAGCAAATAAATTTTGAAAAGCTGTCTTAAACAATGGTATAATCTAGTAAGATCATTTGAACCTTAAGTCTTAAATTTGGGCAAATGAAAGTATAATTTTCACGATTTCATTGGTTAGCAGAGGAATGATTCCCATTGGCCATAGTTTTTTAAAGCTTTTTAGCAAATGCTATTACCAAGTACTATGCAGAAACCCAGTATATTGAGCCAGGAATTTAGCGCAGTGGCATAAGCACCTGCCTTGCAAGTGCATGATCGTGAGTTTGATCCCAAGTACCAAAAAAAAAGGAAACCCAGTATATTAAAAAGGTAAAAATACTATAATATAATATCAATTTACAGCATTAATTTAGTATAAAATTAACACTGATAGAGCATTTGCCTGGCATTCCTGAAGTTTAGGTTCAAGTCCAGAAGCGCTGAAGAAAAATATTCACATAGACTGGCATGGTAGTGTACACCTTGTAATTCCCACTGAGGTGGGACCCTAAGTCTGAGCTTAGTCTGGGAAACTTAGCAACATCCTATCTTGTGCTTGTGATGTAATTCAGTGGTAGAGTGTATCCCTTGGTATGATCCTCAGTAACACACATACGTATACTGAGGCTGTTAAAAGAAAAATTTCGGTGCTTATGGATTCTGTCATTTACTATATACAAAATGTGATAAAAATACAATGAATGCTTATATCTTTTTAAAGAAATTTATTATAGTAAAAGATGTATTAGCTGGGTGTGGTAGTGCACGCCTATAATTCCAGCACTCAGCAGGCTGAGACAGGAGTATTGTTGTGAGTTCAAGACCAGCCCTGGCTACAAAGTGAGCCCAAAGCCAGCCTGAAACTGCATGGTGACACGCTTTCTCAAAAAGACACACATACACACACAAAAGATATATATTGCCGCTAATGCCCCTTAAAATAATCTCCTTGTTTCAGACACACTTACTGTATCATTCTTGCCATTTCTGAAGCCATTCCGGGAGCCCTCTCTCAAAGTATCTTTATTTAGTTGCATTGTTAATGTTTGTCTTAATATCCCGAATTGGTTGACAACATTTACCTTTCCTGATCATTTTGAGTTTAGGGAAGAGCCAGAGGTTGAATGGTGTCAGACCTGGTGGATAAGGCAGATGAGGGCACACTATAATGTTTGGGGGGTCCTGGGGAGCAAACTCACGGCCACGCACTTGCAAAGCAGGTGCTTATGCTGCTGAGCTAAATCCCTGGCTTTTTTTTTTTTTTTTTTTTTTTTAAATTTTATTTAAGGAGAAAAGAAAAAAAAAAGCAGGGAAAGGGTACGAGTTATACAGATTTACAGAAAAAAAATGAACAGTAGGAAATCACTAGTTAATGGATTACATATTGTCATCTTAGAAATAATTGTTCAAGTCACAAAATTAGAGCTTGTAAAGTGGACATTCCATCAATGATACTGCAAACAGTTCTGTTCATTGATCCAATAAAACTCTGTGATATCATTTTCTATCTTATACACTTAAATATACATGCAGTTATATAGTTTGGAGCACTTTCTTTTCTTCTCTTTTGTACCATGACTATTACACATTTTGGGTTTCATTGCTCCCACGGTTCTTACTGCTTTTTTGGAAGAGAGTAAAACCAAATGTGACATAACAGAACAGAATCGGTCAAGTCAAAAGGGTGGACATAATAGATAATGTAGAAACATAATACAAGGTGATCAACAATGGTTACCATAATGCCTCCCGCTATCTCTAATAGAATTGCCTATATCATTAGTTATAATACAATTGAACAAAACAGTAAAGAACAAAACCGACAAAACCAAAACATTGGAGACATTGTAGGTCTTCAAAAGTAGACAAAAGTCAACAAGAATGGGCGTCATAATGAATCTCATTATCTTCACAGCTGATGCCTAAACTTTCGAACCTGATACTATCCAGCAAAACAGAATAGGGGAACATCAGTTAAAAACCAGATGGTGAGAGTAATACAGGGCTTTAAATCGAGGTAATGAAAAGTCAAAGTAGGTTACTATAATATATCCTGCTATTTTTTCTCCTTTAATTAAAAGGATAAAGATAAAAAAGTAAATAATGGAGTGGAGATTGAGATAAAAGAGGGCATAACAACGAAACAGCGCAGATCAAAACATAACCATTTAAGCAGAATAGTGTTTCACCACCAGATAATCCTAACCTAAAAGTAGTTACCATATTGTTTCTTTCTTTGAAATCCTTGAGTACAACTTCGTATACTGTAGCATTAAGTATATCAAAACAATGTAAAACCATTCAAGAGAATGACAGCATTACAGAGTATTTAGAATCGACTAACAAAATGAACAATGGTTTCTGTATAATCTCCTTGTCTTTAAAAGGTTTTTGCTTATACTATCGTACATAATAAAATCCAATAAGATACAGCCTATTTAGACCATTGGAGACAGAAGGACAAAAGCTAGATGAGACTTCAAAACAAGATGATACTAAATCTGTATTACCTATTAAGATGTCATTTTCTCCAAAATAGCTGTTCCTATCATCCAATCTTCTCTGCCTCATTTCTGTTAAGCTCTTTTTCTGTCCGTAGCTGTCAGTTTGTCTTCTTCATTTTGTTCTCTGCTCCATTCGTTGTGGCCTCTCTGCCATTATTTCTGGATTCTTTGTATTTTTCTTTTTTTTAGAATATCCTGCAATACTCTCTGTAGAGTTGAATTGGTGGTTGCAAATTCCCCCAGTTCCTCTTTATCCTGGAAGCACCTTGTTTTTCCATCAATTTCCAGGGACAGTTGTGCAGGATATCTCAATCTTGGCTGGAGATTATTATCTTTCAATGCTTGAATTATTTCCCCCCACGCTCTTCGTGATTTGATGGTTTGTGCAGAGAAATCTGCTGTAATTCTGATGGGTGTTCCCTTGTAGGTGGTCTGTTTCTTGTCTCTTACAGCTTTTAATATTCTGTTCTTGTATTGAATTTCTGGAATTTTGATTATTATATGCCTGGGTGTTGCTCTGTTTGGGTTGTAGGTAGCTGGGGTCCTGTATGCCTCATACATCTGAGTATCTTTACCTTTTGCTAAATTAGGAAAATTCTCCTGGATTATTTCTGTGAGTAGCTTTTGTAGTTCACTTGTTTGTGTCCCTACTTCTTCTTTTATGTTCTTAATCCTTAAGTTATGGATCCTCTTATCATCTTCTTGTCTTTGTATTATTGCTGTTTGTTTCTTTGTTATTTTTAAGAAGTTTTGCATTTCATTCTCCCATATTACAAGTCTGCCCTCCAGTTCAGATAGTCTGTCCTTAGTTTCTTTCAAGCTGTTATGCCAGTCTTCTATAGACTTCTTAGTATCTTGGTAGTCCCTTTGAACCTGCTTCACGTATTCTATGCTTTCTCTGTTTTCTCCATCAAACAATTCTCCCCTTTTTTTCTGTTCTTCCATTCCACCACCTGTTTTTTCTTGGGTGGTACTTAGCATTTCTCTAACTATTCTGCATACTTCTAGCTTCAGGTCATTGATAACTTCATTCCTGAATTGGTCTATGAGGATCTCTATATGGTGCCTTATGTGTATTGGTGTGGTGTCTGCTATTGCCTGTTTCTCAGAATTGGGGGCCGAGGAGCCTTTCTTGTTGCTGCCTCTTCCCATGCTGCCTCTTCTTCTCTGTTCCTTATATATGCAAGCTTATATAAGAGGCCCAGCTTCTCTCCCAGTCAGCCACAGCCTGATCGAATTGCGCCAGTTAGGTGTTCCCGCTCACCGCTGCGCACCAGGGAGTTACGGACCAGGCAGCCTACGCGTCACCCCTCCGGGCCACCGTCAGGCTCTGGGATCTGGGTTGGGACAGCCTACCAGGTCCGCCGGCAGCGTCACGCAGGCCAGGCACTTTTCACCAATCCCGCCCGAGAGGGGGATGTGTGGCTGGAGTCGCCACCGCGCCCTGCTCCCGCAGGACTGCCCGGGCCCAGAAAGTCCTCTGCTGGAGTCAAACTGTGGTAGAGTGTCAGTTTCTCTCACTCACCTCACCACAAGTCAGTGCACACCTCCCTGCCGTTCGCAGATTGCCGTTCTCAGAGCTTCCACGCGTCTCTCTCCTTGCTGAGCCGCTGTAGAGGCAGCCAGCTGCCGCGCGGCGGGAAACCCAAATCGCGGCTTACAATGGCGCGGTTCCAGCCTCCACACCAAGTCTTTTCTGTTCCTGTTTTAGCACCAGGACTGCATTCCAAGTTGGCTTCTCTCAGCCCAGTTCGTTCCTGAGTCAGCAGAGCATATCTCCACCGACTTATGTCTCCTTAGTCCGCACCATTCCTGGCTTCTGAGCCGAGTCTTTCAGAGAGCCTCCGGTAGTTGCTGTTATCTGTCCGCCATGTTCTCCCGGAAGAGCTTTTTTTTTTTTTTTTTTTTTTTTTTTTTGAACACCATAATATTTTTATAAGTCTGCCTTTTCATTGGATTCCACTTGGCAGCAGGATCCACTGCATTTATTTCACCTCAAAAAGACACAGAAAAGGAGGTCCACACCTGCTTCAGAAAGTGGGAAGAACAGGCTAAAGGTGTTCTGTGGGAGGAGGTGTATTTTGAGGATCAGTGGCAATGTGTCTTTTACTGTAATACATTGTTAACATTTTAAACATATTAGCCACAAAGATATTTGTAACTAATAGGTATTCGGAGCTCATATTTAGTCCAATAAGAGTATACTTACTACTACTAGTACTCAAAGCATAGAAATTTTTGTTTCAAAGCCAAGGTAACTAAAATTACTCGCATCCGTTAGTTCAAATATAAGTGATTATCAACTAAAAGAGAATCTAGAACTAAAGATAAAATTAGAGCCGTCTGTAGGCCAACATTATGCAGGTGGTAAGGCGAGTGAGCTGGTGCTCACCCAGCACTGGTGAGGCTGAAGCCGGCAGGACTGCCGGGAGTCACGGGCAGCCTGGACTGCGGGCCAGGACAGTGTCTCAGGGGAAAAAGACAAGGCCAGGGCGGAAGAGTAAAGGGAGGCAGGTGAAGCCCTGTGTTTCGCACGCACCTGCCGTACTACATCAGGGGAGGACTGGTCACTGAGGGTTGTGCTGAAGTCACTCAGTCCCTGGTGGCAGGAGAACGCTTACTTCCCCAGTGTCACGTAAGGAGAGCCAGGTAAGTGCAGGTTTTCTGCAGAGTGACCATGCTGCATGGAAGAGCTTTAAATAAATGCAAAAGGCATAAATGAGTTACTTGACAGCAAGTGTTTATTTTTCCAGAAACTGTTTTATTGTTATGTTTCTTTTTTTTTTTTTTTTTGTCTTTTTCCTTTCTATCGGTACCAGGGATCGAACTCACGACTGCCTGCTTGCAAGGCAGGCGCTTATGCTGCTGAGCTAAATCCCCAGCCCCCGAAACTGTTTTATTGTTTAGAAAATAACATACTTGGACTATGCTTTTTTAAATATTTAAAATATAATTGAAAGTTTAATTAAAATTATAAAATACCAGAATCATAGATCCAGTATCATATAATTAAACGTCCTTATAGGCCTTTCATCACATTCATCAGCAGATGTATTTGTAGAGGACTGAGAGAAGTTCTTTTCATACTCCAAAGGCTACCTTTCATGTTATTAATGATTCCACTTGCAGATCCCAAGTGTCCTTCAAGATATCACTGTACTCATGAAGCTGGTGTACACAGTGTTGGGTTAACCTGGATTCATAAACTTCACAAATTTCTTGGATCAGGTGAGCTTACCTACTTCCTGTACTTTCCATTGGGTTTCAAAAGCTATCAAAAAGTAGTTTGGAAAAGAGAAATAGTAAGAGAAAGTTAGTGAAACCAAAAGTTGGTTCTCTATAAAGATTAGCAAAATTGACAAACCCTTGGCTAAGCTGACCAAAAACTAGAACAAAGAAAAATCAGTTCTAAAAATCAGGAACAGGACAGGGATTTAGCTCAGCAGCTCAAGCCTGTAGGTAAGTGTGAGGTTGAGTTCGATCCTTGGTACCCCTACCCAAAAAAATCAGGAACAAAACGTGGATACTGTTGCAACACCTACAGAAGTTTTAATGCTAGTTAGATGAAACGGGCAAATTTTAAGAAATAAACTACTAAAAGTTATTCAAGATTTTTAGAGACCAGGCATGGTAGCGTGCACCTGCAAGCCCAGCGCTTGACACGCTGAGATGGGAGGGTCGCTGTGCGTGTGAGGACAGCCTGGGCTAGAGTGAGTTCAAAGCTAATCTGGACTACAAAGTGAGGCCCTGCCCTAAAAATCAAAGTCACCCAAAAGGAGAAGCCTGTGACAGGCGGTTTCACATTTGAAGAATGACCGCTAGACAAGGGGTCAGTCGCTACCAGCTGCGCCTCTGAGGTGAGAGCCTGCACCGAGACCACACGGAGACGTTCAAGGAAAGAAAACGATAGACAGGCGTCTCTTAGCAATAGAAATACAAGACATTTTCAGAATCCTAACCAAGTCCATCAGCGTATAAAAGGATTGAATGCCATTATCAAATGTCATTTATCTCAGGAATGCAAAGTTAGTTTCACTTGAAAAGTCAATTTATGGGGCTGGGGATTTAGCTCAGCGGCATAAGCGCCTGCCTTGCAAGCAGGCAGTTGTGAGTTCAAGCCCTGGTACCGATAAAAAGGAAAAAGACAAAAAAAAAAAAAAAGAAAAGTCAATTTATGTGTTTTACATATAAGGTCAAAAACCATATGATCATCTCAATAGACATAGATAAAACATTTAAGGAAATCCAACAGCCTTTCTTGTTGAAAACAGTTGACATGCATGAGCAATTTATTGAGACTGTCAAAATGAAAAATAAGGAAAGGGCTAAGGGTATATAGAGCGCAGAGTGAAGGTCCTAGGTTCAATCTCGAGTACTGCAAAAAACTAAACATTCAGCATTCTAGTAATAAAAAGGAACTTGAACCAGGTTTGGTGGTGCATGCCTATAATCACAGCATTAGGAGGACCACTGTAGATTTAAGGCCAGCCTGAATTACATAGTGAATTCAAGGCCAGCCTGACTTACCTACATACCAAGACCCTGTCCTTAAAAAAGAAAAACTTTTCACACTAATAAAGAACATCTGTGAAAACCCACAGATGCTTACTGGTGAAAAACTGAGTGCTTTCTGCTGTTGCTACTTGCTACAAATTTAGTGACTTAAAATACCACTTACTTGTTCTTACTGTTAAGTACAAGCCTTAGATGGGTCTCACTGAGCTCAAGTTGGCAGAACAGTTTTCCTTCTTTCCTGGAGACCAAAGGAAAATCTATTCTCCTTTTCCAGCTTCTACCATATTTCTTTGGTTTGTAGTTTTTTCATTTTAAGAGTTAGCAACAGTGGGACAAATTAAGTTGTATCACTAACCTTTTTTTTGAGACAGGGTCTCACCATTTAGTCCAGGCTGGCCTCAAACTCGCTGTGCACCCTTGAACTCTCAGCCCCTGCCTCAGCCTCCCGAGGGCTGGGATTACAGGCATGCACTCCCGTGCCCAGCTCACTGTTGTAACCTTTCTTGCTTCCCTTTTTGTTCGTTTGTTTGTTTTTGAAGATGGGGCTCTCTCTATACTGCCCAGGCTGACCTCAAATTCACTATTCTGGCTCAGCTTCTTGAGTAACGGGGATTACAGGTATGGGCCCCATGCCTGCCTTATTTTTCATTTTTAAAGAAATTTGTGATGATAGTTTTTGAGAGAAGCTTATCAAGACTACTCAGATAGTATCCCTATCTTAAAGTCATCTTCTGAGCAACTTTAATTCAAGTTTTCAATCTTAATTCTTCTTTGTCATGTAGGCTAATTTTTCAGTTTCTGAGGGTTGTGATGTGGACATCTTTGGAAAATGCATTATTCTGTCTCCTGTATGCTACCCCTCTGATACTCAAATGTTTAGGTCAGACCCAAATGCAAGATACATTCACATCATCTCAATATTCTCAAAATCTCAAACTATAATAGCATTAACCAAGCTCAGCATCTCATCTAATGCTCTAACCTCAGATATCCCAAATTTCATCATCTAACTAAGTATGAATGTGACTGTGAGGCAGCATTTTCTCTGTTTGTAAACCTAAGAAATATAAAAACAAGATACTTCCAGAATGCAGTGGTGAGATAGTTGTAGACATCCCTGTATGAAAGGAGAAAAGAACAGAAGGAAAAAAGAATCACAGCTCTATCGGGGGATGTGGCTCAGTGGGAGAGATCTTACCCTGCATGCACAAGGCCCAAGTTAAAGCCCCGGCACCACCAAAGAAAGAATCACAGCTCTAAACATTTTCCAAATCCAAATCCAGTCCAAGTTTGGGGGTAATCCTTAGGGTTTAACAACTCCAACTTTGAGCATCCTTCATTTCAAGGTAGCATTTATTTGTAGTTACATATTTTTCAGCCTATTTCTTGTAAAAATTTAGAAGTAGAACAGCCTTCTCTCAACCTGTTTTGACCCTTTTGATGTTAACCAGCCATTTCTGCTATTAACAATTTTTCGAGAGTTTTGGAGTTCCCGTGCACATCATTACTGTAATAGGCAACAGGCTCATCCACGGAGCCTTGTCTGCTTAACACCCGCCTCTCTCCTTCTTAACGTCTGCTGGGAGAGCAGAGCATCTAAGCCACACTCGCAGCACAGTCCTGTGTGTGTGACTGGATACGCTTTCTGACCTCCTGGCCACTGAGCTATCAGCAGAAAGTAGTACAGCCCAATCATGGATGTTTTGTTTTGTTTTCCTGCAATATACGTTTTTGGCAGCAAATCCTCTATTTTTATAAACTTTCGCCTTTCCAGTTAGGCTAAGAATTTCCCAAATCGATATTTTATTCCTTTTTATTGAACAGTTTTTCCATCAATTTCATTTTAATTTGTATTTTACTATAACCAGCAGGAAAAAACGAGACCACAATATCAACGTTTTGCTTGGTAATTATTTCAACTCAGTTTCCAGTTGTTCTCACTTGTTCTCCTTCATATACTTTCCCCTTAAAGGACAAAAGTAGGATGTCTTATGCCAATTATATTCAACTTTGTAATACAAGTTCCGGACAAAAATTTGCCACAGTGTGATACTGGCATAAGAGTACACGTATGTTGTAGGTCAGTGGAATAGAGCTGAGAGTCTACGAATACACCCTTCTATGTACAGCCATTTGGTTTCCTCAGAGGTGGTGAAATAATTCAGTGAGGAGAGAATAGTCTTTTCAACAAATGATACTGGCACAAATGGATGTCTATAATGCAAAAGAATGGATTTAGGCCATTACCTCATACCATTCCCAAAAATGAATGCCAAATGGATCAAAGATCAGACAGAAGAACATAAAGTTCTTAGAAGAAAATCAGTATAAATCTCTGTGACCTTGAATTGGGCAGTGCTTTCTTTCTTTCTTTTTTTTTTTTGGTACCAGGAGTCAAACTCAGGACCTCACACTTTCCAGGCAGGTGCTAAATTCCTGGCTCATAGGCAGGGATTTCTTAAGGCATCAGAAATACAGCAGATGAGAGAAAAAGGGTAGCCTTACAGAGCATCAGAATTAATATCATTCAAGAACACTGTCACATATGAGAACAGACCACAGAAAGCGAGACACTACTTGCAGATCATGTATTTGATAATGGAATTATATTTGAAACATAAAGAATTCTTAGAATTTAATGTGAAAAGATAAGTAGCTCAATTTCAAAATGGACAGAGGGTTTCCATAGACATTGTTACTTTGATAATATTCAAGTAGCACATAATTTTGAACATCATTAGTCATTTTGGAAATGAGATACCATAAAACCACAATTGGATTTTTAAAAATCTTTTTGAGCCAAGGTTTTGCTATGTAGTTCGTTCGGGCTGGCATTAACCTCACAGCAATTCTCCTGCCTCAGCCTCCAGAGTGCCAGGATTACAGGTGTGCACCACCATGCCAACAGCAATTAAATTTGATACTCACAGAGGTGGCTAACATGTAAAATAAGATGGACAGTAACGAGTGCTGACGAGCACGCGGAAGAGTGAAGACCCTTGTGTACTGTGTGTGAGAATATAAAGTGGTGCAGTGCTTAGAAAACCAGTCTGCAGGTGACTGAAACCAGTAAATACACAGTTAACATATACTGAGCAGTTCACCTCAGTATACACCCTTATGTCCACATAGCAGTCTTATCTGCAGTAGCCCAAAAGCCAAACAGCTAAGTATCCTTCAACTATGAATATTAAAAAAAAGATGGTATATCCACCCATACAATGAAACACTGTTGAGTTAGAGGAATGAAGTTTCATACCTGTTCCAACATGAATGAACCGTGAAAACATGTTAAGTGAAAGAAGCCAGATTATAAGCAACTACATGTTGTATGATTCTGTTTACATGAAATGTTCAGAATAGACTAATCCAGATGCAGAAAGTGTTCTTTCAGTATACTAACCCATTGAATTGTACACTTTAGATTAGGTACTGTAGGTTGGTTCAAAAGGTTATTAGAAAAAAATCAATGTGGATATGAAATAGACTATGGAAAGGAATGATGTCGGGGATTTTTCTCAGTGGAACATTTCTACATTTTAAAAACCTGGTGCAGGAAAACCATTCCTAGTACAGAAATCTAGATCCTAGGAGTGCGAATGTTTCTGTCAAAAACGCATAATCCTTGATAGGCAGGAAAGAATTTAATTGCATTTAAGTAATACCATCAGCATTTTAACTTGGAGACTTGTCTAAACATCATTTAATTTATGTAATGTGTTCCTTTGTAGATGAAGAAGATAAAGATAGTTTACAAGAACTTGCTGCAGAACAAAAATGCTTTGTGGAGCACATCCTTTGTACAAAGCCATTGCCGTGCAGGTAAGGACTGTTTCTCCCTTGTACGTGCTCAGTTCGGTAATTCAGATACCTACATATACATGACACATCGTCCCTGAAAGTATCCAGTTCATTAGATATTCATGAGAGACCTTCTTTTGCCTTAGGACCACTCTACATACTGTTTCCTGTGTCTTGGTCCCAAACTTCACTGGGATTCGTTTCTTATTATAATGTCACTTCTTTAGAGAAGACTCCCTTGAGTCCCTAGTCAAATTTAGGGTTCTTCTGTTCTTGTTCTTGGTAATATATACTCTAGTTTCTACTCGTGCTTGTTTAATGTCTGTCACTACTGTAACATACATACATGAGAGCAGAGCTTATGTCTCTTAGTGTACACTGTTGGCCTCTTGTCTATCTACTCTGTAAGTTTAGTTACGCAGTAAATACATGAAGAACAGAATAAAGGGAATTCCTTAGAGTGACTTCCAGCTTTCTTAGGATAAGGAGATGTAGAAAAATGGTTATGAAAAGAGAAAGCACAGATTTGGTAAGACAAGACAATGAATGGAGGCCTGTGGAATCTTGTGTTGCCATAGGACAACTGAGTGGAAGAGCCTGACAGATAGCTGGGTTTGTAAGTCTGGAGTGTAGAGTGATTCGGACAGGACACTAGGAGAATGAGCACTGTCACACTGGAACATGACTCTGCCAGGGTTACCTCCAGAGGAGCCTAGAATGAGTAGAGAAGGCCTGAGAAGAGAGAAGTCCGTCACACCTATCTTATGCATCAGCAGTAAGCAGAGCGAGGGGCCCAGCCCAGGAAGGAAACTTGAGAAGGAGCTGCCAGAGAAACTCCAGAACTTGGAGGGTAGGGTGCTGAGGCAGAGGTGTTTCCAAGAGGCAGCAGTGGCTAGCAGATCTTGAAGTATAACAGGAAAGTGATGAGCTGGATTTAGCATACAGAGGACCATAGGGAAAAATACTTGTGAGGGAAGAAAAAACAATAGACCATACTGATTAAAAATGAACAGGGAAATGTGTGTCACTTTCAAAAACATTAGTCTTGATAGGAATGAAAAAAGATAGGAAAACTATAGAGCAGAACAAGGTGTGACAGCATGGGAGCTGCAGCCGTGACTGCTCTGGGAGGGGAAGGCTGTGATCAAGGTGGGTCACCTGGACGTCGTAGCTGCTGGCAGTGTCAGAATTCATGACCTGGATGCTAGTCCGGTAGTGGTGTGGCTTTCACGCTGGTGATCTGAAATTCTAGAACCTTTCAGATCTCCCCAGCCTACTGCCTCCCCCTAAAAATGGTGAATGAGAAATAATGTTGACTACACCTAAAAGACTGCTGTTCTAAAGGTGAGAAAGAATAAAGGGAACCAGACATTAAGATGTGATGATATGAAATGCCCTAGGAGATAGTGCGGGTGTTTTTGTTCTTTTAATAGCAGGCACATCACTTTGTTTTGTAAGCTGAGAGGAAACAGCAGTGGGCAAGTTTTGAAATTGCCAGTTGACAGCATGATCTCCAAAAGATGTAAGAGGTGGTGGTGTCAACATTCAGAGACAGAAATGGACAGTGGTCATGTGTTGAGATGACCTAAGTTACCCCTTAGGGCCATAGTTTCCAGATTTTGTATTTGTGGTAATGAGAACTGACCATGGTTCCTATATACTGTCTTTAAAGTTTTTTGAGACAGAGTTTTGCTGTATAGTCCAGGTGGCTTCAAACTCCTACCTCAGCCTCCCACGTGCTGAGATTATAGGCATGTGCCACCATGCCTGGCTGCCACATCTAATCTCCAGCTCACACATTTATTACTGAGACATAATCATGCTAAATTGCCCAGGCTGGGGCCAGGGATACAGCTCAGTAACACAGTGCCTGCTGGCAAGCACAAGGTCCTGAGTTCAATTTCGGGTACCAACAACAAAACAATTACCCAGCCTGGGCTTGAATTTGCTATTCTCCTGCCTCAGCCTCCTTGCGTACTGGGATTACAGAGATGTAATACCATACCTAGCTTCCCGTGTCTTCAGGGAAGTAGGAAAAGATGAGAGATGCAGGCCATGCACGCTGAATGAAGTCCTGCGATACTTGCTGGGCTTTATTGCGTGTGCAGTCTGAAATAAAAGTTCTGTTTGTTCAAGCTTCTGAGTCTGAGTCGCTTAGGTACAAAAATACTGTAATTGAGCTTACATCTGAGCTAGGGGGAGACACGAATTGGGAACTTCAGTGTAGCATGTGAACTGCTCAGATGGCAGTGAGCCCCACCGGGCCATGGTTTGCGGAGTCATTTGGTAAGGGGCTTCTACACTGCCAGGCAGCACCTCGCTTCACACACACATGATCAGAAATGTGTTACAGGTTTTCAGGTCAACAATTTGGAAGGTACTGTCCTGATACACACACCATGTCCTGAGCCGCTGCTGGCCCAGGCCTGAACAGGCCTTAGAGCTGTTGTGTCTGTGCTTGTGGTGTGATTGCATTCGCTGCTTTGTGACTTAGCTGTTTTTCTTCAGGCAGCCAGCTCCAATTCAAGGATTCTGGATCGTTCCTGATATCCTGGGCCCCACGATGATCTGCATCACCAGTACTTACGAATGCCTTATAAGACCGCTATTGTATGTCTTATTTTGTATTTTTCCATATATTTCTGTTTCATGTCGCAAATCTAATGGGAATAGGGGACAAAAATACTTGACTCCATCATGTATAAAGTAGACTTAATGATTATCAGGCTCTCAGTCTGCACCAGGCTCACTTTCCTGCACTGCTCCTTGTATCACCAGGATAGTCCTTCAGGAGAGCACTGTTTACAAGAGCTCCGTTACCCCGTCCTAGAGGCTCGAGAGCTCAGCAAGTGCTGAACTTCACAGTTGGTGGGAGAATGTGGCAGTAGGTCTGACTGATTCCAGAGTCCATATGCACTGTTCCTTTTTGACAGCCTCACAGGACATCAGTGAGGACTGTGAACTTTGGTTAGAAGATGGTGTATAGGATTGAGGACGTAGCTGAGTGGCCCAGTGCATGCCTGACAAGCGCTACCCGAGTTCAGTTCCCAGACCTCTACTCCACACATACAAATAAATTGGACTAATTTTTTTAAAAAGTTGGAATATAGTTGGGCCAGGGATTTCACTCAGCGATGGAAGTGCCTGCCTGGCAAGCGTGAGGTTGTGATTTCGATCCCTGGTACCAAAACAAAACAAAAACTGCAAAGTTGATACATAGCTAAACTCACAGTCCTTATTCTCCTTAGTGTTTTCCTTTTTAAGCAGCCCTGGTGGGTCATTCTGAGTTTGGTGAATATAGGAATAAGAGTACAAAGTCAAAAGTCATCTTGGTGTCAAACACTAGACCCAAATCAGCTCAAAGCCAGTATTTGTAATATACTGACATAAATACAAAATACTGTACTGCTTCGCCATCCTTAGAAGGTGTTCTGCTATTTAAAGACTGATCAGTTATTATAATATGTGGGAAAGAATTCAAATAAGAATTTTGTCTTCTTTATTCTGAAACAAAAATTCTAGCAAAGCTAAATAGAAGTACAGCAGTACCTCAGCTCATGAACGTAATTCTTTCCATGATTCTGGTCACAGAATTCATCCCAGATTCAGAATTTTGGAATGAATTCTGCAACCAGATATAAAACAAGCTATTCATAATAAAACCACAGGAAAGTATTTGCCAGTTGCAAGTAATTTATAGGAATCAAATTATATAGAATTAGTTATATAGAATTATGTTATATGGTAGTTACCTGATTTACTAATTTTGACCAAACCTAAACTACACCAAAGAATGGTGTGTTCTATTTGTGTTGGTGGCTCTAACTTATAAATGGGCTCTCCAGTCCTTTGCTAAAAGGGTTCATTATGGACTTACATTTTTATGCTGCTGTGATCATTTCAGAAAGAGTTTGGAGTGGCATAATCTAAAATGCTTTGAGAAATGGCATCACCATTAGACCAAAGATAATAAAAGTGACCGTTTTGCAGCAGAAAACACGCTTTGTTACACAAAAGTAATTCCACTGGGCATGGTGGCATAAACTTGTAATCCCAGCAGTCAAAAGGCAGAGGCAGGAAGATCAAAGAGAGATCGAGGCCAGCTTGGGCTACATAATCAAGTTCAAGGCCAGTAATAACTACATAGTGAGACCCTGTCTCCAAACAAAACAAAACAGTGAATACTGCTTAATATCTTAGGTCTTAAGAGTTGTAGATAAATGTGGTTTCTGCTTCCCAGTAACAGGGTAACTCCCTGATACGCTTACCTGTTTGTTTTACAGAAGTACAGTCCACCCAGCATCGCCTCCTCTGCTTTGTACCCAAGATGATGTTGAAGTTACAGAGTCTCCTCTCCGTATTCTGGCTGAAACCCCTGATTCCTTTGAGAAGCATATCAGAAGCATTCTGCAACGCACTGCTGCCAATCCAGCGTTTCTGAAGTATGGGACCTTGGGCTTTAGAGCTAATAAGTTATCTTCTCTTTCCATATTATTGTTCATTCCCTATGTCCTCCGCTGTTTCATACACTTTTTTTCTGTGGTAAAGTTGCGAGACAGAGGAGAGATCTAATAACCTAGGGAGAGAAAACTAGTACAGTGCTTATAAGAAGCACTGTAGGGGGAAGCAACTGTGATCTAAGTCTGTTTTACTTGGCCAAGGAAAATGATAGAAAGAAAATGATAGAAACTTTGTTTCTAAGGTCATCTGAAAAGGATTTGGCGCCGCCTCCTGAAGAATGTCTCCAGCTTATCAGCAGAGCCACCCAGGTGTTCAGAGAACAGTACATTCTTAAGCAGGACCTGGCAAAGGAGGAGATTCAGAGAAGGTATAATGTTCTCTGTTCATAAACTGTTAATACCTGGCTGCTAGCTCGTGCTATATAATAGCCTAGAACTGGCTTCTAACTACCCTTTTTTTTTTCTTAAAGGGTCAAATTATTATATGACCAGAAAAAGAAACAACTAGATGATCTCAATTACTGTCGAGAAGAGAGGTAAGTATCTATCAAAATTAGGGAGAAACAAGCCTGGGAGGGCATCTCATGACAGACACTGCACACAGCTTCCAGCTTTAACATCGGGGTGGACCCCAAGAGCTTCTTCATTCTTATGCCAACAGAAAAAGTCTGCGGGAAATGGCTGAGCGCTTAGCTGACAAATATGAAGAAGCCAAGGAAAAACAAGAAGACATTATGAACAGGTGCATGGGCTGAGTAACACTGGGTTCCCTACTAAGGTATTAACAGTGTTATTAAGTATTTGGGTACTAGCAGGGTTCTTAAAATGGACCTGAGCACAGCTGATCTACGTGCAAAATTCAGTGGCCCTCCCTGCCTCTCCTCCGAAACACATGTCGGAGAAGGCAGTGTTGTCCCTTAGCCCAGCCTACGTGGACCTCCTTCCCAGACACCAGATTCATGAATTACAACCTTTATGATCTCCCGATTAGAGATCTTAAGCTGAGATGTATGCTTACCTTTTCTAAAGGATGAAAAAAGTACTTCACAGTTTCCACTCTCAGCTCCCAGTTCTCTCTGATAGTGAGAGAGACATGAAGAAAGAACTGCAGCTGATTCCTGACCAACTTCGACATCTGGGCAATGCCATCAAGCAGGTAGGAATACATACGAAAGCCTGTCCTTGGGTTGTATCAGACGGTCTTGCTGTGTGTTCAGGCGGTCTCAAACTCACGCCGGCCCTCCTGCCTCAGCCTCTCAAATGCTGGGGTCAGGCACAGGCATGCACCACTCGTTCGGCAGGTCTGTCCTTTTAAAAAATGAAACACTTGTACCTTAGAAAACAATCATAGAAGATATCTATGAAAATGCAGACGATAGCCAAAATACGTGTTCTCATTGATATCAAGGTCACTATGAAAAAAGACTATCAGCAGCAGAAGATGGAGAAAGTGCTGAGCCCTCAGAAGCCCACCATTACTCTGAGTGCCTACCAGCGGAAGTGCATCCAGTCTGTCCTCAAGGAAGAGTAAGTACCTGCTTCCAGTCAGCTGCAGTGGGAAGACCAGCACCCCAAAACCAGCCTCTCCTTACCCAAACACACTTTGCTTCCGATATCTGTAGAGCAGACAGGGATTTAAGAAACAAGAACGGTGCTGGGTGTGGTGGTGCACTCCTATAATCCCAACACTTGGGAGGCTGAGGCAGGAGGATTGCTGTAAATTTGAGGTCACCTTGGCCAGCAAAACCCTGTCTCAAAAAGTAGCTGCGGGAGGAATGGAAAGTGACGTGTTTCCTGTAATACAGTGTAGTTGTGGTCACCAGTATTTCCCAGTATGTTCAAAAATGTTTCTTGGAGCTAGAGACGCAGCACAGTGACAGAGCAACTCACCTAACAGACGTGAAGGCCTGGGTTCAATCCCTGCCACACATAGGAGGGAGATTCGGTAGGTGAGCTACTGTTAGTGAAGTGCTGAACTCCCATTGCTGTCCGTCAGAAACCTGCAGCCACTGAGTGGCCTCTTAATTCATGGACTCAGCTCTTTCCATGATTCTGGTCACAGTTCATTCCACAGTTCTGCTGCTAAGCCAATTGCAAGCAGGTATATACTATACAGTTGCAACTAGAATTGTGGACAAAAATCCATAAACCAAGGTAACACTGTAATTTTCGCAAAGCTGTTCTTAGATATTTCAACGTTAACTAGTTTAAATCTGTAAGACTCCATGTTACTGGCTTATTCATTCAGAAAGTGACGACTTATGATTTTACAGGGGTGAACACATAAGAGAAATGGTGAAGCAAATCAATGATATCCGCAATCATGTAAACTTCTGATGCCACCAAGAAGAGTCACACCTGAAGTTAGAACAACTGAAGGTTTACACCGTATTGTAAAATAAACAGGTAGCCCTAATTTATAAAGACACTTGGATGAACTTTGGTGTGTTGTCTGTTTTTAATATCCGTTTTCTAAGTACTGAATAAATGCTTTTATTTGAAAATTGCAATGTGCTTTATAACGAGTCTACATGTATTCAACAAGGGCTCAGAATTTTAAAAAAACAAAACCTAAGACACAAACATTCAGCTGCACAGTGCAGAGCTCCGTGACCCTACTCAGTTTTCTCCACAGCTGAGCTGTAAGAGCCATGTTTTAGAGAAGCAGTGGCAGAAATTGACTGCAAAGGGGGTCAAAATCCTAGGGTTCAACAGAAAAGGCCGCACGGTCTACTCAGCAGCAGCTTTTTAGTGCTTTGGAGACTGGGTCTTGTTACGCAGTTCAGGCTGGGCTTAAGCTCCCTTTGTAGCCCAGGCTGGTCTCAAACTTGCAGCGGTCCTCCTGCCTCAGCCTCCCGAGTGCTGGGATTGCACATGTGTGCCTCCATGCCTGGTTGAACACCTTCTTAATACACCTTTAATACAGTAAAATTTCAAGTTGGACTTCTGATATCAGGGTGGAGCTCAAGCACAACAGACACAAAAGACCACTGCTGGCTCACATCCCCGTACATTCAGGATTGAATGTGGCTGTGCTCTTTGTCTACTGAGTGGGTGTGAGGTACGATTTTGGCACCTTAAACACAGAAACAGCCTGGTGTGCAGTATATGATTTTTGTCCTCAATTTCCAGTTCTGAAAGGCAATAACCATATCTGCCTAGAAATGGCTGAACAACTGCCAATTAAAAGCTATAGGTAAGGTACATTATAGGTAAGAGGTAAATCAGATTAGACATTTAAGAGAACAAATATATATATATACAGAGAGCAGCACAGCAACACTGTGAAACCCAACTGATCTACTGCCTAGAAGGGATAAGTCCCACCTTCTAAATCAGATCCTATTTATGCAAAAAACCTAGTTTAAAAACTTCTCTCCTACTTGGATAGTGTCACAGTAGCTACACACGAGGAAGTGTTGAATAAAATCTATAGTCTCAACTTGAGTTTTTTCCATGACACTTTCCTCAACTGAGCAGATTCTGGCAGGATGCCTCTGCCACAATGTGGTTCCTAAACAGTTACCTAATCAGCATGTATTTATTTGTCCCAGTTCCCATCTGGAGAATAATCATCTAAGGTTTTCAGTCTCTAGAATGGGTCACTGGAAGGACAGTACAGAGAAATTATAAGGTACTCATTTATAGTGCTAATTTAAACAATGGCATTCTTTACTAAAATTGCCTGTAACTCAATAATGTTTGCTTTAAACCAAGTAGCACATTATACAAAGGGACTTTAAACTATAGTATGGGATATTGTAGTCTTCATTTTTCCTGCAGAAAAAAGTGACTTTTTAGGGCAACTCCATAATGAATGAATTTGTAATAAAAATAGTTCACTTATGCTAATAGTGGCTTCAAGTGAACCCAAAAAATTTACTTAATTTACTGATTCCCATAAGACTCATACAACACCAATCACAAAAAATACTTCAAAACATGTTTTACTCTTGAATCACCATGTAATAGATTCCACAGTGGAGTCTTCCCCTGGTGTTGTGGCAACATGCAAACCACAGAAGACATGAATCCATTCTCTGTGCTTCCTTTGATTCTTCATAAAGCTATGATGAAGATGACCTGTTCCACTGAGGCTTTTTCCACACAGACATCTCACATCTTGGAAAGTGACAAAGCAGATTTCCAAACTGATAAACAGAATAAGTGGCTTTTCCCTAACTTCATTTGTAATCATTGTTACTTACACTCCAGGTCTAAACTGTAAAAGAAAAAATACAATTTGTCAGATCCTGGTACCATATTTCTGCAGCTGATAAACGGCACACAAACTCAAACTGAAAATAAAATTTATAAATGCATACTGGATGTCAGACAGCTTGTTTTATTAATTTTTTTCACCTGATCCAATAACTAAAACACTTCAAAAGAGTAGATGGTGCCAGTTCTGCTTTATCCTGGTACCTTTAGGCCCATGAAGATTATCCAGTTTTGCTTTATCCTGGTACCTTTAGGCCCGTGAAGATTATCCAGGTATGCAGAAGGAAAAGTGCTCCCCAACAGTTTCTTGTGCTTTTCCTTTAAATTCCACTTTCAATAATACATATTCTCAGCCAAGATTTCAAGTCCTGATTCTGTCCTTGAGTTGCTACTGTTTGCCACAGTCTCATGGTTCTCAGCAAAGCTTCACAGCTTTTAAGGTCCTCCAGTATTTTCAATGGTGAGAAGGAAAATGCACTGAACAGGGAAATACAGTCTGTAGCCCACGGCTTGCTCTCAGGTCACACTTCGTATTTTAATATAAAATAGTCATACAGCACACTACATCCGTCTGCTAGCTGGACACTGTTACTGAAGAGCTCTAGACAACAGAAACACCTCTCCCAGGATCTATAAACAGGAAGTTAATTCCACACACTATTGGGAAGTTGCTTTAGGATAGGGAAATGTGTTCCAAGACCTATGCTGGAGAAAGCAAGCTAAAGAGACAGCACGTTTTCCCTCGCTGCCTGATGCCATCGGCTGGCACCAAGTTCGGAGTCTCATTAGTGTTCCGGCTGGGAAGGTCTCCAGCTGCCAGTCACCCTGCTGTTGGTTCCTGTGCTGCAGTCTTCTCCCACTAGACATAAGCCTTTCCCCAGTCTTCCTTTTGTTGTGACTTCTTCAGCTAAGAGTTAAATAATAATTAATGTTGCTCTAAAGATGAGTTAAAAACACGAAGTGCAGGCTAGAATCCTGCTCTCTGAAGGTCATGTCTCCGGCAGCTGGTTAATGTCTGTCAGTTTGGTGTCGTTCAGAATTGCCCGGATTCTCTCCAAGGAGTCCGCTTGCCGGATCCGCTCTAACTGCACCTGGAGAAACAATGATGATGGAAGCAGAGGTGGGCCCTGCCTAGATCTGCTCTACTTAGACGTGGTTAGCTGAAACTAGCTGCCACTTAGCAGACTAACACTGTGAGGGAGGTGCCAGGGTCATGGGCACAAATGAAACCTTACTCTTAACCCCGGAGAAGCCACAGTTCATCTGGGGGAAACCGCTGAGGTAAGTTTTAGCACAACCTACTCAATTTCACTGTGGGCATTCACAGAGTGCCAAGGGAGTGCAGTGGTCAGGCACTGTGGTCTGGCGCAGGGACCTAGAAAGGGGCTCCGTGCAGGGGACAAACCTAAACTGGCCCTTGAAGGACAAGACCCAAGGGAAGGAGATAAGGAACTATGCACGGGGGACCACAAGTACTTAACACTGTAACATTAAGGAAGCAAAATTGGCTAGGTATAAGGAAAAGAAAGGGAGCAAATCCGGAGAGTCCACCACATGTCTAGCCCCGATGATGGGTGGACGTAGAACCAGCCACAATAACCTACACCTTCAACTACTTTAACGCTGGAGATTAAATAAGGGACAGCAAATTGTCCATCAATGAAGCAGTGGTTCCCCAAATGCCTCACCTGTAGCGTCTGAGAAAGCTTTACAAAATCTCTCTGGACTTGTTCACTGACATCTAATTCTGTCTGTAATCTCTGAGCTTTATTCTTCTCTTCAAACATCAGTTGTTCAGCAGCAACCTAAAAAAAAATTTCAGTGAGAGGCCAGAGATACGGCTCAGTGGCACAGTGCCTGCCTAAAAAGCACAAGGTTGTGAATTCGATTTCCAGTACCAAAAAGAAAAAAAAAGTTTGAGGATTAATGCCAAAGAGCTAAAGGTCACGATTACTCAGGCCCTCTAGAAGCTTAAGTTACCTACTACTGTAATGAAAAGCTGAGTACCCATTGTACTTCCACATCCACTGGACGCAGGTTGGCTAGTTTACTTGTTCTAGGTTATAAAGTGATCTGGGTATGAAAGCCAGAATAAGAAATGTGCCCTGACCCCTGCAGCTGGTCACAATGACTGGCCAAAAGCACAGCTGCTAAGATCAGTAGCTGGCATGGCAAAGGCCATAGAAACATGGGGGATTTCCTCTGACAACAGACCCACTGGGAAATTCACAAACATGTCCCAGTCACCCCCAGCCACCTCCAATCTTCCTTATAGAAAAATGCTTCAGCAGAATGTATGGAAACCTTTCTAAAAACATGAGGCTGTTGAATGATATCAGCACAATGTTTTCACACTTACATGTGTGGCCACACAGCTCACTATTAGTCTAGGCAAGTTTTCCCCATGATAACTGTATGCACTTCTGTTCTAGCTGGACTGATCAAACGAGGCAATGAACCTGGTTCTGTGCAATCTTACAACCTAAAGCCTATCCCCAGCCCTGCAGAGCTGGCGGAGTGAAGATTTAATCCAACTCTTACTGAAATGATTTTCTTTTTGCAAGCTGTTACATCTGCCAACTTTCAGAACATTAACACTTCAAAAATACTGGTTAGTTTTTTAAACATTTAAGATATGATCTACAATCTTAAACTTGCTTTTTAAAATTAATCAACAAAAATATCACCTTAGCAGCAGTCTCTTTCTTTAACTGTTCTTCCAAATTGATCTTTATTTCCAGAAGACTCTCAAGCTGCTGAGACTTCTCTCTTAATGTTGACTCCAACTGTGTGAAATTAAACAAGAAACCTGTAGAATCCCCTGTTGGCTCTCGCACACTGCTTAGCGAACCCTGCAGCTGAGAACTACGCTGACGCTCCGTCTCCGCCCGCGTCCTCATAGGCCTTGCACTTGGCTGGACTTAAGACAGCTTCCCTTGCCCTTTAACATCGGGAGACTGTTTTTCCTGACCTGTTCTTTCATTAACCAATGGAGATGGAGATTCAGGAGACACAGTATTGTAAGTAATTAGAATACAGGAACATGGAGAAAGTAGCACTTAATTCTGCCAGAAAAGTTGGAAGAAGTTTCCTAAGAGAGACATTTGACTCTTAAAAGATGAAAATTTTTATAGAGAAAGGAAAAGGACAGTGAAGGGGAGAAGGTGGAGAGAGACAGACAAAAACAGCAAGCAGATGCCATGCCTAAGAAAGCATTCAGGGATGAGGCGGAGTTCCAAACTGCAGCAAGGCCAGAGCCCAAGAGAACCAAGCTAGGAAAACACGTGAG